GTGATGAGAAAGAATGGTGACGTGAAAAATAATAGCCGTATTTTGATGTAGTGTGGAAGCGTTGCCCAGATCTGCAGTGAGGGTTTAACGAATGCAGGTATTACTTTTCATCTGAGTCTTGGGGGAGGAACAGAACTGTCTTGTATGTTTGGGAAAGATATTTTATTTCTATCTCTGATTTTACAATTCCTGTTGAATCTTTTGCGGTAGCTATAGCCAAAAATGGCTGGATGGTCTCCAGTTGACCTAGAAGACAACTGATTATTATTATTATTAATAATATTTATTAATAAGGATGAATAGGATTCAAAATATTGTGTCTGCATGTACAACTGTAAGGGAATTTGTGGACGTACTTCTGATTTTTGGAAAACAACAGATTCTTAAACTGTACAGACAGATGTTGGCAATTAATTGTTCATCAGGAAAACATGTCAAAAATGTTCTGAATGAAAACTGAATCTTAACTGCTAAAACTGAAAAGGGTATTTGTGGCTTAAATTTTTTACTTTGCCTTAAATAACGTTCAGCTGTTATCGCTGTCAACTATTGTGTTTTGTCCCTGGTTTCCTCCAAAGAGACAAGAAGCTGCAAGAAGGCTTTCTTGTGCTGTTTTGCCAATCTTAGGTGGGTAGAGATAAAAGGAGACTTTTGTCTCCTTTCAATTAAATAAGTCTTTAAACAGCTCTGTCTTGATGACTGCCAATTATTTCTCCTTCTTTTCAGTAGTAATGTTTATTTTGGGAGGAGCTTTCTCTCACACCTCCTTTCTGGAGATTTTTGAAACATCCACTTGTGGTCTGTCTTAACTCAGAAATGCTATGTACACATTTCATAATCACAGTGGATAAAAGCCAATTGAAAATAGTTTGAATTTGGACTGAACCTGTAAAATAAAAACACTTGTTCAATTACTTTCAGGAATTCAGCAGAAATTTCAAAACTGCAGAATGCCTTTAAAAACATGTCCATCAGTGCAGTGTATTTTGCTTTCTTCTTTTTTGTTTTGTTTTTGTGTTTGCGAGGACGGTGTTAGTAGGAATTGCAGAAACTTTTGGTAGTATGAGGGACAGTTTCTTAGGTCAAGTGTTTTTTCCTCTTTGCAAGGGAAAGCTCTGTGTGTATTTTTATATTATTTTTTTCAAGTGGACCCATGTGAACCTAATGAGGTTCTACAAAGCCAAGTGCAAGGTGATGCACCTCTCCTGTGAAGAAAGGCTGATAGAGAAGAAAAGGCTCTGGGAAGACCCCATTACAGCCTTTCAATACTGAAGAGGGGGCTTATAAAAAAGATGGAAAGTGGCATTTTTTCAGGCAGATAATGACAGGTCAAAGGGAATGGTTTTTAACTAAAAGAGGGGAGATTTAGATTAGAGGTTAGGAGGAAATTCTTCACTCAGAGGGTGGTGAGGCACTGGAACAGGTTGCCCAGAGAAGCTGTGGATGCCCCATCCCTGGAGGTGTTGAAGGCCAGGTTGGATGGGGCTTCGGGCAACCTGAGGTGTCAGAGATGTTGGAACTAGGTGATCTTTAAAGTCCCTTCCAACCCAAGCCATTCTATGAATCTTTCGTATGATTTATAATTATTTTTAACTGATGAAGGAAAGGGGTTTTCTCTTGAGATAGAAAACTAGCTGATGGATATAGGCTGTTTTCCTTTTCAATTCCCTGTTTCTGTTACAATGAACTTTCACCATTGGTTTTAACAGTTGTGGTGGATTCAGCTTTTAGTTTCTAAATCTCTAGAATTTTAGAATTCCTTAATATTGCCCTGTTCTGTTTTGTTTTATTTTTAAATCAACTGTGAGTGTGTGTTTTAAATTGCTGCTCCAAGCCTACAGATGCTGTCTTTAAGCAGTTTGTGATCCTCATCTCACCTTGATTGAATTTAACCCCGTGCATGCAGCAGCTCTGGTTCTCTGCAGTGAGGAAGGGAGAAGGAGAGATGGACTTTTATCCCCATTAGTTTAAAAATTAAATCCCTTGGTATTGAATATACCGTAAGTAATGCTAATAAGCGTCCTCAAAGTGCTGCAGACAGGCGCTATTACCAGTCAAGGAAACTGCAGCTCTTTCTGAAAATGAGCATTATTTTCTAACTGTCACCTTCATTATGCATCTGTTAACAGAAAGGGGGAGTTAAGTGGGGTTGGGGTGTTGTGTACCCATATAATTTAATAGAGCAGCGTTGCAGGGGCCCCTTAGAGCATATTGCATTTGGAAAACCCTTCTCTGACCGGGAGGTTTGCTGTCTTCGTGTGGCGTTGCCAAATCAGTTGCCTGTGAACCTCATAGTCTGGAAAGCCTGGAGTATGAAATTGCTGTCTGAAGAGCTGCCTTCCAAGACCCTTGCCTAGGCCAAACTTTCCGTGCGAGAGATGGCTGTTGCCACAAGAACAGCAGATGTTTGTACAGCAGACAAACAACATAGATGATAAAGCAAATTGACCTTTCTTTTTTGTTTTGGAACGAGCTATTTAGAGTACATTCCGAGAGCAGATCTTTTTTTCCTCTTTCTTTTCTTTTCTTGGACTTTATCTTCCATCATAGAACTGCTTGACTATACATTGACATTTCTAATGCTACAGATGATTAAAATATATATTTATATATATGTGCTAGGGTTTACTAACATTTCCACTAACACTGATGCTACAAATCATTAAACTGTACCCAAACGTATTCTTGCCTGTTGTATTTTACTGAAGTAGTTTTAATGATGTTTATTTTTCCAGTGTCCCTATGGGAACCCTGGAAGAATCCAAAATGTAATAATTAAAGAATGACAGGCCTTTCCTTACAATATAAAGTGAGGAAGAGTTTTGTGGTTTAAATAGCTATGCTGTTGCTTGTTAACAAGATATTTTGCCTTGTATGCTATCCAGGCCTACAATGGTCCAAAAAACAAGTCGAAGTCAAGAACTACACGTTTGTTTTCAATCAGTTGTTTTTCAAGTTAAAAGACTTGAATAGGATGTTCTAATTTGTTCAGTTATAGACATCAGTAGTGTTAATATTTGTATTAAATTACTTGGAACAGCACAGCTTTTGCTGTCCCAGTAAGGCAGTACATTTTGCTGTCACTTATTTTGTTTATTGCAAGACTTTTTTTACATTATTTTTTAAAAAAAAAAGTCCTGTGTTTTTTTTAAGTTTTAAAAAATTGGTTGAAAGTTCGGGATCTCAGTGAGCTTGAGAAAAATACTTCAGTTGAATTACGTTTTAAAAGAATACCCTGCACTTTAATTGTACAATTAAATATATTGAATAAAACGAGTATAAATTGAAGGTAAAAATATCACTAAAATGAGTGCAAATCTTGGTGCCTTATGGCTACATCATTACTATTTGGACCTAAAACCTACTTGTCTGTTCATTTATTTAGGCAAAAACTGATGTTCCTAGAGTTATAACAAATGTAACTCATGTTAGATTCATTGCATCCGAAGAATCTTAGAAAAAAGAACATGTTAAGGCTGATAAGAAAAATAAAATTAAAAATAAATGTTACTTCTTCAGGGCAAAAATATCAATTGTTGTTATCAATGGCTTGTACAGTCAAATTATATGATAATCAAGAAAAACCTTATTTCCAAATTCATTAGCTGCCTATGGAGAGGGTGTATTTGTAAATAGTTTGGCCTACCATTTTTCCTTGTCAAGTCATTTCAAACCTACAATGACAAACTGGGTGCTTGGTCTTTCAGTTCATGGACTCTGGCAAGGTAATGCATTTTTTGAGTTAAATTTTGTTTATGGATACTTGTATATGGATACAAACAGTGCTAAATTGATGTGTATATATATATATATTATGTATGTATATATACTATCTTTGCTTTATTTTAAGAGTCTAAATCTCTCAATTTAAGAATATAAAGTTAGTAAGTCAACCTCATAAAGTTGTGTATTTACTGTAGTGGAATTGTTTGCAAGAGTAAGAGGGAAGTACTAAACCCTTTGTGCTTCAGAGAAACAAAGCGTAGGGGAAAAGAATGCTATTATTTATAGGCACAATAACTGTAAAGAACTTCTTTTGTCTGAAACATAGTAAGTATTAAATCTTTGACTTGACAATGTATCATTCCATTTGGATGAGAACATCCAACCTGGTGTTAAGTAATTCCTATATCATCTCTTAGCATGAGAATTAAGTTAAATGTTGCGTGTTTAATTCTCTTCCCACCCAAACCTTGGAAATATGAACTTGAAATGTGGTGGTTTGATTTTTTTTTTTAATGCTATTCTTGTAATGGAGCATAAAAAAATTAAAGTCTGGTTGTTGTTGTTCCCCTCCCACCCTCTGTTTTTCTGTTTTGTTCTTCTTTTTTGGGGAGGTGGGAGTGTTGGATTTAGGAAGGGGATATAGGGGGGACAGGTTCTTTTTTATTTTGTGTTCTTCTATTTTTTTGATAAACCCACTTTATACAGGTAGGGTATTTTCCACTGAATGTGTTGATAACATTCTGTGAATAAAACTGTTCTTGCTGCCAGTAGCAAAGAATTAACTCATAAGTGTCCTCTCTGTTGAAGAAGTGGTCTATAAAAATATTGCATGATGCATAAATGAGGCCAGTATTATCCTTCTTGTCATCTTTCATCAGCATTTTAATTTTATATCAAATACAATAGCGTTTTCCTGTTTGGCAGAGAAAATCATATTGTCCAAAGTGAACTCCTCATTATATTATCCTTTCCTTTTGTGATCACTGATCACATAAAACACAAATGCAGTAGATGTCTATGATCTCAAAAGACTGTATCATTGGACTTTTTTTTTTCCTTTTCTATAAAGGTAAAATCAATTTTTTTTTTTACAGCAGTTTTGTCTTAGTTCTACTGCCTGTTATTTCCATCTTTACGTTTTGTTACATTACATTAGAGAATATAGGTATATAAGCAAAATGGTCTGTTGTTTTCAGGACTCTGATTACATTTTATGTTTCATTGTGGTTTTTTGTTTGTTTGTTTTTTAATGGTTGATATTTTCCTTGTTTCAGCAAAACCGTTTACATCTAAAGTGAAACAGATGCGACTACATAAAGAAGACTTTGAGATCCTGAAGGTGATTGGGCGAGGAGCCTTTGGTGAGGTATGTCTGTGGAAAAGGAAGGATCTGAATATACTTGCTGATCTGCCTCACTGAGGAGAGACAGTTCATAGCCTCATACCAGTGTGTAAGTTTTACATTATTCAGGCAGAAGGGATATTTTAGGCCAACCTAAACCTTGAAGCAATTATATTTTGTTTTGTATCTTCTCTGGAAGCCCTTTACAGCTCTTTTTAATCTCTTAACTTTTGAGAGAAGGCAAGTTCACATGGGCTAAAAGACCATATTTCAGCCATCTGATAAGTCATTTACTTGACTATAGTTCTTTGAGTCAGCAGATAGAGACCACTGAGTTACTGATGGTGTGAAGATATAGTCTTTTCCAATCATCCTAATAACTGAATTGCCTGAAAGTAGTCTTCAAGAACTTGAATTGCCAGATACTGATACTGACATACTAGGAACACAGAGAAATATCTCTATTCTTGTTGCTTTGTTTCCTAAAATTAAAGTTTGATTTTTTTTCCTATATTTCTTGTAAGGATTTTACCAAATGTTAGGTTCTGTTTTAGTTGTCACCTACTACTGTCAAACTATAAAAAAAAAAAAAAAAAAAAAAAAAGTAGCTGCTTCTGATTAAACCATCTTTTATTTCAAGTTTCAGGCAAGGCTGTTCGCCACTAAGTTTTATGGCTACTAGGGATGTCAGAATATACAGGCTGAGGAAACTGGAATGAATAAACACTAGCTCTCTGCCCCCCTTCTTAAGTTATATTAAGAATGTGCTTTGTTCTTCACTTAAGTCACTGTTTATATAGAAGGAGCAAGAAAACGTGTAACAATGCCTAGAATTTTTTGATGGCCAAATGTGCTACAAATGAGAATAATATGCAAAGCTTCTGCAGAAGTTATTCCTTATTGCCTCAAAAAAAAAAAAAAAATCTGAGCACTGAAATCCAAAGTACAAGGAAAAGATTCTGAGCAATGTCTTAATTTCTTCTGGAATGGGAAATGTTTTTCAGACTGTTATGTTTTCATTGATATAAAAGCATCTCTGGGGGCTTTGATGGCAGACGAGGACGAGTTTTCAGGTTTGCTTATATATTTGCTTAATGTGAAAAATTAGGCTTTACTAGTCTGATTATGGAAGAACAAAATTCTGTAGGTAGTACTTAAGGAACAGGAATTTTTACTGTAATGTAGTATCCACTCGTGGATAATCCATCTTCAGTCTTAACCTTTGCCACAAAGGAAATGCTGCATTCACCATCTTGATGTAAATGTTTCTGCATAAATCAGTGACTTTCTCAGTGTTGCCATAGTAGTTGCAGCTCAGTTCATGCACAAATCATACAGGATGTAAGAAAAATCACTGTGTGAGTACTTTGTTGTCAGAAGAATCATGCATGAAACCTGCCTTATATTACACTTTCAAAAAGAGGTCATTTTAGTCTGCTGAATCAGCATCAAACTCCAGAGCAGCTAATTCCCACACCCACCCACCCCTGCAGTGCTTTCGAAGGAAGCTTCTTTGCAATGAATCATACCATGGATAGTGAGAGCGTAACTTGCCCCATCCTCTTCTGGGGACAGTCCACACAACACGGTAGTTGGCTTTTAGGAACAGTGTTTCTTCATAATGCCCTACCTAAGAAAGACAGCATGACCACTTAATCATCAAAATCTTCAGTAAGAGGAAAACTGAAATTCTTTCAATGAAAATATTTGACTTTATACGTTCTTAAAGTGGGATTTCTAAAGTATTTGCAAGCATATATGTTAGGTCTACTGACTAGTTTAAATACAAGTTTAAAGTCCTACTTAGACATTTGTCTAGGAAAACAAATTCTGTATGAAATTAAGAGTTTTCTTTCCAAATAACTAGAAAGTATATAAGCAAGGTTTAAAAAAGGATTGCCAAATGTTGCTGCTACTTTAGCCACCAAGCACCATAATGATATTAAGCTGCAAAATATTTGTTATTATTCAGTAGATAATAGTTTGCAGAGACAGATTAAGCAGAAGATGGTTTCTTTCCAGCAAACTGTAAATGAGACCAAAGTTTCTCTAGGTTTTTGGGAAGATTAATTTTCATCTCCTGAAGCAGCATAATTCTGAAATTCCATAGACTATGAAGTTTTAGTGCAAGCTTTCATTAGCACAGTCTCAGACTTGTTTTGATTTTGGTTTTACACTACTCAGTGTTTTTTAACTTGCGTAGTTAATAAATATTTCCCTTTTTGTTCATGAAAGTTTGATGTAGACAAAAAACAGTTCAAGTATTGCTTATAACTGTAAGAGGTTCTTAGCTTTCCTTTTCCCTTGAAGTCCTTACCCTGCTTGATGTCACTCTGAGAATGCTTCCTTTTGCCTTCCCTCTCCATGCATACACGTACTTATTTAAAATTTAGAGTAAAAGAGTGCTGCCTTTAGAAAACACAAATGTTTTCCTTGGGAGGAGGATTATCCCAGTGAAATTCATGATGTGGACATCAAGGGTTTTCATTTTGCTGGCTTCAGGCACATGGTTGGAAAAACTTTAACAGACAACCCTAAACAAGAAGTCTTTAAACTTGGAGGTTGAGGGAGGCTGCTAGGAAAAGTGAGGGACCGCTGTTGATTCCAGTAGGCAACAGTTCTCATTGGTATGTCACTGCAGGATAAAAATGTGGCTGATTTAAGACTCTAAATAATATCGAATTTTTCAGTTCCTTCTATTTCTGCTTTTAAAAAAAATGTTCACTGCTTGGTTGTGCAAGCAAATATTAGTGTTTATGTTGTTGATATTTTGAAGACGATGTTTGTAGCTTTGAGAACTAAGCATTCCTGAATTTTGGCATCTAGGTATGAACAATAACACCTCCCACCCCCTTCAATCCAGAGGTTGGTCATAAGAGCTAAGACTTGATAAGAAAAGCCAAAGGAGTGTTGTGCTCAGATTGCGTTAGTTATACCACAGAGGTGAGGCTGTTAGTTCACCGTGTGTTACTTTGAAACTCGGTGCTTGTTTCTGGTGGGCTGGCTACTTTTGAAAAAGCAGTATTGCCCTTTTTTCCCCTCCCCCGTTTTCTTAACTGTCTTTCCCATCTTTTTCATCTTTCCCCCTGTGAGAAACACAGAGAACTGTTGGAAGAATGAGGAAAAAGCATCTGACTCAACCAAAATGTTTACATCAACACATACCAGTAATTTTTGTTGAGCTGCTCACAGGAGAATATAATTAAAAAAAGCAACAAACAAACAAAAAACACCACAACAAAGAAAAAACTATGTCCAATTTTAATAAATTCCAGTAGCAAGGTACTTCAGGATAACTACTTAGGAACGATCATCCTTTCTTCTGTCTTCACAACTTCACTGGGGAAGGGAAAACAGCTCGGATGAATGCTCGGTGTACTTGAGCATTCATACTCATAGCATAGAGACGTGTGTGTGTGCATGCATTTGTAAACACTGCCTGGCTCTGTCATCGTGTTTCAGAATTTTTTGCTGCAATTAGAAACCGCCTCGGATCGTTCACTGGTGAAGTGTCAGGTTTTTGTTTCACAGTCAAATCCTGAAATAAGCACAGTAAAATTTACTTCCACTGAAGCCCTGAGACATGCAAAAAGATGCTGTGATTGCAGGAAAACGATGCTGTTTTCATTGTGGTCTTGTGTGTGTGGGGTGGGGTAGGGGTGATGTGGGCTAGGGATGGATATGGAATAACATGAATGCCTTTGACAGACTAAAAGGCTGCTCCTGATTGTAAATGCAGCTGGTAAACACGAGTCTATTTTTGTCCTTTAGTCACTCTTCAGTTCTGGTAGACATTCACAGAAAGCACCAAGCCCTCAATTATTACAGAGCCTACTCTCCAGCTGTTAACCAAAGGCAGCGCTGGGTCTCTTTCAGCTGTGTCCAATAAATGCAGTATAGGAGACTGCAAAATGAGGCAGCTGTGCAATTAGCGCATGTCATTAAGAAATCTGGGTGGGGGTCAAAAAAAAACACACCCCAACAACAACCAAAGAAACCGAGACCAAACAAAAGCGAAATGGACCTTTTACTGAGCATGTTAAGAGCAACAAATGAAGCCCTGAAGTTGGAGTAGAAATACCGTGTTCTGCTCACACATCTGGCTGCCGGTCCTACAGTGGTAATGGTGGGGTTGTGGGGTTGGTAAACTTTACTCAGAAACAGCAATGTAGTCAACTCTATGGCCAGCTTTCTTAGTTTTGTCCACAACAATGGCAAAATCCTTAGAAATGTTGAAGGCAGAATTACCCAGTAGCTTCATGTCCTAGACTGCATTATGCAGAAGCTGTCCCTGTCATCCAAGCGATGATACAGTTTGAGTGCTGACTAGGTTCAATGGTAAGGTTTTCTCCTCCCACTGTTTCTCATTTAAAAATGCCAATACAGATACAGCTTGTTAGGGTTTTTACTAGAAGAATAAAAGGAAACTCAAGTTTCAGATGGGCATTGTGGGTTATGTATTACCACGGAGGATTTCCTTCTATGGAAGATTGTGTTGCTCAGTCTTGGGATACCACGCGCAGAATAGTGGATGTTATTTATGAAAGAAAATGGCAGTCTAAGCAATCTTTTTGTGTGTCAGATTTTAAAGTACTTCGAGGGATTTAAGGTCTGGACTTTAGCCTCAGTTTTTATGCATGAAGCAACCTCTAAAAATTTGGGTTCATAAATGGGGTTAAACGTGTAGATCTACTACCTTTCTGTCTTCTCCCCTTTTTTTATTCCTCCCCCTCACCCCACAGGCAGCAGTATCACCAGCAGGGCCGGTAATGTATTGCTGCACAAATGGGAAGCGACAGCTGCTTTGTCTGGGAATCTGTAGCTAAGTAAGAGCTACGCTTTTAGATATGCTTAAGTTTAGACATCTCAGTATTGCAATCCTTCAACATGTACTTTTGCCATATGTGTGAAGCTGCTGCAGCTGATGACACATTTGAAGATGGTTGAAAGATGTTTGCATTACGCGTTCTTCAAACTGTCTGATCTTGTATTTTCTCTTATAGTTGTCTTCACACATGGCTAGTTTACTGATTATGAAAGAGGCAGAAGGAACGTAGGAACCAACCTTAGTATTTTTTTTTTTTGTCACTGGCCTGCAGGATGAAGATGGTGATAATCTGGGTGACAGCATGCTGGTTTGTAACCGAGTGCACACAGAAATAAATGCATCTCCTTAAGCCTTAGGGATTATTTGAAAGGGAGGAGGCAGAATGGGTTAGTTGGTGAATAGTTATTAAAATGTAGTGTTTGGATAGTTGAACTTTTTGACTGCTGGTATGGTAATACAATGGTCTGGTCTCATTTTGATCTGAGTGTGTGTCAGATTGATGGCCAATTTGTTTAAGACACTTAGCGTTCTGTACCCAGGGAATCCTGAACTGTGAAAACACACTTATGTACCTTCCCCTTTCGTAAAAATATTCCATCTATATTCCATCTTAGCTTTTAAAATAAATGAGCAAAACTATAATATTCTTAGAAAAAGACTATATCAGTACACTTTGCTAATGCATTATTGGATGGGCCTATGGTATCTCATGTTTAACAAACAGTGAAGGGGAGTAAAGCTTGTGTTTCCTTACGTTTACTTTTCTAGAAAATGTGAATTTCAGCATTTCCCTGCCACTGACAAGAGGCATGGTAAAAGGGCTCATTGAACTTCAAGTGGAAAAATATGAAGTAATACTTTACCATATATTTTAGTGCATTTTTTTTGAAAGAGTAGAAATTACCTCAGCAAATCTACAGTAATAATTTGTGCCTAGAACCTAGAATGAGCAGTTTCTTGGTTTTAGAAACTGACTACTAAGTTGTTGTCTTTTCTTGGTGAGTCTGTAACTGAAATTACTGTATAATACTGGAAGGATGAGTCCACGAATATCAAGTATACAGCCAGTGACAGCTTCATGCAGATGATAGAGCAAGAAATGTGATAGTGAGAAAATACCATTCATCTAGTCACCTAACAAAGTGATGCGTAGTGAAAGTGTGATACATAGTGAAAGCTTAAAATAGACTTGGTGCTTTTGCAGAATAAATGTCTTGTACTGTTGTGATGGTACTCTTTCTGGATAGTGATGGTATGATCACATGCATGGATAGTAAAATTGTTTCCAAAACACTGAAGAAAACAAAATGCAAGGCTTCATAAAAAGAAAACAAAATGTTTTTTAATGTTTAGGCTTAACTTTTGTTTATCTTTTCCAGGTTGCAGTAGTAAAACTGAAAAATGCAGATAAGGTTTTTGCCATGAAGATACTTAATAAGTGGGAGATGCTGAAGAGAGCTGAAGTAAGATAACATTTTTTTCTATAATCACATCCCCTCTTACTCTAGTGAATTGTTACTTCTTTTTCCATGAGAAGACTCTGGGTATATTCAAATTGAGGAGGTGCTTCAGTACTTATTGGCAATATGAAGATTAATATCAAAATAAACTTAAAGCAGTTCATGGGAAGGATTAAGTGGCATGGTGACTTGATTTAGGTGGGGCTGAATGTTTTATACAGTACCCTGTTTCTGTAACTGGCCAAGAATTATGCACTATACAAGCAACCTTATAGTGTATTTATTTCAGTAGTCTTTAGCAAGTATATTTTCTGTGGTATAAGGAAATTACTGAGCTTTAACTCACCATGTGTATTAGTTTGTCAGTATTTAGAATTTAGTCAAGGTCCAATTTTCTGATTGAAAAATTAGAGAGATAAAAGTTTCAAATTTGAAAGCATGTTTCATAAAATGTCCCATTTGCAAAAATCAGTGACAGAAAGTTCATTGCTAAAGCATAAATCCGGAATTGCTAAAGCATAAAAATGGAACATGTATCTAACTCTTTAATTTATTTGGACTACTTAATCTGTGCATACTAAAAACAAACTGCCTAAAGCAGACTCTGAAAACTAAAATTCAGTAAAAGCAAAAAAGTTGTTTGACCACGGTCTCTTTAGTTTGGACAGTGCAAGCAATATCTTGGCTGCCTCAGGGCTGCCTTCAATCCATTCTCTGCCCAGCTTGTATTTGTGTTGGGGATTGCTCTGACCCAGGTGCAGGACCTCGCACTTGGTCTTGTTGAACTTCACGAGGTTTGCATGGGCCCACCTCTCAAGCCTGTGAAGGTCTATTCTGGATGGCAGTCCTTTCCTTCCAGCATGTGGACTGCACCACACAGCTTGGACTTATAGCAAACTTGTTGAAGCTGCACTTCATCCCACTGTCCATGTCACCAACAAAGATGATAAATAGTGCCAGTCCTAATACCGACTCCTGAGGAGCTCCACTTGGACATTGAGCCATTGACCCACAACTCTTGGAAGCGACCATCTACCTTACCCACTGAGTGGTCCATCCATTAAATCCAGTATTTCTCCAATTTAGAGAAAAGGGTATAATGTGGGTCGGTGTCAAGTGCTTTGCGCAAGTCCAGGTAGATGATGTCTGTTGTCTTTCCCCTGTAGTTCCCCTAGAACTCTTCTGATACCTAATTTTTCATAGATTTTAGCATGTTTGGAGATTGTAGGAAATGACTTTTTAACTGAGAGAGAGATTTGAATTTGTTTTCCAAATGTGATGTTAAAAATTAAATAGCCAGATTGCAAAATGTGTTTGCTTTTGTTTATTTTAAATAAGCCTATAATAATTATTTTTCTCCCCTTCAGACAGCATGTTTTCGAGAAGAGAGAGATGTATTAGTGAATGGAGATAACCAGTGGATCACAACGTTACATTATGCATTCCAGGATGAAAACTATTTAGTGAGTGTTGCTCTTATGTATATATGAATAGAAATTCAGATTCTTAGTTGTGGTATGAGAGACAAACATAGCTCGTTAACTGTGTATTTTGAACCTTGTGAGCACCTATAAGTTTGTGCATAAGATAATGAAGGATGGAGGGTGGTCACACACTTAAACTTTAGCTATTACTATCTCAGGAATGCAATTTTGTTTTCTAAACTGTTTTGCATTTATTGATAAGTTTCTGAATTTATTGATAAACCTGGATCTATCTGCACTTTCTTTTATAATTTGCCCCTCTAGCTTAATTGGATTAATAAAAGCATGTTTACTGACATAAGCTTTATATTTATGTGATTAACATTGCTGATTGGAGCTTTACAGTTAAAATATGGAATTGTCCGATTTTTGAAATAACAATTCATTTTGATTGGTCTTTGCTTTTTTGAAGATTTAAAACCACTAAGATGTAATAAAACAAATGTTCTTCCAACAAGGAAGAATGCCACTAAGTCTTAGTAAGTAAGATTGGAAGCTGTAGCTGTAGATGAAAGTATCTCTTTAATATTCGATGTTGCTTATTTTTCAAGTATTTTGACAGACTTGCAAAAAGAAGATAATAAGAGAAAACATGTTGTTTTTCTGTGAAATCTTTCTCAACCAAAATATTTTCACTGTGTTATTAAAGTTCTGGTAATACTTATGCCCCTACAGGTTAACAACTATACATTGATAGATTTTGTTTATTTGTTTTTTATTGCTTTGTGCTTTTGAATCTGTATCGTTAGTAAGTTCTAATGTTTTCTTAAAAATCTAACGTGTAGTCATAATTTTTTTATTTATTACAATAAAAATGTGCTATCAGAATCACGGAGAATTGTAAATTTTTTGGCCACTATATTGCTTTCTGTTCTGTCAGTACACATGCTTTTGGAGATCCATGGATTTTGCTGGAGTTTATATAGAAACAGGGCTCTGCATTTATGAGCCTAGCTGTTGTCCTAAAAACCTCCCAACCTGTTTCATTCTTCATTAATTTGAACAGTAAATAAGATCTCATGTTTTACGTAATTTTGATCTTACTATCAATAGTATTACAAAGAAAATATGATATATTCAGCAGCAGTCTGCTAGAATTTGTTGTAATCTTGCAGGTTTTCCTATTTTTGCTGAGCACTGAGCAGATTCTGTTCTTTATCTTCTAATGGATCTCCTGTCTGCTAATAAGAGATAGTCTTGCAACTTCTCTGTATGCTTTTTACTAAAAGAAAATAAAAAAAAAATAGTCTCTTATGAGTCCACACTTGTGGCCCTGGTCCCTGGCACTCCCCAGGAACGGGTTATATGTGGCTATATGGGTTATATTCCTGCCCTTTAGAACTGGCTGTACCGTCAGTTGTCTTTGCCCAGCTATCGCTGGGCCCTCGGGTGAGACTGCCTGCTGGCCAGCACCTGCACAAATACAACACATGAGGCACAGCCTGAGAGTGTTGGGGCTCAGAAATCCCCTCAGACTCTTCCTGGGACCTCACAAGCCTCATGCTCTTCTCAGCACAGGAGGTGACTGCTGCTCCCACTGCCATCACGCGGTTATTAGTGATGGCTTCCTGTGGCTGGCTGCTGTTCTGAACTGGCCGTGCAGTCAGCTCACTCCACTCGACTCTCACCAGGCCCTCTTGAGAGAACGATCTTATTTTAGTTTGTTATATTTTTTTTTCTCATTTACTTTTCCAGCTGCTGTTTCACAATTAAAATAAAAAGATACTCATTGTGAGCTCTTACCTTTCTTTCCAGTCATTTTGACCATGTCTGTAAAGGACACAGAGGTTCATTCTGTCATAATACAGTAAAACGGAGAAAGATTGTGAGCTCTTTTAAGTCTTTGCATCTGATCCAATGGCAGACATGCTTCATTATATGCTTCATTAATAAAGCAGAAATCAAAGTGTTTTCTTCCATGATATCAGTTAGAGAAGGTAATGTCTTCCATCATATGTTGGCAGATCCTGTATTGTGTGCAGTGTCAACAGTATCTGGAATTATGCTATAAGACACTGGAATTCTCTCCCTTTTTGCTTTAATCTATGAGTAGTCTAAAAAAATTTTACTTTCCAAAATCATTTATATAATAGGAAAAGAAGATGGTAAGTAGAAGCGAAGGGGAAACCTGGAATATTATATTTCCTAAATGAGATCCCTAATTAACACAGGTTATCATAGGTGTGTGCTTTAATCCTTTATGCCTTTTGCATTTAGTTGAAGGATACTGTTTTTAAAAGGGCATTTTGAGTATCTAAATATAACTGTGTGTGATGATGGGATAGTGGATGAAGCCGATAATGTTTTGTCATGAGGCTGACTGTTTGGATACGTATAAATAAGAAAAAATACTCAAGTAGGTTAAATATTTAAATGAGGTTAAAACTGCTACTCTTCTTGGAACATCTGAGCATCTCAGCATTTGTAATGCCTATGATAATTTTTGCAATAAGTTATCTTTTATGTTTCAATTAGTTTTTAAGTCCTAAAATCACTCAATATGTTTTTCTTCCCATTTGCTTTCTCATCATTTCCTCTCCGTAGTACCTGGTTATGGATTACTACGTTGGAGGAGACCTGCTTACATTGCTCAGCAAGTTTGAGGACAGACTACCTGAAGATATGGCTCGTTTCTATTTGGCTGAAATGGTGATAGCTATTGATTCTGTTCATCAGCTGCATTATGTCCACAGGTAAGCAATTTGACCTCCAGATTCCTGTTGCAATTAGGGAGAGTTACTTGGAAAGGTAATTCTCATTAAAAAGTTAATGCTAGTAACAAGTATTTGCCATGATAGTAAGCATAGTAGAACATACCGGCCTCTATCTTGTGGTTGTTGAGAATTGATAACCTTGTACCATCTGATCAAAGACATGAATGAGGACATTTATGAATATCCAGATGTGTTTGCTGAATCTTACACATTGGCATGTGTTAGAGTAAATGATCCATCATTTATAACAGCAAAACTGGAAACCTCTTCCTGAAACGTGACTATCTTTGAACAGGTTTATTTAAGGGTCAGGTTCTATTTCTTAGCTAAATTGGTTCAATCTATAAAAAAGTTGAAAACACACCAACACACCATTGTGTGTTCTGCTGTGGATTCTCCCCCTCTCTTCTCCCCCCTCCCCCCCCAACATTTTCTTTTGGACTTGATCAAATTATCTTTAAAACAAAGTGATAACATTTTTCTAAATAGGTATCTAAATTGTGGTACTTTATATTTACATTGGTATATCAGAAAATAATATATTTTGTTCAAAGGAAAATGTTATGTCATTTGTGTCTAACATATTTGGAGGCCATAATTGCTTTTTCCATAAAGCTCACATCATCTTTTCTTTAGTGTGTCATCTCTGCAGAATTCCGTGGTGGTTCTTGTATGCAGAGCAAAGATTACCTTATAAGAGGCTGAAATTTTAAATATACTCTGAATAAATTTATTTTGTTCTGGCAGAAACCAGGAGAGTAACTCACAATTGTTTAAGCTGGTTCATTAACCTGGCAGAATGAACTCTTCTGATATGTCCATTTATTCTCCTTAATCAGAGTCTGTACTGGCCATTCCTTCTTTTCCTGTTCTCATTTGTCTGATTGGTGTTAGGTTTTTTGTTTGTTTGTTTGTTTTTTTGGTGTGTGTTTTGTTAGTTTGCTTTTGTCCAAAAGATATATTGTAATTGACTTTGGTTTGTTACTCAGTTGTGTTTTCTCTCCTTTGAGATTGTGGCTTTTCATGAAAGAGCTATAGTTAGAATGCTTTAATATGGGATGGTGCTAAACTGCAAATTGCTCTGCTGGAATATTTTGAAGTCTGCTAGTTTTGTTGAAGAATTGGTGACCTGATAAAGAGTTCTTTGTGATAATGCCTTGTGGAAAAGCCTAAGCAGAATATTTTCCCTCGAGGTTTTCTTGAATCTTGAACATTTCAAATGTATATTTCTGATAAACCAGTTTCTTCATTTAGAACCTAATGTGAAAGGCTTTTATATTCAATTTTATTTTGCATCTAGCTTTTAAAATGTGTCTGTGGGTGAACTGTTGAAATACTGTCTCTTCTGTTACCAGGTTAAGTGTACCCATGTACTACGTACAGACTGCTATATTTTGTACCTATGGTAGATGTGATACTTCTATCCTCAAATAGTTAATGTCCTCAAGGTGAAATAGGTGTTGGTGTAAAGTTTTGATAGGGTATTAAGGAGCATTGTGGTTCAAAACAACATACTATTATGCCTGCATATTTATTATTATTGAAAGTTTCACCAAAAAAAAGTCCCTATGAATTCTCAGTCCTTTGTTGTTTGATTTGCAGCTTTGCCAGTGAGGTTCCCATATTTATAAACCAAATTATAAATGCCCCTTCAGCACTTGGCACAGGCAGTTGGCATGTTTCATCACTAATACCATTGTAATACAGCGCCTGTTTAAAAGGGAATGTTTTGCAAAGATAAAAAAAAAATGTAAAGGGGATTTGAGTATATGTTAGATGATCAGCCTTTGAAATGTGACACATTGCGCTATTAGTAGGATGTTTGCAACTGTTAAAGCAAATGAAAAGGAAAGAAAACATCTAAATTTCACAAATGCTATTGTAGTGAAAGTTTAGGTGTGGTGGCCACATCCTTCTTGGGTGCCTGTTGCACACAGAGAAGGACATAGGAGAAGTAGAAGGAAAACACTATTAAAAACAAGGGATAGTGGTAGTAGTGATAATTGTAATGAGTAGTCAATATACATCAGGATTTGAGCTGAATTGGATGGTAATGAACTTTTCTTTAAAGTGATTTTTTTTTTTCCTTTCATACAGTGAGAGAGGCTGTTTTGTTTTCTGTAGTGTTCCAGTTCTTTCAGGATAGATTTTTCACATTAGCCATACACTGTTGTACTTTGATGATAGTTTTCCTTTACTCTGAATGCTTTTATAGCTTTAAAAAATGTATTTCTGCTTACGCAGTGTGCAACCTTTTGCTCTTTTCAGTTGTTAAACGCTTCTTTGTTTCAGGTTGTTTTGTCAGGGAGCAGTACTGAATGCAGTGGTAGTTGGTGTGCAGACTGCTCTGATGTCACATGCTGCAAGATACTTTTCTTTCCTAAAACACACTGACCAAACCTCAAATGCAAGCAACCTCAGCATTATGAAACGAAATTGCTTCAAGTGTGTTTCAGGTTTTGGAATTCTACATTTGAATGCCATTTCTGCACTAGCTCTGTGGGATTATGCAATGAATTGACAATAGAAAGGAGATGAAAATCTACATATTAGTGGAATTGCACAGAAAAATTGCTTTTGAAGCTGTCTCCTGATAGCTTATGAACCAAGGGGAAAAGTAGCTAGCTGAAAATAACATCAGCACTAAGATATTCTTTTTTTTTTTTACTCTGTTTTTTAAATAAATAGTTTAAATAAATCATAATGTTTTTGAGATAAAGTCAATCGTAACATGAAACATTGATAATTACTAATTTCTGATCAATTAATTTCTGTGAACAGATCATGTAGTAATTTACTTGATAGTTAAACGATGGCTTAGGATGTTAAAACAGCATTTTCTTTAATGTATTTCTTAGCTTTTCCTGTTGTGATAAATTCACCAGTATTGACATTGCCATAGGACATTGACAGCTCCAAGACTAGTTATAGAAAGTAACCGCATCCAAGTATATGCGCAAGTGTTCACAACAAGATCGAAAGAACTTCAGTGTAGCTCTCACAAGTGCAGGACTTCCTTGGGAGTTTCTTTGATAGGTTTCTAACTACCCCTGATACCTTAAATAACTAAGCTGAAATAATGAAATCATGCCTGCTTGTAGGCCAAGGTTAAATATTATCTTGTGCTAGTTTTCTGCAAATTGTAGTGCCATACAAGGTAATAAGTTACTTTTATTTGAAATCAACATCAATTTGTCTTTTATTTTTACAGTTTCGTAGCACCATATTTTGATTTTCATCTGAAAAAAAAAAGAAAAAAAAACACACCTCAAACTCTACATGCAGTAACACTAATTTCAGCTTCAAGGTTTTGTTGTTACTAGGAATGCTTAATTCCTTATGGTATATGTTAAAAGTTTTTATATTTGCATGCATTATCAAATATCCAGATGAATGTTGAAGTAAAACTCTCTCAGCTAGGTAGTTACTCTTATTTAGGCATATTGACTTACTTGAAATGGATTTTTTTTTTTCCAACAATGGAGATTTTTTTTTTAACTCAATTCTTATTTGAATGGCAAGGCAGGTTTTCTTTCTGTTTTAAATAAAGTGGAAATCAAGGTGGTAAATGCTTATTCTTTCCTAAATCTTTTTAAGTATAAAAGACTTCAGAAGGCCTGGCTGCTACTGGAAGTAATTTTCTAGTTTTCTAGTTGTTACTGTCTTTTAGTGGGAAGTATTTTAGCATCCTAAGTCACCAGAAATTTATTTTTCTTTTCTTTCCATTTTTTTTGTATCAATTTCTGAAATATGTCAGGCTTCATAGGAACATTTGAGCTCTTAAAATGTAGAGCAACTGAATTCTCCGTGGAAGTGACATCCTTTCTGGAAAACACTGAACGTAAGGGGATAAATGCACTAGAGGGGTAAAAGTACTGTCTATTCCCTATCAAGCCAGCCTTTGTTTTACTTCTAACAAGTTACTGTGTGTCGTCGCTAAAATTCATCTTGGGGACATTCTTGAAATATTTACTATAGTTAGCTGAAATCCAGGATTTTGGGGGGATGCATTTCACATTCAACTATAAGTTTCAGTGCCAGCATATCCATTTTTGTCTTGCTGAATGAGTGGTTTTCTGTGTTTTGGGTGTATCCCATCTTTCACGATCAGTCATTTGCTGAAGTGGAAAATGTGGAGATGGAAAGCACGTCTATGGAGTTAGCTGCATTGCGCATTTGGTCGGAGTTGAGTTGGCACAGCGATGTGCCAAGCGTTCTGGCCGTGGTAAAGTGAACACTAATTGTGGGTTTGAAAGAGAGCACCAACGTATTTTAAGTGTTTACCAAACTTTGCAGCAGACATAATGTCAAACACACCCATGAAGATGTCCTTACAAAGTGCTGAGAAAGCTAGGAAAATAAGGAAAAGCTAGAAAAATAAGGAAAAAATAACATTAGAGTATTTTGATAGTCTACTTAAAATGCATTGCTTTGAATTTTTGCAGTTCAGTTTTGGATGGAAAACTGCAGGACAGAAAGTTATTTTAGTAAGTATTTGGTAAGCTCGTGCTCCTTCGTAAGGTATTTGTTTACAGAGGTAGGAGAGCTCCACGAGTCTGGGCTGTTTCCTCTTCATTTCTTCACCAAGGAGGGGCTGGAAACAAAGGCCATCTTCACAGACCCTGGGCTATCATTTTGCCCCATGACCTCCCAAAAATCCCATAGTACTCCTTCAGGGTAGCACCCAGTCTGTGGTGAGGACTGTGAGGCTAACGTTATTTGACTGGAATGTGTTGGTAGGACTTCCTGAGGAGACTGTGATGCACGACAAGTATTTGAATTAAAAGACCTGTGTGTGTGTGCAAAGGGCTAGTGGGTCAGGCTGCGTGTGCTATCACGTAGAAGTTAAACAGTTTCTTAGTTTTGTGTCTGATGGGATTAATTTAAGTGAAATCTGTGTAATGGATGCATGTGCTAGTGTAGGCCCGCATTCTGTGTTACTCGAGTGGAAGGAGTTTAGAAACCAGGCCTTAAGTGGTAGTAGTCCTGAGTGGTCCTTTCAGCAGAGGCACTTCTACAAACCTTCAGCCTTTTTTTTCTCCTGTTGTTCCATTCTCCCCAAGCCCCAAGCTCCTGCTCTGCTGAAACAAAGGGCTGTGGGGCTGTGCAGTGTGCTGAATGAGGACATCAGTCCAAGCTGTAAGTAACATTGCATTGTAATCTGGGTCAATCCTCCACTCTGTTTGACAGAGAAAGAGAATAGGAGGGAATCATTTTAAGCTAGACTTGCCAGTAAAATCTGTGATAACACTACAACTCTTTTCTGTACAACCAATGAGTGCTACTTGAGATATCTGAAGATTTGCTGAATTTTAAGATTTAAAAAAATAATAAAAAAGGACACATGAAGATCCTGGAGCTAGAGTATCTTAAAGGTATTTATTTGAAATGTACATAGCCGAGAACCCCCAGAAATAAACCCTTCCCCTTCCATGTGTGATATTTACCTGCTAAGGAAGGACATTTGTGGTTATTACCAGTTGAGGAAGGCCAGTAATGCAGGGAGCTTATCTCTCTGTTGTTGTTGGTTTTTATTTCTGTTTTGTTTTGTTTTTCTGATGAGTGCCCATAGGTCTTTTAGCTTGACAATTATGCCTTTATTAAAGGAAAAGATTCATGCAAAAAGCAGAAATGTTTAGATGAAGATTTTTTCTTTTTTTAATGTAATTAGTATATCTTCTGGTTGCAGTTGCTTCAAAGTCAAAGTGTATAAAACCCTGCTAAAAGTGAAGATGAGAGAGATGGACAGAAAAAGTTGGATTGAAAATGGTCCTTTTTAACTTTGTGTCTTAGTGGGAAAATTCTTAAAGCCAAATTTCTTCCACTGAATTACTCCATATTAAAAAGCAAACAAACAAAACCCAAAGACCTTGCCTTCCAAGTAATAATGTTTATAGCAAGACTCAGTAATTACCAAGTGGTGGAACTTCCCAAGAGATACTGCTTGCTATCTTTAGCATAAAAATTTATTTGACTTTTGTGGTATTTGCAGAAGAAAACTGTCTGCAATAGAATTAATGTAGCTCTAATTTGAGGTCTGTTTCAGTGTCTTAGAAAGTTGGAGGTGTTTTCAGAATTTGATAAACTTCTTTTGAAGGCAAAGATTCCTGTTGGTAAGCTGTACATGTAGAGAGAGAGAAAAAAGCTGTAATTTTACACTCATTCTTTTCTAAGTATTTCTGACCTAGAAATATTTTCTACACCTACATGCTGTGATATCCAGAATCAACAGCAGGAAAGTAGGACAAAAACATTTTTCTTGATTATGAATTTTTAGTCCTGGTGACTGTGGTTTGGAGGGTGTAATTAATTCATTGCTTGGTGACTTCGTGACTAATGCTGTCAGTTACTTTGTCCTTGCTTAGAAAGCTAAGAATGATGCAGGCAGAAATGAGGATGGCAGTTGTGTGGTGGAGGGAGTCTTCCTTATTCTCAAGTCTTTTGTTTTGTTGGAAGTAGACTAACTGCCTCGTCTTTTGTATTCTACAAACTTTCTATTTTGTTTTTGTCTCTTTTTGTGAGCACAGTTATTTATTTCATACTATCTCCTTTCACAGTGTCTTGAATTTTCATTTACTAATACTCTATGCGGTATCCTTCTTTACCTTTTCTTCTTAGTAAATAAAAATATCCTAGCGTGGACTGATTCCTGAAATGGCATTTAAGGAAGAATTGGTCCAAATAACCTTATGTACATTGATGCTGTTTTACAGTAAGTGTTTCCCTGATGGTACATTTTCAGGAGAGCTGTTCTTTTGTTAGAAGATTCTACCCCAAGTTCCTTTGCAATAATGACAAACTATTACTAGCTTTTAACTTCTTACTTGAGGAAAAAATAGGTCACTTAAGATCCTGCAAATTAGTACACTGTTTACAAAGCAAATGCTTGAGTGTGGTCATGCTTCGTTCAGTTGTGGAAGGCTTCATGGCTGGGGTTAGGGAAGCAAGAACGTGTGGAGTTTAATCTGAAAAGTTGTATAAAAATCTTTATTGATTCAGGTGCTGTGATGTTCATGCTGTTCAGGATTTCTTTATCAGCTCTTGGGGGATATCCTTAACATTTCCACATGCAGTAGGAAATAGTGGTTTTACTGCCATTGTAACTCACTAATTTTCAATAAATTCAATTCAATTTCAATAGATCAGCATGACCTGCTGAGTTCCAGTACTAAACCGTCTCCCTTAGTGCCATGTCCACACCTCTCTTCAATACCTCCAGGGGTGGGGACTACTTCGCTTCCTTGGGCAGCCCATTCCAATACCTGACTACCCTCTCTGTGAAGAAATTCTTTCTAATGTCCAATCTAACCCTCCCTGCCACAATTTGAGACCGTTTCCCTGCATTTCCATTCAAATATCAATGTGTTTGTTTGCTGTTTTTTTTTTTTTTAATTATTATTATATAGAAGAAATTAAATGTCAAGCATTTACTACTACACTATAGCAGGACTACTACACGTCCTAGTACTATGTAGGCTGTATACTCTTCAGCTCCAGACACATGAGAAGAAAGAAGGTAATTTAGGTAGACATTTTAGGCAGCATTTTCATATATTAAAGGAATCAAATATCCAGTTGTTTATATTTTTTGTAACAGATCATCTGAAGTTGAGTACTAAAATTTCAATATTTAAACAGCATCCTTCGCTTTCCAATGTATTTCTTCAAATCTGTGAAAACAACAACAAAAAATAGCATTAGGCATGTATGTAACTCTGTGAACTTTTGCAGGAAGCATTGTTTTCTCAGAATATTTTGGTAATGATGTTGATAATGTTGAGAACTGTGGAAAAACTTTTCTGTTGTTAAAATAGACACCCTGCTGGAAGCTGTGTGGCTGGTGACATGAGAAAACCCCTTTCTGCTTAGAGCTGAGGCACAGGCACCAATTATGAATGATCTTTGACTCCATGCTTTTGAAAGTAAGGGAAGTCTTCCAGGACGTTTAGTTTGTAATTATTAAGATGTGTTGTTTTATACTCAGACTTGTACCTGAAGCAGTTCAGATACATCACATATGTCCAAGGAAGGCTTTTGATTAGCTCTGCTTACGTGCAGTTTTAATAAGTTTAAGTCCTGAACTGCTGTTCCCTGTTCTAAAGAATTTGTGCTTCAATTTGTTTTCCAGAGAGAGGAAAGCAGTGCCTGAGTCTCAGCCAGAGAAGAATGATTAATACAGACATTAATGAAGTCCCATAAGTTAAAATATCAATCCACTCTATAAAAAAAAAATGTCAAAACTAGCTAAACCTACTTGTGTATTTCGGAACTGGCATGAACTTTCTGTAACATTACATATAAACAAGGACTTACTGCCATGCTCCTTGCTAGGCCATAGGTGCACAGTAGACATCTAACTCCACTTAAAGACAAGCAACAGTGAGATTAACTGCAGGTTAAGTGTCTGAAAATAGCAACTTTGATCCTCAAGTGACTAGCTATTTAAGTGGAGGAGGATATGAGAAGGTAAACAAGCATTAGAGTGAGGGAAGCAAAAAGGGGTTGAAAATACAAGTGACTTCTGAGAGTTGTGGTGGTGTGGTTTTTGGTGGTGTGTTTTTTTTCTTTTTAGTAGTTTTGAGTATTCCTGAATAGCTGTCAGTTTGAAGTCGATATTCTCTGACTTCCTTTTAAAAATATGAATTCAACCACAGCTTTCATTTAGTAGCAGCAGTTCTTTATTCGAATGCCTTTAATACGACATGCGTAATTTAGGTGTATCAAATCAATAATGTTTTAATCTAATAATGAAAAGAAAATCAGCTGTGCTATGAAGTGCATCGTCTCCTACTATATTTTCTCACTGTAACTTCTGAATACATATTCTGGTGATCTACAGATGATGGACCATGTATCAGTTTCCATAGTTATCACTGAGCTGCAGGCTTCTGATTTTCCTTTGTGCTCCAGCAAATTTGGTTCAATCTTTTATCACCTCACCATTCAGCTGGCTGCACAGGATGCTTCTTTTCAGCATTTTAAAGTCTTCAGAATTCTTCTGTCAAACTTCTGACTTAAGCAGTTAGTGGCTTTTATGGCACTGAATATGAAAAAACATGGTAGAAAAAATTGTTATTAAAATAGTTTTGTCAACAGTCTGGGTAGGAATTTAAAACACATCTCCAGTGGGTCACAGCCTCTCATTTACTGTTTTATGCCCTCTCTTCATTCTGCTTCCATATGTGTTTGTTCTGTACAGCAAAGAAAAATTAGGGAATTGGTCTTTCTAAGGGAAAAAATAAACAAAACAATTTATTTAGCCATGAAACTTGGGGTGCAGGTGCATTATGCCACTACCACTCAGTGCAAGGAACATCCTGAAGGGAAAACAACTGACCCAGCATGGGAGTTGCTTGAGATAACAGAAAGGCAATCCCATTTTGCTTGATCTACCCTAGTCAGATGAATCTTTGCCTCAGTCTCATACAAAAGAGATTGAAAAGAAGTGTGAGAAGCAGACAGGGTGGAACAGACCATGAGTGTGAGGAGATAAAGTGAAATCTAAATCATAAAGGTTTGTTACTTTGAATGCAATTTTATTGTCAAAATGAAAGCACCCGCACTGTCTCAAAATAGCAAAATATGAGAAAAAAAAATCAAGAAGTGGTAAAATTGTTTTTCAGACTGGCACAGGAGACTTCTAGGGAGTGAGTCTTCTGTTCCTACCTCAGGATCCCCCGGGGAAAAAAACAAAACTGCACACTTTTCTCATTTAATTAGCTCTGCAGAGCTAGAAGACTCATGTCAAATAATGTAAAAATACTCTGTATCACCTGTCAGAGTAGGACTTTTGAGTCAAAAGATTCCTTACCAGCCTCTTCTTTCCTCTTTCTACATACAACGCGTAAGCTTGCATTCACATGTGCTCTTTACTCTCTTTATCTGTACTTAAAAACAAGTCACTTCACATTTCTTGTATTTAACTGCAGCATGTTCTGTTGTTTTTAACAACTTGTAAGTAGAATTCCTCAAACACTTTATTTTTTACAGATAACCAGAAGGTAATAAATATAGTGCCATACTTGCAATACAGTAAAGAACATAAGGAAGTTGTGGGGGAGCAATAGGAATTATTATTTCAGCAGTAGTAGCTTCGTTGCTCTCCACTGTTCTACTTTTTACTTGCTCACTCAGAAGGAATCTTCTTTTCTGTTAGCACTTAACCTATATACTGTTAATTTAGGGCACGGTTAAGTAGAAGGCGTATTTGGAAAAGCCATGTTTTGTCTTTTATTTTTTTGTGGCTTTTCCTCTCACCCCCCTTTTTTTCTAGGGAGCTATTTTGAACACCACTGACTTGTGTTGAGAAAGAGGAATCGTGGGTATCTCTGTAACTACTGAGTAAATCCTTATTGGATGAAGAAAGAGGAAAACAAAAGGTCTGTGCAGCACATTCAAATAGTTGCATAGTGGTGTTGTTTTCTGAAACATCCTTCTTTCTGCTAGGCAGTCCTTCAAAAATTTGTGAAATATGTGAAATCTAAAGCCATAGTGGCCTGGGGTAAGAGCAGTAAAATGTATAGCATATAACTGCTTCTTCACATACGTCTAACAGCAATGGCAAATGTTTGATTTATATATGTATTCTTTCAGGATGGAATTGGTTTTCTTCTCATTGTAAAACAAAGTGGTTTTTTTTTTAGCATCCAGGGTTTACTTCGCATAATTCAAGGCTAAGAAACAGTTACTCCCCTTTAATATGTTTTTATAGCTTCATTGCAATTTTTATTGCTGATCAAGTAAATGGAGAGGAGAGGGATCAGATCAACCTTATATTAAGGCTGTATATTCTTCCTTTGGGAAAATGAAAGGCATTCGGTGATCTCAAAACTCATTTCTGTACAAACCTCCCTTTACCTCATTTTCCATAATTCTTGATGTATTTATACCTGTGTGTTTATTCCTGGAGGAAGATAGAAAAGCTTTTGGTTTGCTGTGGGATGCAGTATGAACCCAGCAGGTATTTTGTTTCTTATCAGTTCCAGAAATTTTCTAGTGATTTGCAGCTAGCAGCTTACTTCAGCTCCGGTACTTACAGATATCTGTGATAATTAAAAATAAAAATAAAAACAAAACCACCACATATTTCTTGATACAGCTACATATTTATAAATTTAAAAATTGTTATATTGTCCTGACAGCTTTTGAGTGAGATTTCTTCAGTGAAATACTTTCTTAGTATCATCGTTGCATTTTTAAAAATCTATGAAAAATGTTTTTTGAGTGTCATTGTGAAAAACAATAACGTCCTGAGTTTTGGTTGTCTGGTTTATTCTTAGAATTATTTAATGTGATCAGATGATTCAGAGATGATATGTGCTCATACTGAAATGCAGTGAGCAGAGATCATGAATCCAAAATGAGCATCAAAAGGAAAGAAAGCATTTATCTGCCTAGAAATATGTATCAACATATTCTAGCATAGGTAGCAATTTGCAGCATAACAGCTGGGGATATTCTGGATTCCTCTGCAGCCTCCCCTTTCAGGATGTCTTTGACAGATGGCACTCACAGATGGACATAACATTCTTAAGGAGCTTACTTCTTCTACTCCTTTACCCTCCAGTAACTCATGATACTATTAGAAATCTAAAAGCTTTGACATGAATTAGCCTTACTTAGCAGACTTTAATTTTTTAATCTTTAGAATATGCTGCTTGGCTGTGGTTGCGGAGTTCTTAATCTGTTTACTTACGTTCTTAGGAGCCAAAATGGAATTCAATAAAGTGGAGATGGCAAAATGTGGAAAAAATACAGTCTTTTCCAGATCTTTTTAAATTGTAGTTTTATTTTTATTCCTACATTTTGGAGGAAAAGTGTAGATTGATACAAAAGGATATGGTTCAGCAACTCAGAAATAGCTCTGTCAACTGAAGCTCACAGAATCCAAGCAAGCTGCTTAGTATTCCATTGCAATTACATTGAAATCTTGAGGGAATAAACCTTAACATTTTAATTTTGGTGGTCAATGAAAATTCTTTCTATCCATTCATGCAAAGCAGCTTGTATTTACTTAGTATGTTTAAGTATCCACCTAATAGACAGTCACCAAAAGAGCAAGCTGTGTTAAATATTATTGAATATGCCTGGTGTGATAGTTACTTCTCTATTAAATGACCAGTGTTATACCTCCATATCCATGCAGCTTTGGATTCAAAGGTGAAGGGCATTATTCTCTCCAGTGTTGACTCAAATGGTCCTCCTCTCTGATGAATGTCACTGGTGTGCAGTTTCTGTTGAGGAATGTGAAACTATTAGCAGAATGATTAGATCCAAAAAAAGCATTGTGACAGCTGGGCAGATTAGAGATGCAAAAATCCTGAGTGCCCTCAGCTAGGTACTCCACTGCTGTGTAGTAGTAGTTTATTAGAAAACTGGAAGAACAACAGTTAGAGATGGAGAAATCAAACCTTCGTTTGTTTTGTTTTCTAAATGCTGTGTAAATTCAAGGTTTCCAGCTTCTCCTTCGCAAATAGTATGTAGCCCACTGTGGCAAAACTTCTGGTTCACAGCCCATTTTGAACAGTTTTTTTCTTCAGGGCCCCACACCTGGAGGCGGCATGCTAGATGCCAGTCTGCTCCCTCCCATCACTTTTTTTTCCCAGAGGTTCCTCGATTTCAAGTTGTTGTTGCATTTTCAGCATAGGCGAAGTTGTTCAGTTACACCAAGGTATGATTGAAACACCCACTTTGCAACCTCCTGCTGGGGAGTGGGTTCTGCAAAACCATCAATGAGCGAACAAACCTGACTTAAATCCTTTTCTTACTGGATGTATTTATGTACTCGGTTCTGTTGCCTGGCTATTCCTAAGCTTGTTTTTAATAATAATAAATAGTACACACATAGTTACAGAAAAAAATTATGGGCAGTTTAACTAAGGAGTGTGTTATTTTAGGTGAGAAATGTAGGCCATGCACTCGAATACAAGGTTCAGATAAGTAGTCCAGGCCAGAATAGTGCCTAGTTTGCATTTTCAACAAACTCCACCTATTTTATTACCTCACTCTAAGTTTTACATTGCTGCTGTGTGGTTTTGTTGTTGTTTTGTTTTTTAAAAACAAACAAAAACCAAAGAGCTTTTCTTGTTTTCCTTTGCTCATTAAGTTGACTCAGTGAGTCTCAATAGGGCTAACTGTTTAGCCAGGTTAAGGACAGAGTCCTCCATTAAGAAAAACAAGAGATATTGGGGGAAGCTGTGGCTGTAGCTGATGCCAGAGACTAACCAGTATGATGATGCTATGTTTCAACAGAATAAAGCAGCTAGCTGATCCCTTAATGTGGTCTGGTACTAAGTGTCGAGTCTTCCTGAAATGCCTGTGTGAAATAAAGACCCTTGTTTTGGGGTAACAGAGCAATAGTGCTGGTGCTTACTTCTGAGATGCAAAGAGGAGACCTGGGAGCTCTGCCCTGCCGCAGCTGCAGACTCCTGAGCTGAAGTATGAGGAGATGAGTTCCCTGTGGTACAATTCTTACGCAGAGAAAGTATGTGCAAAAGAGCAGTGGTATGGAAGGCAACTCCTTTGGTATTATCTAATGGCTTGAGGCCAGTCTTGCCAGCATTTATCTTCACAGTGTCATCAGTGTCAAAGACTGACCTTGGTTGCTGAGCCTTCTGCGATAAGGGGCTGTGTGTTTGTTAGGCTTTGGAGCAGCAAAAGGAAGGTTTTCATTTGAAGTATTTTTATAAGCTTGTCTACTGTTAAACGTTAAGACATGATCAAAACAATTTTGTCTTTTTACCTGTCATATCCTTGCAGAATTTAGAGAGAGAGAAATGCTTTGCCATTATTTGTTTTATGAATTGGAATTTCCAGTGCAAAAATGCTCAAGTTACTAAAACCGAGGCTAAAAATGCTAAAACTGAGGCTAAAGTGTCTTGAGCCACTAGAACTAGGAAGTACATGTCCTGCTATGGTTGAATATTTAGCATCTTGGTGAATTAAAAAAAAATAAAAGTCCTGTTTTTTCTTCCATGTTTTGTTTGCACATCTTTCAAAACTCCTGTGCTTGTGCCTGGAATTTTCTGCATCCTGAAAGATCCTCAGGAAATCTAAACTATTACAATTCCCTGAAAATTACAGGGCAAAGCTCTCGTGTTTTTATGCATGAGTTATTACTTAACAACACTATTAGTTACAAGATCAATGAATTAAACATTAAATTCTATATGTGTTTTAACCCCAACAAGTTTTTTGATCAACCACGCAACTTCTAGGAAGTTTCTTGGCTTCTGTGTTCTTTTGTATGAAGTTTGGTCAGTTTCAGGATGCATTGGATATCAGTTCCTGTTGGACCCTTGCTTGTCTGCCATAAGGAATTGGCATTCTGCTAACGCCTATGACTCTTACATTTTTGTTTCATAGATGTTTAAAACAACATCTGTAAATCAGCATTGTAAGGTACTAAATTGAAAATGTTTCTAAAATGACCTACCGTCTTTCTTGCTTTAGTTTATAAAGCTGACAAGAAATAGAAATAATAGACATGCAGGTGACTTTACCCTGACATCTCTTCAAAATACTTGACTAGGGTGCCTAATTGGATGTGAGTTTTCTCCCTGGGTATCTGGTTCCGATAGCTGCTTAGCATTTTGGATGATAGTACCATGAAAAGTATGTAGCTGCCAAGTACTAATCAAAAAGAATATTTCAAATGACTTTTTCTTTCTGAGAAGAAGAAAAACAGTTTGATACAGGCAGCTTTTCAAAATAATTATCCATATTTTAGAGCTCTTATCATTTTTGAGATATGCATTATTTTAAAGCAAATGGATACATATAGAGGTCACAGGGAGATATTTTTTCTAGGTTAAAAATGTTAGGACATTGTAATGCTATGTGGTGGAGCATATATTTATATGCCAGTAACTCCACTCAATTCAAGCATTTAGGAATGAGTATCAGTGCCTGAACAAACTCAAGATCTATATTTGTTGGCTGATGTACTCATTCCCTGTTGTTTGTTATTATTTCCTTTATTAGCATTTGAAATTCATAAAGGGTAATGGATACAATAAGGTATATACTGAATAAACACAGTAAAGTAAATACTGCATCCAGAAGACTTGTCTGAGTGGCAGAAATCGGAGCAATGTAGATCTGTAGAGAAAAGGCCTGGGAGGTTACTCTGAGAGGTCAGTCTAATACTTTTCCTCTGCTGCAAGACAAGATCAAGCTATAGCAAAACCACTCTTGGTAGATATTTGTCTAACCAGTTCTTAAAAAAAATACTGTGATGGATATGGTGAAATTTCCCTAATCAATTTGTTACAGTGTGGTATTGTCATTATTATGAAAGCGTTTCCTAATGTCTAATCTAAGGATCTTTCATCAGAATACTACTTGTGCTGCCCACGCTCAGTGTGGATAGCAATCTGCCTTCTTTTTGTATGTTATACTTCAAGTCTGGGGTGCAAATTCTTTGCAGTAAAAGAGGAAAGCAGCAACCTCTGTGCTCACCAAAAGTAAGGTAATTTCCTCTCAGTGTGGTTTAAAGATTTGAAAAATATTCTTCGTCAGGAAACGTATTCTGAAACTAAGTAATTTTGGGTTCAGTACCTGATTCTGTCTCTGATGGTTGGTGAAACCATGAGTTGCTGAAGTAAACATGCTTGTACAATTTCTTCACATGTGTTGTCAATTAAGTTTTTTTTTTTTGCTAGTGCACGTTCTGCATCTAGTACGTGTAACTTTAATTTCTACATTGTCTATCATTTAGTTTTGTAATATTACTAAGAATAAATGTTGGTTAGGGTGTGCAGCAGTATAAATATAAAACTGCACACACTGATCGGTAAGTATGGCTGTATGTCAGATCCAAACTTCTATCATATCGGTTTAGTTCAGCTGTACTAGTAATTGATGGGAGTCTGCCCACTGACTTTAATGAGATTGGGCTGAATCATCTCCCGCTGAGAGTAGTGAGATTCCTTTAGCAGAGGTAAATTACTGGATGTTCCTGGAACAATGCATACATAATTACTTATTATCAAAACTTAATGAGAAAACAAAGGCACTGCTTAAGAAAAAAAACAAACCCTGAACCACATCATTGCAAGTTAAAAATAAGATTGTTTATAGCATTTCTTCTTCTTCTTTTTTCATGTACTTTCTTTGCTTATTAAGACTTAAATCTTAAAGTGTTTAATCTGACCATTCCTATAGTTTTCAAGGCGATGTGCATGGCTACTGCATCTTTTTAAATTCCCAGGTTTAGTTTGTCAGCTTTACAGGAAGCAGGTTTAGTTCACTATAAAAAACATGATACAGCTGTTTGAGTGCTATGTAAACAATAAGGTTGTGATCAAAATTACTTACATTATTTTGAATTCAATAGAAATAATCACATTCAGGATTCCACCCAGAGCTGGAGGGGTATCTGTTTAGGAGAAGGCAGGCAGCAGAGTCTTGATAAGAGGAATGGTTAATGAGGTACAACATATTCCAGTTTTCTTAGGCTGTTCTCTTGTGCAATCTTACTGGGATTACTGAAGAATAACTGCCAGCAGTTCAATCCAATTTGTCTCAGTGCACATTGCCAGGTGGAACATATTTCTAGTTTTGCTCACTAGAATTTGGATAAAATTTCGTTGGTAGAATATGGCAACTTTGATATAATCTGGCAGAGAGTAATAGATGAAAGAAATAAGCTCCTGGACATTACTGCCTGTAGATTTGACTGGAAAAAAAATGAAGCAGTTAATTGACTAGCGTTCCTGATGGCAGGTCACCAGCTGTTTCACTCTGCATATCTAAAGCAGGCTGTCAGTATGGCATTGCTGAATACCTTCACAAAAACTTCACAGACGCCAAATTTTCTCATTTCATTGGAATGCTGCCAAAACCAAATGTTTTCCTTTTTTGTTATCATGGTTGCAGTATTTCTGTGTGAGAAGAGGAGGTGTGTGGAAGAAAAATCTTCCTGAAACTACAGAAGGGAGTGAAATAAACTGCAGAACTTATGTTCTGACTAAGGGTAGCCCTGTGTTTTCAAGGAGTTTTGGATAAAAAGTCCAGGCATTCTGACAAGATCTTGGTTATATTCCTTTTTTTTTTTTTTTTTTTTTTTTTTTTGAGGAGGTAACTTGGCAAACAATGATGTTTCTATTTGTAAGACCGGATAATTATAACCATTGATGTCTGCTTTTAACTTTTTTGGCTTATGCCTTTGGGGAATCCTCTTGTACGTTTAATGAGTAAATAATATACTGTGATATCCTCAATTAGTATTAAGTTGTCTGCATCAGTCTTTCTCTGCCAGCAGTTAGTCCAGGAACTAATTTATTTTTTTCATCTGGTGGTATTTTAATTGGCACTGGTTATAGCATTAACAAAATGCTGTTCATATGAAAAATAATTTAATATAACTTATTCACTTTGTTTCTCAAGGTCAGCATGTCTTGGGGTGTGTGACCTGTCTGAATTCTCCAAATTATCACTTTCTTATCCACGGGACTAAAACAAACTGGTAACTCTGCTATCAAATTGCTCCTTTGATTTCAGACAGATGCATTTCTTTCTTCAGGCTCAGCTGATGTTGCAGTTGTTGAATCTAGAACCCTATGAACCTCTACTGTCACTTCAGTTCTGCCGCTTTTTGAAAAGCTCAGCTCTGTTTGTGAGGAAAATCTATTAATATCTGAAACGTTTAGTCCAATGGTGACATATCACAGAATCACAGAGTGGCCGAGGCTGGCAGGGACCTCTGAAGATCACCCAGTCCAACTCCGCTGCCAAGCAGGGTCACCTACAGCACGTCACACAGGATGGCATCCAGGCAGGTTTGGAATATCTCCAGAGAAGGAGACTGCACAGCCTCTCTGGGCAACCTGTCCCAGTGCTCTGTCACCCTCACAGGAAAGAAAGAAGTGTCTTCCTTTCTATTTATCTCTTCCCCTGCCTCCATGAGATTGCCCAAGAAAAAAAATCAGCGTAGAATAGTTCAGCTGGAAGGGACATTCAAAGATCGTCTAAGCCAACTGCCTGACCTCTTCAGGGCTAACTGAGAGCTAAAGCACCTTACTGAGGTCATTATCCACTTTGCTAGGATGCCTGTTTCAGTGTTGACCACCCTCATGGTAAAGAAATTTTTCCTGGTGTCTAGTTTGAATTAAGTCAAGATTCTTCTGGAATCACTGCTTCCTGTGCTGTAGACCTGCAGAACTGCTTGTTGTCTTGCAAATAACTGAATAACATCGATTCAGTGATGCAAAGAATGACGTAGATGAACCTCAGGAACAGGTACACTTTGAAATCACAAAATCATCAAATAGTTCATGTTTCGTAATTCAAGGAACTTCAGGAGATCAGCTAGCCCAAATTTCAATATGCAAGACCTCACGATTTGTAAAGGTTCGTTCAGTATCAGAAATTAATCCATGAAAAAAAAATGATTCACAAGTATTTGTTTTGCAACTGGAATGTGCTATGTATGGGTTTAGGATGTCTCAGAGGGAATACTTTTTCTCAAGTCTTACCGAACAAATGAAATTCTACTCTGGCTCATTAACAGAGAAATCAAAATATATGGCAATAATCCAAATGTCTGCTGTAGTCTCATTTCAGAATTTTGTTTATATTAACACAGTTTGTATCTAAAATGTTTGAGTTTTAATTATGGCTTAAGAAGGTAAACTTATTTTAAAGAGAGTTGAGTGGAGTGATCCGGATAAACAAGCCAATCTAACGCATGAACAGCTCCCCACATTAAACCAAGAAGTATTCTGAATTTTGAAAAATGATTCTTTAAAGATTTTGTCAGTTTTTATTAGAAGCCTTCACACATCTGTTTTCTGCAGAAGTGAAGTTGCCAGCGTCACACAGGTTGTTCTTATGGCATTCCTCAGCTGAACAGGAGCAAATAATAAAGTCTGCAAAATACCAATACAAATTGCATCACTTTGTCCAAGCTGCTGTTGAGTACTGATTTTCTCCTATAATCAAGGCTAAAGCAACTGAAAGAAATAGAAGTCACTCCCATGGCTGTCCTCTGTGTTGGAGTCAAGGTTTAAATGACCAAATGTATGTTTTAAGAAGTTTCTTTGCTTGAGACTTCTGGGTCCTTTGAGGCTGGTATGTCACTCATACAAACAAACAAAAAAACAGAACAGCAGCCTGTGCTTAGATCACCACCTCTGGTGACAGTACTGAGTAGATATATAGTCTATATAAGGAAGGATTTACTTCTTTGGGTATGGTGGGTACCCATGCCCCATTAATCCACTGTGGTGTGCTTTGCAAAGAACTTGTGCAACAGATCTGCTTTGTGCTGCGTCTGTCTCTAACAGCCTGTACCCATTGCCTCCTATGTTCCTTGCAGTTTTCTTCTTCTGCAGGTTTGCTCTGTTTCAGAGCTCTGAGAACAAAGGGACTTTCACTGCAGTTTCAGGAGATGATGGTAAATAGTACTCTAGAAACAGTGTGGATACTCTTTGTTAGTACTGCTCTACCTTGCAGTACCAAAGAATATTTCTGTGTAGCAGAACAAAAGGTTAATGAAGCAAGAGGACAGAGGAAGTATGGACTGGAGGAATAAGAAACCAGTGGGAGTGGGAATGGAATCTGGGAAGTGACCACAGGGAAATACTGGCTGCTGAGAACTTAGGAGAAAAAAGTTTATGTGTGTACAGGCAGGGAAACTAGGACTAAAGAGAAGAAGCTGATAGTGAAAGAATGAAATCAGAATGGAGGTGATACAGGTTTGATGGGCTGTGGAAGATTGGGCATCTCAATTTCTGAGGTGAGCTTTGGAGGTGATAGGAATAGAATTACAGCTGAGGTGGAAGCAGAGGGCCAGTGCGTACACCAAGGGAACTGGGATGAGCCAAGGAATATGGGGGAGACCATGCTCTGTTTAGAAGAGAAGAAAAATCAGTTCTGATCACCAAAGGAGTAAACTTCTTCAAAACATCTTCAAAACAAAAACCTGGAGTAAAGCTCTTAATTTAATGGAATCTAAAAAGTGCTCAGCAGAGATGCAAGGTTTATGACATTATTTTTCCCCATAACGTACATGAAGTTGGCTTCTTTTTCCTTAACTGTAAAAATTCCTCATCTAAAGTTATTTCTGAGCCTCACAAACTTCACTGTGCAAGATGTACTTGTTCCTCTGAGTGTTTTCAAGGTTTGCAGTTCTGTGTTAGCATAGTGCAGAAAACAGAGTGAGCTTTCTCATGTTTTCTGCTATTTTGTGAGACGGGGTGGAGGAGGTCAGTTTGGTTTTATTATACTAATTATTCTTATTATTTCTCTTAGGAACATACTAAAAGATAAAACATGGAAAAATGGAGTCTCGAGGTGACTCATGTTTTTGTTTAGGTTGAACTAGGGCCAGCTTCTAAGAGGAACTTGCGTGCTTTTACAAAGTGTTTTATACTGAAGTTACATTTCCAGAGGCCTCTATAGCATGTGTTTGTTTTCAGTTAGGAACATGGTTTTGGTGGGTCACTCTAAAATAAATAAAACTATTTCTGCAGTCTGCAGGTTGCAATTCTTTGGCGTATTCAGAGTCAGCAAAATTCAAGAGGGAGAATGTTATTCAGAGAATGGGATTGGTGAATTTTTATGATTTGCTTTGTAATGAAATGTCTTCATTATGCCATGTCACACGATGCAAAAAGTTTAATTTCACATAGAATTTCGTTGTTATTTTATAAACATTTCTACATTTCTGTAAGGCAGCTAAAATTTATTTTCAGCGTGGGCCACTTAGTGTTTTGAAATTGAGCTTTTACCTTGTGTTTTTATGCTGTAAAGCCTTCTAAGGTTTGTGTGCCAATCTGTTTGGTTCCCAAGATACAGTAGAACAGAAACTGATTTCTGAGTGTCATTCAAGTTAATGGTGTGGCTTTGCTTGCATGAGAGTCAGTCTGGTTACACAGGGAATCTGAGATACCAGCAATATTACCTATACTTAAAATGAAGAGATTGAGAGCCCTGGAGGCAATACCAGCACTGCTCTTCGTGCTCTGTGATATCTGTTGTTCAAGTCACAAGATACAAGTTGTTAGGCATTAAATCAGTAGCCGTGCTGTCACTGCTATGACCCCAGGGACCCTGGAGAGCTGCAGAATTGCACATCGGTTGGTACCTGGGATCTGCTGGCAAGTTCTAGCTCTGCTTGTCACTTCTCTCTGGCTTTTGCTGCTGTCACTTCTGGTGACTGGGTCAGCAGCGGGCCTGAAGGAATCCTGGAGGATTGCAGCTTCAGGAGTAAACAGGGTTTTGTGGTAAGCCAGCTGCATTTAAACCATGGGTGGTCAGGTGCCTGTGCCAATTTTAGTTAAAATACAAATACTGCTTTGAAAAGACCTGGGGGGGAAAAAAAAAAAAAAAGTAAATTGTAATAATGTTTCTGCTTTTGTGAATTAATTTTTTAAAGTTGTGAGTGAATCAGGATTGAAGTTAGTTGCAGTAAATGGATGTTTATAAAAGGTAGTTTATAAAGCCAGGTGCAACACGTGAATTATTGCATATATATATCCATGTGAAAATAGTTATTGGAGTAAAAGCCTGATACAAAACCAATGGCTTTACTGATACATGATAACCCTAATTCACAGAATAATCTTGCGTCAAAACAACATCATGGTACACCATTAATTATCAGTGACTGCATATAACAGCGTATAACTGGGTGTAACAGGGTGAGAGCTTTGCACAATTGCTTCCATAATGCCACTCAAGATGGCTTTCTAATTTTGCCATTATAAGTTCGCAATAAGCAATGTTTAGAACAACAACGTGAGCTGGCAGGGTGCACTTGCAGCCCAGAAAGCCAACTGTATCCTGTGTGGCATCAAAAGAAGCTTGGCCAGCAGGTCAAGGGAGGTGATTCTCCCCCTCTACTCTGCTATACTTTATCTATATTTCAGTATACTTGGGTATCTGTAAAACAGTAGACAAAAAAAAAAAAAAAAAAAACATCAATTTTGCAAAATAAGGAGTGTTTGTTATGATGCCTGTTTAGAAGGGATTTTTTCATTTGTATCATGACCTGAGTGGGATAGATGCAGATTTTGGCCAAGCAGAGCTGCAGCAGTTTGTACAATGGCTTTGTTGGTCTATTTCAGCAGCATGACATACATACATAGTGGGCTGAGATTTGAGAGAAAAATGCTGAAGAAATACATTAATTTTAATAATCTGTTAGTTATTTTAGTGTTTCATTAACACTATAGTAAAACTTACAGTTCTACAGTAAAACTTAGAGATCATTTTATGTCTTCAGTGTTTGTGTTCATCTTTCACTTGAGAGCACTTCGCTAAAATTCTTCAGATGATTTAAAGTTTTGTATGCTTGTAGTTCAGAGCTAATAAAGTTGCCTTTCCTACCTGTGAGAAGAGTTTGACTGCACAATTCTTACTAAAATCAATATGCATTGTATGATTTGATGTACAGCCCCTGTCATGAAATGTCCCTTGGTATACATTTTGTTATGTGATTTGTGATAGCATTCCATCTACTGATCTTTAATGTTTTCCAATGATAAATAGTGTTGCAGAGTTAATGATTGGACTATATGTTATGCAATACATTTGGGGACTAATTCTGAAATGTTTTTTTTTATTTGCAGGGATATTAAACCAGACAACATTTTGATGGATATGAATGGACATATTCGATTAGCAGATTTTGGTTCTTGTCTGAAACTGATGGAAGATGGAACGGTAAAGTAGAAAGAATGATATATTCATAAACACGTTTTCCTCAGTCCCTTGCTAGCCACTAAAATGTATGTTAATAAAGAGAAAAGGTGCCTGATGTCAAATGAAATGGAATTGCAGTGGTATTGGTATGTAACTAGCCTGAGTTCAAAATACTACTGCATGCTGTCTGGACTTACTGTTCATAAAATGCTTTGGTTAATATATGTAATCGCATATATTATCTCAAATATAACACTCCCAGGTGTGATATGTGCCCTAAAACCTAATTAATCAATAACAACTCTAGACTAACCTTTGGCAGTTTCTCTTTCTCTTTTATTAAATATTCATAAGAGTTTATCAAAAAATGTCATTGGAATGCCTATTAATGAAGTAACTTGGATGCTTAAGTGTTCTTTTATAAATTTAGAAGCTTTTTTTTGTGTTTAGGTTAAACTAGGCTAAGTTTATATACATGCACAGTGCCACAAGCTGCAGTGTCTGTAATGATGGAAGTTGATTTTAGTCCTGCAAATGTAACTTCTACAGGTCCAATCTTCAGTGGCCGTTGGAACGCCAGACTACATCTCTCCAGAAATCTTACAGGCCATGGAAGATGGAAAAGGGAAGTATGGGCCTGAGTGTGACTGGTGGTCCCTGGGCGTTTGCATGTATGAAATGCTTTATGGAGAAACACCCTTTTATGCTGAGTCCTTGGTGGAGACCTATGGGAAAATAATGAACCACAAAGTTAGTGCATTTTCTCTTTCTGTCTCTCTCTCAGCTAATTTTAATAAGCAATGGGGTAACTTGGAGGCGTATTTAAAAATGAGGTTTTATGTAATGATTATGTCAATGTTTATAAATGTAGAACATAAAGTATGTTTCTGTATAGAGTTTATGGTTATGGATTGCAGATGGCTTTGCTTTGGGATAAAGCAGTTCAAAGCTAAAATGCGGATTTGGAAACATGGCTGCTAGTTTGCTCCATGGAACAAGTCTTGGATACGTTGTATTGCTGCTCTTGTGTTACTTTCTTTTGTTGGTTCTACTGGTTGGCCTATACAGCAGATTCTTAAGTGTTCTTCCACTTGTGCAGAATCCAACAGTTTAAGAGAAATTCAAATAAGAAAATCTAGGAGATACATTTTTAATAGGTTCTATCTTTTGTCAGAAGTATTTTTCCTAGAAACCTTACTATGTAAATTTAAGAACATGCGTATTTGCACATTTGTTTTTCTACATAATAGTTTTCACTCAGACACTCAGAAGAGTGATTTCTCCAACTTTTTGGTGGTAACAAACTGTTTGCTCTTATCTTAATTTTTAAGGAGAGGTTTCAGTTTCCTGCTCAAGTGACAGATGTCTCTGAAAGTGCAAAGGACCTCATCCGAAGGCTCATTTGTAGCAGAGAACATCGACTTGGGCAAAATGGGATAGAAGACTTTAAGAACCATCCATTTTTTGCTGGAATTGATTGGGATAACATAAAAAACTGTGACGCACCTTACATCCCAGAAGTCAGCAGCCCCACTGATACCTCAAACTTTGATGTGGATGATGATTGCTTAAAAAATTCTGTAAGTATATAGTTAACATTTTGACAAATGTGTTTTTGTTTTATACTTTACAAGACAAAATGGCAGTTCATTTCTGTGTGTTCATGATGTTCTGCACAAATAATAAATAAGCGAAGCTTTGAAGAACCTGCAGGGGGGTATAAATTCACAGCTTGTAGTCTGATCCTCCAAGTATATATCTGTAGGGATAATTTCTGTTAAATATTGTACAGTCATTGTAACTTTACATGTCTCACTCACACATATGACTTATTTGCAGTGACAACTTCTTAGTGTCCAGGTTTTATAAATAATAATATATTGATATGTAGATAGTCTGCAAGCCACAATTTCTAATAGAACATTGTTGGTTTTTGTATTAAGTTTGCATAATGCATTTTGTTGTAGTGCTGTATTAGTAATTGCTTGTATCTCTGCCAAATCTCAGTTCATTTGGACTAAAATTTTTCAAGCTTCTTTTCTGACTTAAGTTGAGCTTTAGAAAATTTAGGAAAAATGTTACAGCTGTTTTTTTCAGGAGCAATCTTAGTGAGAAATAAATAATTTTGCCTTTGCTAAAAAGCTTGCAGCTGATGATTTTTAACAATCTTAGTGTTTCTATGCTTTTAAAGAGGACCTTTGACAGATGATAGGGATCCTAGCGTCAGAGGAATGCCTTGTGTCATCTCTTTGGAAATGCGTTTTTATTTATTGAAAGGTGCAGAAATCTGTTGTTTGCATGTGAGGTGAAGCATTTGCAGTGCTTTTGCTTTTGTTTTCTGAACTGCTTATGCTTCTCAGTTCCACTGAGCTTCCTGGACCCACAGATAAGCTTTAGTCAACGTGACTTGATATAGCCAGGATATGACTGTTGTTTGCATTCCCATTCTTCCACCAGCACAGTAAAACCAGATGAAATCCAGTGGTAGAGGTATGTGGTATGGAACACCTTTCAAGCAGATGGATTAGGCAAATCAGTCTAGCTATATAGGAACAACATGCATTTTTTAATTTTTTCATCAGTTTTTATACTGAATGTCAAAATGTCTGGAAGAGGTGGAAAAACTCTCAACTTGAACTATATGAAAAGTAATAAATTCTGTGGCTACAGTGTATAAAGCAGTCCTAATTCTCAGTTGTTCTCCACTTGAATCTGGTATTGCCCATTTCCCTTCACAACTATTTTTATCTTACAACTTTTTTATACCATCTTCCAATACATTTGCATATTATTTTGTCCAGGGACAACTGTCAGGATTGGGTGGTAAAAATGGATTCTGTCTGTAGCAGGTGTTTGTAAAACTTGATTACTTTTTGTACCTTATTCACACTGTCTAAGCTCCTCCTGTCTAGGGGCCTTTTTTGATATGAAGATCATTTTTCTGCTAGGTTTTAAGGTCAAATTTGTGAAGTAATATAGTTGATGTCACCACCAAAGAAGTAATTTTGGATTTCTTTTGAATACAGTCTTGTTACCTGTTCTGTCCTGCCAAATTTTACATTAAAACATGTACAACTGGTTCTCTTCTTCTTTCTCTGTTTGATTTCAGGAAAAAAAAAAAAAAAAAAAAAAAAAAAAAAAAAAAAAAAAAAACAGCATTAAATTTTCTTTTATTTCAAATGCTTTATCACTTTCAGGGTCACAAGCTTCTTCACAGGGGGTTGCCTTTGATGACCATTATGTAAGCAGGCATTATGCAAGACAGACTGGGAGGCAACCTGTAGTGTAACAACATAAACCTTGCATCTTGGGATTAAACAGGAAACTTTTAACAATATACTTAAGAATATTAGAACTCAAAAGAGTTCAGAAATGTAGCAACAGGGTTGTTTTAGCCTGAAGAGAAACTCAAAGATTTGTCTTGTAGTTTGTAAGTTTGTTGATTTGTCTGGCAGAGAAAAGGAACAATGATGATAAAAATGTTCAAAATTCTAATGAGGTTAGAAAACCTGTTATAATACTTTTTTCTAGAAAATGTCTAACTATTGTTCCCTCAAAATAGAGAGAGCCTACTAAGAAAAGGGGTAAATCTATGGGCAAAAGCCCTGCTGACTGAAGAGCAGAAAGGAGTAAAAGAGGGAATGAAAAATACTGTGTGCGCTAACAGCTTCTTGAAAAATGGAAGGAATCAATTGTCTTTTAATCTTTATTATATTCCGCTTTCCTCCAGTGATAGCCTGTTTAATCAGAAAAACATTTTTATGCCAGCATGTTATATTTTTATATATTGCCAGCTATTATAGGTAGATTTAGGTGATGCCATTTCATATTTGAGCAGTATGTAAGGATGACTGAGAATCTAGTCAATATGAAATTGTCACTAACATTTCACACATGATTAAACTCTCTTTTTTTTATTATTTTTCTAATCCAGTGGGATATTACTTGCTCAACTGTTGTGTTGTTTTTCTAGGAGACAATGCCTCCACCATCACACACTGCATTTTCTGGCCATCATTTACCATTTGTGGGTTTCACATACACGAGTAGCTGGTAAGTAAGATTTCTGAAATTGTCAGTAGGATAGTTCCATAATATCCTGTTTCTCTCTGAAACCCACAGTAGACAGATTAGAAAGGAATGTGGTATACTGAGGAGATTACCAGGGAATAAGCTAAAATGCTGTATGTCCAAAATAGTGAACCTTCTGCAGGTAAAATTTACATCAATGTAAAGGTCACCAACTGTGTTCAGGGGTGTTATGTTGAAAATGGTGTTTTTCAGACAGTGTAAGAAGTTGACCACTTATGGCAAAGATAAGATCAGATATGTGACCCAGAGAGAACTTGGCCTATAAGTCTTTAAAAACTGTTTTATTTCTAGTCCTTTGAAACTATTGTAAGTTTGAATGGAAACAACAAAAAAATACTCTTAATTGATATTTTGTATTAACGTGGTATTTGTCATGGTCATCTGTACTGCTAAGTAAAACAGTAACAGCAAAATCTACGTACTCTTCCTTAATCATTATTTACTTATATTTATAAATGATTACAACTATTGAAAAGCCAGGCATGTTTCTGCAAACTTGCTTAGTACTGGTTATGTGAGATGACCTGTAGACTTCAAAAGGATTATTTGCATAAGTAGCAGTATGTGTAAATGAGTATACCCAAAACCAAGGCCTCACAGTATTTCTGATATGTGGATGCTCTGATTTTCATGTGATAATTTCACACCATTTGTTGTAGTTGTCATAAGTAAAGTAGTTGGCAAACTTGATGAATAATTTTAAAATGAACTGTTACTATAATCTTACTATTTAGACAATCACTTTTTGCTGTCTGGAAGCTAACTTGAACTGTCTGTAATGGTCATTTTTAATCAGGAGTTTATTCACTTTTATATTATTAAAAATGCATTGGGGATATCAGTCATGCTAGGTAGAAATGAATTCAAGTTTTATTAAGCACATATTGACAAAGTATTATTTTATTGTGTAATGATTTACGTAGTTATTCACAATTTAAACAACTTTACTGTTTGTTTTTTAAATTTTAAACACATCCTGTTGTAAAATCAAATACTGTTTTATTTTCTTTCCCAGTGTGCTTTCGGACCGCAGCTGTCTCAGACTGACAGCTGGACCACCCTCCATGGATCTTGATGCGAGTATCCAAAGAACTTTGGAGGACAGTTTAGCAACAGAAGCTTATGAGAGGAGAATAAGACGTCTAGAACAGGAAAAGCTTGAACTTAGTAGAAAACTGCAAGGTAGAAAAATCTTTCAGTCATGATTTTGACTTAATTAGCTTTCTGTTATGTGAAGCACAGTTTATTCAGTGGAGAAAAAAAATATAACTCATGGAATGCTTTCTAGAAGAAAAAAAATATCTCTTATTTCTGTTGACATATTAAACTTCTATTAGTCTTTATGCTTGAAATATCCTATGTATGCAACTTCTTAAAACATGCTAACACTGCTTGCACTATGTCTTATATAACCATTCTGGCGTAAAGATTTAATTGTAAAAATCTCTAAGAACTTAATTTGTCCAGTTGACAGTTGCCAAAAGTAATCGGTCCCTACTCATCAGAAATTATATGTCGTAGCATCCTGAAAATAATTGGCATCATAGCATCCTGAAAAAATTGACCATTAGCCATTAGAAATTATAAATCATAGCATCCTAATCTGTAGACATATATAGTTTTATTACAGGAGTAAGACTTGGTCTTGCTGGAGGCTGGAAAAAAATTTTGACACATAAATGACTGTGTAACCTAATGCAGTGCTTGAATTCTCAACGGTGTATGTTGTTTCCTATTGTTCTGGGGGAAAAAAGAAACATGTTTTTTTATTAGATCTGTAGAGGCATTTAATAATAATTACAACTGTAGTTTTCCGAAATATTCATCATAATTTAAATTTCTACCTCATTGCTGTTTTTGGTTTAAGGTTTTGAGTCTGCGTGTTAGGTGTTAATGTCTGGGATATGGCCTTAAGTGCATACATGTAAAATGCCTCAGTAGAGGGCCTTTTTGGCATGTCTTAATTAACCAGTAATACCCTTCTGACCACCTAAATGTCAGACATTGTAATTGGTTCTTCTCTCTTACATCTGTTTTTAGAGTCCACCCAGACAGTCCAGGCTCTGCAGTATTCAACAGTGGATGGCCCAATTACAGCAAGCAAAGATTTAGAAATTAAAAGCTTAAAAGAAGAAATTGAAAAGTTGAAGAAACAGGTAACAGGTAAGTTATAAATATTAATGTAACAACTGTAACAGTAAAGAATAATTTGACAAGATCTTTTTCCCCCAGTGCTCTCCTTTTAAAGAATTTTCTAATCTATTTTTATTTCTCATTTTATTGTTTGCTTCTCAGTTGTGGTGCAACATTTTTTTCAAATGCAGCTTAGTACTTAGTTCTTGAGTAATTCCAGTTGCAAGGGAGAGGAAATTTCAGTGACTTCTGCTGTTACCATTAGTGGTGAATTTCCACTGGTTTTAAATTGTGGTATTGCTAATTTACATGGATGCGAATCAGGCTCTACGTCAGAATCTGAAACCATGACAAATTTCCTCTGTGCTTCCTTGTGTTTTTTTGTTTTGTTTTTTTCCTTCCAAGAATGTAGTGCAGGTATAGATAGAGCAATTGCTTGGTTATTTTTTGCTCTATCAAAACTCATGGCTGTCATTTTACAAGTCAAAGTCACTTTGCTGTCATTTACAAGCCACTGTAGCATACCTTAGAATTTCTCGTTTTATGTGCAGTTACATAGATAGTAAACTGGAAAGAAGGAAGGTATTGATTCTTGCTTACATGGCTAAACAAACTTGAGGGATGAAGACTTCAGTCTAGCAGTTTTAACAGTCTGAAAAATATTTAGTTTGTGGTTTAACCCAGTAGACAGCTAAATGCCGCACATCTGTTTACTCACTCCTCCTGCCCATGGTGGGATGGGGAAGAAAATGGGAAAGTGCAAGAACTCAAGGTTGACATAAGGACAATTCAATAAGAAAGAAAAACAACCCCTGCCAACATACACACACACACACACACACACACACACACAAAAAGTACTTTAAGCTTGAAAGAACCTTAAGCTTGAAAAGCATTTTTGAAATTTGTGCAGGTAAAGAGCTGAATTTCTTAAATTAATGTCATTTTATGATTTTTTAGAACTCTCAAACTGGTTAAAAGCAAAGATCTACCTAGTGCAGTATCCTGTGTTTTGAAAGAGGCTACTGGAAACATTTATGGAGAGTCAAGGAAATTCAGTATATCCAAATTCATCTTTGCTATCCTTACTCTCCCAGATTCACCATATTTTTAGAATTTCTAGAGATTTTTATTTAGGAAAATTAACAAGATTGATGGAGATTGTTACGTATTGAGACTAGGAATGTAGAAAGAAGGAGGACAAATCCTACTTTTCTTGTCAACCCAAACAGGAGAAAGTGTGCATTTTATGAGAGAAAAATCAGATATGGTAGATTGAAATCTACTTGTATAACTGTAGGTTACCTGTGGCGAGGGAAAATGCAGTGAGAAAAGGGTCAAAGAAACTAAAAAAAAAAAAAGTTGTTCTGGTTTGTATTTGTGAAAAAGCGTCATTCACTTCCTTCAGGAATGCCAGCAGGGACACCCATAGAAAGAATAACTGGAAATTAACTTCCAGACATTTTAGTTGCTGTGTTTAGACTCTGCTGCTATGTTACAGGGCAGAAGCACACTATATATGAATTGCAGATTGTAGCACATCGATTATATTATGCTAAAATTGTGTGGTCTGAAAAAGTCTGTGTTACAGATGTACAGTTGGACAGATTCTCTGGCATGATGTAGCAGTTTTGCGTTGTATCATAAGCATTATTTTTTGGATGTGAACGTGGCTTAAGTAGCTCAGGGAGGATCTCACTAGTCTGAGTAATGTCCTGTTGGTGCTGTGTCAGAACAAAGGTTTTTGTGAAGCTGTTCTCCAGCCAGATGTCCTTCCAATTGTTGCTGTAACGAGGAAAGGCAAGACATGATCAGAAATCTCTGTTCTGCAACAACACTCAGCTCCAGTTTTGGTTCCTTGGGGCCAGTGAAAAGCAACATTCATTAGAACAGTTTTTTCATAAGAACATGCATATATAGAAAAGCAACAAAGTCAGCTTTAACTCATATTTTCCTCTTGACTTACTGAGCTGCAGCTCAGATTTTAGTGCATCCTTGCAGATATTACTCTCTTTCTTTGGTATTAAAAAAAAAACACAAAACAAAACAGTGTGGAACATTCTCCAACACAACTGATACCCATTTCTATTTATAAAAGAATTCAGTGTCTGGTAAAGGCAGCTAATATTGAGAATATTAATTAATATTATTTTCCCTTAAGTACCATTAAGAATTTTCTGTTTCGTATCACATACATATTTATATATTTATTCCTACAAACATGTGCTTTTGGTTTTTGGGTTGGAAGTGAAAAATGTGATCAAATAAGGAAGACGTACAGTCATCTAATTCATGCCTAGTCACCACATAACTGTCCCAGTATATATTGGAATGCCTTGCAAGGTCCAGACATTACAAATAGAAGGCACTCATGTGCCTTGAGTTGTAGCTAATCCAAGTTAATTTCATAAAATTGGGAAGAGAGAATGTTGTATTTTACTTGATCTTACGGTTGATGTGTGTGGTGTTTTGGTTTGTTTGTTTGTTTTTTTTTGTTTTTTTTTGTTTTTTTAAGAAATAGATTTTAAAACTAAGTTACTGACATAAGACAGGCACAAACCAGATGATGGTCATGTCTGAGTGCATGCAGATTTAGATTTAGGGGAGCTATTTTCCAGCTTACTGGATGACCTTTAAAATATCTATATTTCCAAGTCTAGAACTGATGAACTTTTAAGAAGGTTCAGTTCAGGTGCAGAGCTGAACGTTACGCTTTTGGCTCATCTCTTGGGCAATTAAATGTAATGCAGTAACTTCCTCGGTGAGTGTTTGCATATATTAGCTAAAATGTGAGCAAAAGCTAGAGTGCTTAGAAGGAAAATTACCGTTTACTACTCACATGTTACAACCAGCTTTTATAGTCTTTAACCTGTTTTGCTGCCTCTTCTGGAACTCTAAGTGTAAACACACATTTAAAAAGGTAATAAAAATGAATGTAAAATTGTGTCAAATTAAAGAGTGTAACCAGGGGAACCTTAGAAAAATATGATTTTTTTTTTTTGTCTGCCTATTTTTTCGGGTAATGACAAGCTAGCATATGCTTTCACTAGTTGAGGTCAAAGTTGTAATTTTTGTTCTGTAAGTTACATAGGAGAAATCTTTGAGGAATCTTTAACATTGCCAAATATGTAAAAGGCAGGAACAGAAGAAAAAAACAGAGCTATGGAACAAAGTAGTTCATGCACAGAGGAGAGATTTATCTTGGATCAGCAGAGCCATATATAAACTTTCTTTTTGCTGGTGACTTCAGAGTAGCCTATGTAAGGCAGCCAGTTAATAATTTATGTCTTTGAGCTACATCTCTTATTTAAATGCATTCCTTTAAATTTTTAAACAAGAGTTAATGAATTAAAATGGTACTGAATATTTGTATGAGTACAAGGTAATGGTATTCTTTTACTTATAAAATTCTTGTGTTTCAGAAATTACAGTTCTTCAAAATGTATTTTTTTATTTGATTTCCCTAAGAGTCAGTCTTTTAGGGTTGCATTTATGAAAAGGCTGTAAACGGCTCTTATGAAGAGTATGGATGGGTCCTTGTTCTGTGGATAAATACATACAATCTGAAGTCCTGCCACAACTATGAAGTATCAAGGCATTTTGCCTTTGATTTTAGAAATCAGAATTAACCCACCTTCACATATATCTTGCTTTAAATATGTGTTTTTAAGTGACAAGCTAGAAAGCAAACACTATCCAGAAATTTTCAGTTTTCTGTTATATTTTATGGTTGCCAGCTTATTATATTAAAGCATTTGAGAGTATTAATATGACATTATTTAGCTGTGTCATAGAAATGTACTTTCATTGTATAAATGACAGTAAGAAAATGGTGTAGTAGTTTTTCTGTACTTAGAGTAGTAAAGTAGGTCACATAAATACAAATGGTTTTTATACTAGAAGTAAGTAAAATCTTCTGGAGTTAATTTTAAGTGTATGAACAGGAGAATGTTTACCAGCTCTCTCTTGCATTGGTTACTTTTGCTGATTCTTTCTGGGGGAGTTAGTGGGGAGAAGGAAACTCTTTATAGTTATGATACACTGTAAGGAAAGATATATTAGGTATCATGATATCATTAAGTATCATTGGCCCAGCCAGCACGGGTTCACGAAAGGCAGGTCATGCTAGTCCAACCTTGTCTCCTTTTATGACTGTGTGACCAGACTAGGTGAGGGAAGGGCTGTTGATGTAGTCTACTTAGACTTCAGCAAAGCCTTTGACATGGTCTCCCACAGTATTTTCCTGGGGAAACTGGCTGCCCGTGGCCTGGACAGGTACACTCTTCTCTGGGCAAAGAACTGGCTGGAGTACCGTGCCCAGCGGGTTGTGGTTAATGGAGCTAAGTCCAGCTGACATCCCGTTACAAGTGATGTCCCCCAGGGGTCGGTACTGGGGCCTATCTTGTGTAATATCTTTATTGATGACCTGAATGAGGGGATTGAGCGCACCCTCAGTAAGTTTGAAGATGACACCAAACTGGGAGGTAGAGTTGATCTGCCTGAGGGCAGGGTGGCCCTTCAGAGGGATCTGGATAGGCTGGACTGCTGGGCTGAGGCGAATGGGATGAGGTTTAACAAGGCCAAGCGCCTGGTCCTTGCACTTTGGCCACAACAACCCCATGCAGTGTGATAGGCTTGGGGCAGAGTGGCTAGAAGACTGTGAAGAGGAAAGGGACCTGGGAGAGTTGATCAGTGCTCAGCTGAACATGAGCCAGCAGTGTGCCCAGGTGGTCAAGAAGGCCAACAACATCCTGGCCTGTATTAGAAATAGCATAGCCAGCAGGAGCAGGGAGGTGATCGTCCCATTGTATTCTGCTCTGGTGAGGCTGCACCTCGAGTGCTGTGCTCAGCTTTGGGCCCCTCACCACAAGAAGGACATCGAGGCCCTGGAGGGGCTATGAAGCTGGTGAAGGGCCAGGAGCACAAGTCCTGTGAGGAGCGGCTGAGGGAGCTGGGAAGTGCCTGAAAGGAGACTGTGATGAGAAGGGGGTTGGCCTCTGCTCTCAGATAACTAATGACAGGACTCAAGGAAATGGCCACAAGTTGCACCTGGGGAGATTTAGATTAGATAGCAGGAAAAACTTTTTCTTTCAAAGAGTGGTCAGGCGCTGGAGCGGCCTGCCCAGGGAGCTGCTGGAGTCGCACTTCCTCACAGTATTCAAGAAGGGCCTGGAAAAGGTGCTACGAGATAAATTTAGTAGCTTAGTGGGTCGTATTGGTGATAGGAGGACAGTTGGACTAGATGATCTTGTAGGTCCTTTCCAGCCTTGTGTTTCTATGATTCTGTGGTGTGCACCAGTCAAATGTATACGTTACAGCATGCACTACAGAATTATGTGTAAGGTGTGATTATTACAATGTGGAAAGGCAAGCTGTCATTTTCTACGTTGTGTTGCATCAAGCTGTGACCTATTCTATTCTGTTAAAAGCAGATATGGCAGTTGAAACCAACTAGTCCCTATTGTAAAGCCAGGTAAGAATTGCATTAGTTTGTGTTAATTTGAAACCAAAATAAATACTGAAGAGGCTACTGAACAGCTAGTATGCTATTCTATAATAACTTTTTCCTTAACATATTTAGAAATATGTTGCTTTTTCTAGATTCTGATCAGCTAGAACAGCAACTTGAAGAGGCCAGCACTGCAAGGCGGGAGTTGGATGATGCTTCCAGACAAATAAAGGCTTTTGAGAAACAAGTCAGAACACTGAAGCAAGAGAGAGAAGATCTTAATAAGGTAAAAGTGTTTTGTCAGTGACTATTCTAAATCCTAAAGACTATTTTTACTTTTTAATTTTGCTTAAAATAACTTTTTAGTGTAAAATTAATGAGTAGGTAACAAATGTTTAATGTGACCTACTTTGCTTTCTGACTTTTTTTAAGACAAGGAGAGTATTTAAAGCATTGTATGTAGGATTGCTGGGTGGTCCTAAGTGACTAATTCCAGATAATAAACTGCTCTATGATCCAAATTGCTGAATGGTTGCAATGAAGGTTTTGTACTCTCAGATTAAGATTATAATTAGAGTGATTAGAAGATGGAGAAGAGAAGAACTATTTCAGACAACTATTTTATTCTGAAATAAGAGTGAGGCTGTATCAGGAAAAAAATGTTCAGAATTTACTGTTAGGGATGTAGCATGGAAATGTTCCAAGAAGGGAGATGTGAAAAATACACCAAATATGAAAACTGAAAAATTATTTTTCTGATTTTAGTTTTCTCTATCTCCCTAATTCCTAATTTTCTTATTTAATAAAATACTGACTTCTGTGGCTACTTTGCCTTCATGATTAAATCAATTTGAAAATACAGTTTGGTGCAAAATACATTAGTTTGCCTCTCATCATTATTTGTATTAGCACAGTATTGTAGAGTCCACGTTCAATGTTTATCTGCCATCTGTATTTAACACATTAAACTCATAAGTTAATTTTAACTTATGAGTTAACTTTTAACTCATAAGGTTTTAAAAACCTTAAGAACTGCCAGTTTGTCTAAGAAGGACTATCTGTATTCTAAAACAACCCATAGTGATTTGGACATCTCAGAAAATGCTTTTAAATTTGTATAATGTCAACAGTGCCAAATATTAATTCTTCCAGCCACTTTTCATCCTTAGACTTACTTTTTCCTTGCTTCTTTGTTCTTCTCCAATTTGGCTGAACATTTTTAAACCATATTAACTATTGTGATCCTTCATTCATAGTGTAATAAAACAGATCTAAGACAACAGCAAGCTTTGTGAAGGTTTTTCACTCTAGGGGTATCGCATCACTGGCTGTGTTTTTCATGTGGGTTCTTGTAAAAGAATGATTATCATATATTATTGTTAAACACAGTGTTCTGTTGCCTGAAACATTCTGTAAAATTTATATTATGGTGTAGTGTGTGGAAATGATTGCCAATGTGTAGGTCAGTTTTTAAAAGCTTTTAAAGTAGAAATTTTCATAGACCAGAGTTCTCCATTCACTTCATGCAGAAGCCTTTTTTAAAAATTGAGATGAATGCTATTATTTTTATTAATTTACACAGTTCGTGAAATACTATGCCAATGACATTTTTTAAGATAGCAAGGTATTTTTATGTTTTAATGTGAGTGCTTGAAAGCCTTTGTATTGAAGAGCAAATTCACACTTTGATTAAGTTCGTGCAGTTTAACTGACTTCAGTAGTAAAACCTGGCTTCTTACCTTATTTATAGAAGCATACAATCTGTATTGTAGATGCATTAGTTTCTGTTCACTCTGGAGGTTTTAGATGCACATCCAGAGAATTGGCCTTACAGCTTTCTAGGTTTATTACTTAATTCTTTCTTTAAACTGTAGGAACTGGCAGAGTCTAGTGACAGATTAAAATCCCAAGCCAAAGAGTTGAAAGATGCACACAGCCAGCGGAAATTGGCAATGCAGGAGTTCTCAGAGATGAACGAGCGGCTGACAGACTTGCACTCTCAAAAACAAAAGCTTGCCCGCCAGCTCCGAGATAAGGAGGAAGAAATGGAAGTGGTGATGCAAAAAGTAGAAAGTTTAAGGCAAGAGTTACGCAGAACAGAGAGACTAAAAAAAGAAGTAAGTAGTGAGAAGACTGTTTAGAATCTATGAAACTGTAGTTTTATGTAAGGTTTTCCAAAAAATGTATTTGTTGAATGTTATCTGTGAATCTTTATGTCTTTGTTATTTCAAACAGTACCAATTTTATTTTCTAAGAATTTGAAGTGTCCAGGTTAGTGCTGAAGATCTGTCTTTCTTATTGAAAATCATCAATAGGTTTTGATAAAATATAAGAATTCTGCCTATTAAAAATTGTGTATTTTTGTAGCTGGAAGTCCAAGCTGAAGCTGCAGCTGCTGAAGCATCCAAAGACAGGAAATTGCGAGAGAAGAGCGAGCAGTACTCTAAAGAGTTGGAAAGTGAAGTAGAAGGGCTAAAGGTTAGTGTGTTCAGATACTGGTACCTGCAGACTTGCTTGTCAACTAGTACTGGATCTGTATGATTGCTTTCAGATGTAAGACAAAAGGATATTGTTAGTTTGACACTCCAGTTGATGCTGAATATTAATGCAAGCATGAATCGCATTATTGTTGAGAAAAGTGAATATTTGCCTGTTGCAGTTTTCAGACCAATGTGTTACAGCCAACTGAAGTATTTCTCAATACTTGATTTTTTTTTTTAAAACAAATTGCTTCCATTATTACTTTGTTTACCCGGTAAAAGCATTTTCAATGGAGGGTAGCTGACTATTTAAGATGCACTTGCAGCCTGTGTGGGTTTCTGTATAGGTTTTTAATGTATTATATTGTAAGTGAAGAAACCTATTTTCCTGTTCAAAGTAGGAGTCAACTGATGTAGCCATGAAGGAGAAGTTTTAGTGTATTTAGTGTTGAATTAATTTTGATTAGATTGTTCACACATGCTTGTGTTTTCAGAAACAGAATTTTAAGTAAGTCAAGAATATTAACTGTTATTTTATTCTGTGCCTTAGCATTGTATATGGTGCTCTGAAGAACACAGGCTTTCTCAAAAACGGGATGAGGTTTTTTGTTTTCTCCTTACGGACTTTTGTTCATTTACAGCAAAATGCTGTTCCCAGTGTTTTGTCCAGTAGGATAAGTCTAAACATTTTGTGCAAAACGTCAGGTTAGGTCTATTCTGGTCTTAATTCACATGAATAACAGTTTTGTCATTTTTCCCAATTTTCTGGGACATTTGTCAACATTAAGTCACTAACAGAAGTTTGTGGGTTTTTTTGGTTTGTTTTTTCTTTAACATGCATTCTTTTATTTTGCCTACCTTCCTTAAATGAAAATAAAGAAATTCATTCCTCATGAAATTTGGATTTATAAAGCTTCTGATGCTCTGAATTCAGATTCTTATCTGAAAATTAAGACATTTGTTCTGCTTTCATGAATCTTCACCATCAACAAAGAGTTTGTATAACAGTTTAGGAGGCGTGAGGAATTTATTGGAGATTTACTGAGATTAAATGGTAAGCTGATTAGTAACAACAAGGCAGCGTTATCAGAATAGGCAAGTGGAATTGTAGCTTTCTTACCAACATTTCACAATACAGTGTGTATGCTTTGGGTCATGGAAAGTTGTGGTGTTGTATAAAAGGGTGTCAGAGGAGCTTCATTGTAGCTAAAACGTATGGTTATTAGTGGAAGAATAATCTAACCTTGTCCTACACACTACCGATTTGGGACTGACAGATACAACTCAAGAAGGAGCTCTTGGAAACATTCCTGGTAGCTGAGGGAGTTGGGATTGTTTAGCCTGGAGAAAAGGAGACTCAGGGGCGACCTTATTGCTCTCTACAGGTACCTTAAAGGAGGCTGTAGCGAGGTGGGGGTTGGCCTGTTCTCCCACGTGCCTGGTGACAGGACGAGGGGGAATGGGCTAAAGTTGTGCCAGGGGTGTTTTAGGTTGGATATTAGGAAAAACTTCTTTACTGAGAGGGTTGTTAGGCATTGGAATGGGCTGCCCAGAGAAGTGGTGGAGTCACCATCCCTGGAGGTCTTTAAAAGACGTTTAGATGTAGAGCTCAGTGATATGGTTTAGTGGAGGACTGGTTAATGTTAGGTCAGAGGTTGGACTCGGTGCTCTTGGAGGTCTCTTCCAACCTAGATGATTCTGTGATTCTGTGATTTTTATTTGTGAAATAAAACATGAGAAAAAAAAAAAAAAAAACACATTAAAATCATGGCGTTGCAAAGAAGCTTTTCACATGCTCCATTGCAGTATATGTGTAGGCAATTCATCATGTTGGGCAGTAATGAACAAGTTAAGTAATTAACTACCTGTGCACGAGGGAAATTCTTACTTTCCCCCTTCCCTCCCAAAACAATCTCTACTTAGTATGGCACTTTTTTCCCTCTGATCTACAATTCTGCATCCTAACAGCAGGATTTTATTCCTTTTTTTTTTTTTTTTTTTGGTGTGTGTGAGATGGAGTTACAGAAAACAATGAGATAGCAGCATGTATCTGGCTTGTACATTTAGGGGTTTTACACTGTAATGCTGACATGAACAGCAAGGCTCGGTTTTCTTACAGAATACATCGTGGTAGTAACTCAAATCATCAGAATGTTCTGCAATGACATTTAGCTCTTAAAGCCTGTTCATACATGAGCAAAAGAAACTATGCAAGGCCTTGGTTATCTATGGTAAAAAAAGAAGTATTAACAAAGTATCTTAGATCTGTGAGATCCTCCTAAAGGTGCGTTGCCCTGAGGAAGTAGGTTTTTCAGTTATCTGTACTTTTTTGAAGCACAGTCTTTTTATTAAGCTATTTTCTTTACTTATTTAGACTACATTTAATTCCATATTAAAAATAGGAAGAAAAATCTAACCAGATTATTCATGTATTTACATTAAAACGTATTTCCATACTTGGCTTTTGGCAGGACATTGTCTTTAGTGAGTGCAGCATTTGATGCAGCTATGCAGCTGTAGCTGTGAAAAGTAAAGTAATTACTTTTACTGTTTAAAGCTTGTTTTCCTATTAATCCACTATGATGATGTAAGTGGTCAGTTTAAGTAAAATAGGTCAGTTTTTCCTCACTGATGGTATCCATATAATCTTTTTGTAACTAGAATTTAGCCTTAAATTTAGCTTCTGCTTGCCTTTATATAGTTTTTCCACAAATTATTTGAGCTTTGAAGTATATTGACTATATATCATAGTCCAAAGTCAAGCTGTCAACTGTATGAGTGGGAGCATGAAAGTCTTTTAATTCTCTGGTTATTTTCTGACTGCATGTAAGGGGAGTCAGAATGCAGCATAAGGTGTTTAAAATGATGATCAATTTTTCAATATTGTGCAAACTATTACTGCATTTAAATCACAAAATGATAAAAGGGTACAATTCAGATTTGTGATTAACAAATTTTCAGAAAAAAAAATGGATTTATGTTTTTACCTGAAGTCTGTAATATGATGTTTTCTAAACATAGACTTAAGAATATTGAGTTACTGCTGAACATCGCTTTCAGCTATCTTGAATGCTAACTTGGAGCTGTTTGTTTTAGCAAAAACAGGTTGGTCGCTCACCTGCTGTAAGCTATATAGAATACCAGCAAGAGATCACTAAATTAAAGGCAGACCTGGAAAAGAAAAGTGTTTTCTATGAAGAAGAACTATCTAAACGTGAAATAATGCATGCTAATGAGATAAAAAGTCTGAAGAAAGAACTACGGGATGCAGAGAGCCAGCAGCTGGCCCTCAAGAAGGAGATCATGATTTTGAAAGACAAGTTAGAGAAAACCAGAAGAGAAAGGTGAGTATTTTATGGAATTTACCTTTAAGCTGAATATGTATTTTTAAGACTCACGGTATGTTTCCAGACCCACTGTGAATTCCTTAACTGTAGTGCAGACAGGTGGATTTTGGCTGAGCAAATGCCATGGTTGAAAGTGAAGTCACCTTTGCAAACAAAAATAATAATAAAAAAAATCCACAGCCGTGTATTGAAACAGTTATTTTTGCACCAGAATTCTGGCACTGTTTGATGGTCCCAAGGTCTGTAGCTGCAGAATAGCAGCACAGTGTAAATTGACCTCTGATATTTATGTTGCAATTTAAAATATTTTCTTGATGTTTTTTTTTTCTGTTTCCTCTTTTCATCCTTTGATGCAAAGCTAATGTGTTAGAAATCAACTATTGCTTACATTTCTGCCAACACAGGAACAGTCAGTTACTGTGGACTGTGGCTAATCCACGCTGGGTTCTATCCAGTGTTAACATCAGTCATCAGACTCCTGTAGGCATAAGTTGCTTCATCTCTTTTGACACAGTAATTTTGTCAGTGAATTGCTTTTTCGTCTCCCATGTGGTGAAACTTAAAACTGGCCTTGACAATGTTTCTTGAGGCATTCATCAATAAAAATGAGTTTTTCCATTGGATAGTGTAGTATTGAAGATAGTAATAGTCATAGCTTGAATGTGTTCATCAATTTCATTCATAAAAATTCAGATTGCTTTATAGATATAAAAAAAAAAGTGGATGCTTCTTTTTCCTGCTGCAGTAAGATGGGATAGTAGAAAAATCACGAAGGAGAGGTTCCTACCGGAAGCTTAGCCAATACATATTGCCATATATACGTATAAATGTAACTATATATATTTATTGCCAAGCCTTGGATGTAGGTACTAAATAGAAGAGGTTTTCAAAAAAGCTTATGCAAATAGAGTTGGAAAACACTGTTTTTCTGGTAAACTGTTACCACTGGAAAGTAGATCATATATCCTAGAATGCAGTGCATGGACTGTTTCTTCATGGAGTATAGGTGTTACTTGTAGACTGGAGATATTAATACAGCAGTTTCCTGCTTTGTTTTAGGTTGAGACGTAAAACTTGCATCAGCAGGATGTTTTCTGTTTATCACAACTTAACCATTTTGCTGACCTATGAGTTATAAATACACAAAAGGCTACGCTGTCTTATAATAAATAAAAGTGATAGTATGATACTCTTTAATGATATGTCAGTTCATTAGTGTCTCAAAAGGGAGGAATAATCAAGAAAGAATCGTTAGTACTTCTTTCTTCAGGCTAAACTGTTCTTAAAGATCAAGCTTCCAAACTCCAACTGGTTCAAAAACTTGTTTTATCAGAACCATTCTTCTGTACAGCTGCAGAGGTTAGAACTAGATGTCCATCTAGTGAAATGACAGATGGCCTAACAATGCCAATCTGCTTCATACTAGCTATTCATAAACCTTCTTTCATCTAGCTTCTCTTTGTAAATAAAAAATGGAACTGAATCAAAATCTGAAATGAATGCTGATGTAACCATGTATTTCAGATGTTGGTATAAGGAAAAATTGTAAAACATGAGCAGAGCACGTAACCAGAATCTGACATTTGACCCTCAGTGGGAAGGGCTTAAGCATCATACCAAGTTGGTTGTCCAAGTAGATGACGAGTGATTAATGAAGGCTTGAAGAATTTGTCTTTGAAGTTGAAGAACTGTGTTTTGTGACACAGATAGGCAGAATCTCATTGCAAATATTAGGACTCCACGGAAATGCAGAAGTTCACTGTTCAAGGTATGCTACAGATTGACATCTGTAGTAGTTCTGGGATTTAGAAGGGAAGCTTGAACATTGAATGGAAGAATTGCTACTTGATTCATGTTTGGATTTTTTTTTTCTAAGAGAACACTGATGTTTTTTGTTTCCCCATGCACGTATTGGTTTTAGCTCTTCTAAGCAGAAAAACAAAGCTTTTTGTGAGTTTACCAATACAGAGGTGTTCAGCGTAAGTGTTGAAAAGGAAGCACCTGGAGGCTTTATGGTGAAATAAGTAGAATTATTTAAACCATAAGCTTGGAGTGGCCGTGGAGTTGAAGTGTATTTAGTGGTCTAAAAATAACCTTTAGTGCAGATTAAAAGGATACAGTTGTATTGCTTTACAAGGGATATAGCATAGAGTAAATTACGTATGTTATTCTAAGCAAGAGTCAATAAGGGCTTGGTCAAAATCAATTCCCTATGTGAACCTTCTTTAACTTATATGCTGGTGGTTTCTTTTTATTTAAAAAATTGAATTTTTGTTTGTTTCCTTCAAATTTAAGCTTCCTTATTTGTTATTTCAACAACACGAGTGTTCAGGTGAGAGTAACTACCCCTTTGTATCCTTTGCTAAAATTCCGATAAACTGCATGCTACTAAAATTGGAGATGTAGGGACGCAGCATCAGGCCAGTGATCTGTTGTACAACATTGATTTATTTTTTTTTTAGAATTGCCATTATGAAATATTTTGGAAGAAGGTGCAGGAAACCTAAAGTGAAAAATAAATCACGTTTGCAGAATTTCTTTTTAGCCTGTCAATTAATGATACATTTCTAAAGAAGCGAGTTTTATAAAACAATCTTTTCTTTTAAAAATCTGTTATATGAAGAAGCCTGAGGGCTGCTGTTTGTTTCAAGTCTGGTTTACTTGGTTTCAAAGCAGTAAGGTAAAATATTTCTCCACTTTGTACAGCTCGTTGTCCTGTAAAGAGCTGGAGTGACAAAGTGATACCATAATACAGCTGTATTTCACATTGCTTGCATGTGGTTTGTGATTATATTTTTTAACCAATAAAAAGAAATCTGGATCACGTATAATTTCTTAAACTTCAGGAGCGGATACATAGCTAAATTTTAGATGAGAGAAAAAGCTTGATGGGAGAGGAGGATGCCCAGCTTCAAAGCAAATGTGTTATTTTGATGTTCTTGGCTGTTCGAGGTATGCATATGTAGTCTGGCATAGTTCAGTGGTTTGCTTAGTTGGTATTTTGGTATGAAAGATGATATCCACATTCTCATCTGTTTAAAATTTGTCATCTCTGTGTATTATACTGGAGCAATCTGACTTTCTGGATTAGTGACAATCAGCTGAATTAAGAATTCAACATACAGAAAATTCCAAATATGTTGGGCTCCCTTCTGTAATCCACCATCATTTTTGACTGCTTTGAGCCTTAGAGCCTTAAAAGAACAAGTTTTATACAAATACAGAACAAAAAATGCTGAACAAAAACATAAATATGAAAAAGCTAAATAAAAGAACTAAAATTAATTAAAAATTAGTTTGATCTGCTGTCTGAGAAATTAGTTTTGAATCTCTGCCTTGCAAAAAGAAGCAAGACTTGTTAATTCCCCTGACAGCCAATGCTTTAATCTTTTCCTGCCTTTTTCCTAGACTGCTCATCATATGCAGGGAATCTATTGATATAGAAAAGAAGTGGTGGTGAATTTCAAACTTAGTGTTTAAACAGTAATGATAGTATTTTACTTTGCTAGGATGTGGTTATGTTTCAAAGGATGCCTAGCAACATAGGATTTCACCATGAGTCTAACATGTTGTACTGGATTTCAAAGAGTGGTTGAAGCACTAAATGAATTTCAAATTAGAAATAGGAAATTCAAACCAGCATTTCTCTTAACTGGGTTCACTGTAACCACTGATGCCTCTCTGCTTTTAAGGGTGTTCTTGCAATTTGCCAGACTTGTACTAGTTCTACATCTCAGGAAAATTGGTGAGGTTGTAATTTTTTTTATTCCACAGCATAAAATTCTGATTGCTATCAAGAAAAGCAATTGCAGTATTCAAGGCACAGTTTCCACTGGACTTTATTTTTACAGTGTTAACCTTCTTCTACTGAGCACTTTTTCAAACCTTTTAATGTTGGACAGGGATGTTTATTGAATGGGTTATTCTCTACCCGTGGCATTTATAGTACAGTTCCATTAACCTACTGATGAACTTTGTACTCATTATCGGTCACAGTGATTACAAGATGCTACAACATCATCTTTCTGAAGCCTCACAAATGTAGCAAGTCTCAAAAGAATGGATTTGAGATGGGAGTTGCATGTGTACAATGTTGCAGTACACCTCTTTAAGGAAACTACAGTGGTTTTTTTGCCAAGCAGTTTTATTTAATTGTAGGTTCTCATATTTGTTGTGCAAAATCGAAGTTGAAAAAATTCAATCAGGGTTTCTTCTCTACTGAATGACACTCACAAGAGAAAGGAAGGGCTGGGGACAACAGCTATTTGAAAATGTTTTTTCCAAAAGAATGGTCTTAATCTAGACTAGAATCTTGTTATATTAGGAATGTAAAAGTTATCTGTTCACTTCCTGTTGATAGTAAATACATAATACCTGAATTAACTCTTCATATGTGACATCAGGCTGTGCTATATTGTTTGAAGTTTACTGCCCATGTAAGTTTTCCTCATTGGTGACTCAGCCCCATCTCCCCTAATTTAAGTTCTGTATGTTCTGTTTTCATATGCAGTTGTTTTTGCATGTGTGAAACCTGGAACAGTGGAGATCTGTAAAATAACATTTATGTGAGCTTTCAGAGAATTTACCCTGAATGTCTCAGAATATCGACACAGACTTCAATCTGCTGAATTACAGCTACTCAGTGTTTGAGAGATTCATTAAATATTAAAATATGTGCAAGAGGATTGATAAATGATAGCTTAGTGGAGCTCTGTTAATACTGTACTGAAGGAAAGATAACTCTGATGATAAAATTAAAGACTGTCTTACAGTCCTAAAATGGTAGTGTAACACGTTATGGTCTTAGTTTTAATAGGATCAGGTATTATCATTGTAATATTTTCCTTTCAGTTACTGTGTGTTGATTTGCATGTATGTTTGTAAGTAGAGTATGGTGAATTTAAGAAAGGAAACTTTATAATTCTCCTTTGTTTTACTTCTTAGCCAAAGTGAAAGAGAGGAATTTGAAACAGAGTTCAAACAGAAGTATGAAAGAGAAAAGATTCTTCTAACAGAGGAGAACAAAAAACTTTCAAATGAACTTGATAAAGTAAGTGCGGATTAGTTGTGTCCTGAGTTTACAACTCATGTATGCTGTGTACAAATCTGTCAATGTAAAACTGTATTGATTATTAGTATCTCCTATCAGAAATTAATATTACACCAAAAGTTGTGATTAACACTTGATTTGAATAGAGAGTATCTACATGCATCTGAATTTCAGAATGTGTGGATAGATATTTTTATATATGTGGATACATATTTTTATATATATTATATATGGATATATCAGTGTATTTGGGTTCGAATTTAGTTGCATGGCTTTACAGTTAGCTAAGATTTAATTTTAGACAGTATCTTAATCCCTCCCCCCCCCAAACAAAGTGATTACTTGCTTGTGTAACCCAAATATAAAAATATATAGTTAATGATGTGATTACATAGAGTATATTTGCATGTCAATTAGTGTGAAATAACAGGGCCCCTCCTGCTTGCTGAGATTGTTACTCTGTATTTTTAAAAAAATACAAAGGATAAGACAATTTAATTGAAGACTATTGAGCAAGGAATATTTATGTTTCATATATAAATATTTATGTTTCATACATTTTGGTTACCTCTTGTTCATTTTGAGAGGTTTTTCAAGTTCATTTTGGATGAGTCAAGTCTTGCTAAACTTGTCTGTTCTTTCTTTAATGCAAAAAAAAAAATCTAAAAATACGATGAAACTACAGTGTTCTTCAAAGCAAGGATGTTTGCATGTCAGTGTTCAAATTAAAGTGTATTTTAATACCAGTGTAAGCAGTGTAACATATATGCCTATATGTAGGTCTAGTCAAAGAACAGCAAGAGACCAGTCATTTTGATAGTCTTTTTGCATGTTCTTTTTTTCTTTAAATTTGGTTAGCTTTGTATTTGTCTTGTAAAATGGCATTTAAACAATTGGCATATTTAAATCGTAAGTCCACTGAATGGTAAATATGCAGCAGAGTAATATTAGGAGCATAAAAGAGCAGCATAGATTAAAAAATGTTATTTCTTCACGATTTTTGTTAATGTATTTCAGTGCTAAAAGAAACCTTTTATGTGAGATTCATTCTCCTCAGCAGGCCTTTCTATAAAGTCAATCTGATGTCTGGTTCCAGTTTGATTTTGTGAATAATTATTTAGCATAATGAAGGTTTAGTTCCCCATACCCAATCAGATTAGCTGTGGCTTTTGTCTTGCAGAAGGTGCATGTATGAGTGACAGCTGTGTAAGTGTGAGTAAGGTTAATAGCTAGGTATTCCATTTTGTACGTAGAGATTTGCATTTTATTTCAATTTCCATGTCTGCAAGTGAGTGCAATGAAAAATAAAGGAATGTAAAATACCTCCAGAACCTCAGGACTGACTTGTGGTTGTATCTGTTAAGCCTCTCATTCTCCATGGTTACTAAATGAGAGAGAGAGAGAGAGCAGCTTTATCTCGGCTGTAACTATTTTTGTGCCCTTGTTTGGCTTTTTCATATAGAGAGTATTCCCGATCTATATGGTGCAAAACAGAAACTGTCTTAGAGTTGTATGGGTTTTTGGAGAGTAATTCCCTGGAAACTAATGTGTTTGTTAGAGCAAAAATGAAGTTTCAGTTCTTAAACAGACCTTTCAGTACAGTTGAGGTCATACCAGAGAAACGATTCTGGCTTTTATTGTTGCATGGTGTTCATTGTAATGGGCATTAAATATTTTTAAAGCAGATGTATGAAATGGGAGAGGGAACACATGGCTCCGAGTTTGTAATGTGATGGAGTCACAGTAGCTTATACATTTAACAAGTTCCTAAATTTCTCATTCAGCTCACCACCATGTTTGAGAGGCTGAGTATGAATAACCGGCAGCTGGAAGAAGAGATGAGAGACCTAGCTGATAAAAAGGAGTCTGTGGCCCACTGGGAGGCCCAAATCACTGAGATCATCCAGTGGTGAGTACTCAGTATGTGGTAGGGCTATTGCTGAGTTTTTGAATTCGCAAGTGCTTAAGTGAAATTTGCACACCATCCAGGCAGGATTCTGCTGTATTTTTGCATGAGATTTTAATAATATCCATATCTGGAAAATTGCGTTCCTCCTTAAGAGCGAAAGTGTCTTTGCAAACACAACTATTTAAGTGCAAAAGAATCATAGCCATTGGGTGTGGCTTGTGGCTTTGGAAGAATGCTGAAGGGAATCATGTGCTGCTGAGCTCACGCCTCCAAGGAGGAACAAGCCTGGGAAAAGCAGTGACTTGAGAGTATTTGTGTCTCAGCATTAATTTCCTTCATCTGCTTGGCATGTGGCAGAGTGAAACAAATATAGTACTTTTATGTGATTTTTTATAAGGCAGTAAGGCAGAACGTTTGAGACTATCCCAATGCCAGTCAAGTGGTGGGTTTTTTAATATTTCTGTTAAATAATGATTTTATGTTTATAAAGTCTTCTGTCTTCAGTTCTAATAAATGAAGGGAAAAATAACAAGTTGAAACTATCAAAAGGATAAGATTGCTTTTTATAGACGGCTTTCATTTTTCCCCTTCATTCATGTTTTCCTTCCCCCTCCTTTTTATGGCTCCGTCTAGTGTTTAGCACCTACGAGAACAGTTTGTATCCAGATATTTTTTGTAAAGATCAATCTCCTCTCTGAAGACTTCATCACCATGTAATCGTCTTTTTTTGATTTACTAATATTCTTTCTCATTTTATCTGTCTCAACTAAATAACTAACTTGACATGTCAAAGCAAAAATGGGAAATACTTGTTTTAATGAAAACTAGATCGTTAGTTGTTATATGGTCAATATAATTTTGTTGTCTAAATAGAAAGTTTGGTTTCTGAATACAACCATGTGATACATATCCAGAAGGAAGGCTGTTCTGTGGGATTCTGGAAGTGTGTAAAACTTCCTGTTACATAAAATTATGTACCTCCAATCTGTGTCATGAAGTTAATAACATCTCAAGACAGTGAATTCATTGCAGAGGTTAAAAAAAAATATATTAAGGGTCCAATTGTGCATATTCCTTTTAAACCACATCTCATACAACTCTTAGTAGACTGCCTGCATCAGAGAAGTAAAAATACATATATTTACTAAAGCTGTTTTTAATGGGTGGTGTATTTGTAGCTGATCAGAAATATTTTCTTTAGAAAAAAAATCAAGGTAAGAAGAGACATAAGTTTGTTATATTGCATTGCATGTTGTTTTTTTAAAAAAAAATGCTTGTAAATCTTTTTTCAGATTTACGTGTGAAAGCATTCATAAAAGTTTAGAGTTGTGGAAGAAGACAAGTCATCATTAAATGTGGATTATTTTGCTTGACATGGTGTAAAAATGTACCAACTGCCTATTCAGAAAGTCCCTTTCCAATTTATGAGAGAGTTTAATATTTGAAGACGTACTGCTGAATTGGTTTAGATACGTGATAAGGCATCTTGCATGTATCAGACATCATTTGGGGGGAGGGGAAAGAGGTTTAAAAAGGAAAAAAAGAAATACTATGGGCAAACATTAAGGAGATTTAAAAATTCTGATTTGGTTTCAGTTTTTAATTACTGTACATATCTCAATTTTCCCTTCATATTTCTCTCTGCATACATTAATTTTTTTTCAGCATTGTGAGGCCATATAGTTGCTCACATTTCTTTCTTTCTGTGGGGACTGTTAGTGTTAGGTCAGAGGCTGGACTCGATGATCTTGAGGTCTCTTCCAACCTAGAAGTTCTGTGATTCTGTGATTCTGTGTTTAGATCTCCCATGTGTTACCCAGATAATCTGTTAATGTCCATCTGCTAGCCTTAGAATTCACCACTGTGTACCAAAATGGGTCCTTATCTGGGGATTTTGTGCTGTGGAGCTTGGGGTGCTATATGAATAATTTTAAACACCCATTATAATGGTAAATGTTTTAAAAGAAAGAAGTCTAATTAAAAAAAAAAAAAGTTCATATTTAATCACTCACAGGTCTGTTTTCCTTGGAAGAACATGCAATTTAAATCCATACCTGTCTGCATCTTTGGTATGAAAACAGGGTACTATTACACTGAACCACAGAATGGTTGAGGTTGGAAGGGACCTTTGGAGCTCATCTAGGGGACCCAGGCAGGGTCACCTACACCGTGTTGCACGGGATGGCATCCAGGCGGGTTTGGATTATCTCCAGAGCAGGAGACAACCTCTCTGGGCAGCTTGTGCCAGAGCTCTGTCACCCTCCCAGTAAAGAAGTGCCCTCTCATATTCAGCTGGAACTTCTTGTGCTTTGGTTTGTGCCCGGTGCCTCTTGTCCCAGCAACAAGCTGGGTCCCACTGATGATTCTGTCCCCATTGTCTTGACACCATCCCTGCAGATATGTAGACATGTTGATAAGGTCCCCTCTGTCCTCCCTTCCCCCAGCTAAACAGGCCTACTTCTCTCAGCCTCTCCGTGTATGACATGTTCCAGTCCCCTGGCTGTGCTGCCATCTCAGTAGCCCTCCTCTCGACTCACACCAGTAGCCCCATGTCCCTCTTGTACTGGGGAGCCCAGAACTGGACACAGTACTCCAGGAGTGGCCTCACCAGCGCTGAGTAGAGAGGGAGGATCCCCCTCTTTCCCTCATCTCCCTCAAGTTTTCCCGCTGCTTTCCAGTTAGCCTTGGACATAACAAAGCAGGGTAGAGCTTCCAGGCTCCATGTCCAAAACTAGCAGGTTTTCATTTAGGATTAAATTAAAATATGTGTTTTGGGTGCATACTTTCCACCTCTCAAAATATTTTTTGCCTACTGTTTTCTTTTTGTACCATGGTTCATGAAGGATAGGAGGCAGTGGATGAAATTAATTACTGTTTTGGTAAAAAGTTTGCTCATCTCACAGTGATAATTCAAAGGATTTGTTCTAGCCCTATTTTAAGTAACACAAGCCCTAGGAGTTATTCATTTCCGTTGAGTGCCTTGCCATCTAATAAGTCTCTCAGGAAATGTGCCACACTTTTGAGTCCACATTTTTTGTGGTTAGGATTGTTGCTGTCTTCATAACTTCTTTGGCCTTTCTAATTTTTTTTTTCTTCAGATTTTATAGCATGCAAGTAACTTCAATGGCCTGTAATGTTCCCCTTAGCCTTTCCATGCATTCTTACTGTCCTCTTTTGCATCTTGTTTATGGCAAATGTACAAACCCCTTTTTGTTTTTGCTGTTATCCCAAGACACCATAAATACAGCCAGAAATAAGAAATATTGAAGATTTTTTAGTCAGCTCTAAATTTTCCTATGGGAGTTGGGAAAGAAATTCATTGCATATGAGATTAACACAGTCACTATAAAAAGCAATCTTTTAAATAGCCGTGGCACTGTATTTCTGATCTGTTACCAAAAGGAGGTCGACAGAAATCTTGCTCTTGATTCCCAGAGTTCTTGGCAAGAATCTTAACTTATACCCTCTCTGGGAGGGATTTATGTAACCTAGTTTTAGAAGTCATAAGGTAGGTAATCCCATGACTAGTGCTATAGAAGGTAATTTTTCTCTCCACCAATTGAAAAGGAATCTTAGACGGCCAGCTCAAATTAATAATTCTCTATGTTGAGCATGGACGTGAGAATTTGCAAAATCATAGCTGGATTACCCGATCATTAGAGTGGTCTTTATTATTATAATGGACATTAGTGGACATCAGAATCAGCTTAGTGCAGAAACTGTGACTATTGTTACCCAGAATATTCAGTTAATATTCTCCTCGTTGACTAGGTCTTATTCCACCAAATGTAGAGTGGTTGACTTTATCTAAATTATTGATTTCATTTAAAAAATAAAAAAGGAAAGAAGAAAAAAAAAGCATAAAATCAAACATTAAAAAGTCCCAAAGTAGTTATTTGGCTTTTGAAACCTGCTTGCTTTCAGAAGAAAGCATACACAAATTGTGAAAGTGATCTGGAGTATGATGATACATTGAACAACTAGCAGAAATTCTCAGGAAGTTCAACTGAAGGAAACCTGAAAATTTGTTACGCGCATCGTGTTTGAAGTAGGAAGAATCAGAGGTTAATTAGCTATTAAACAGAAATTCAGGAGGGCAGGGGGAAACTTAAGGGTTTGAGAGCACAGTGAAGTGCTGAGAATGTTTGGAGAAGCAGGGGGTTCTTTGGTTTGTTTGTTTTAATTGATTGTGGGGGTGGAAATTAAGTTGGAGTCTTTAAACATAGTGTTATGATGGCAGATATTTAAAAGCGTTGAAAACCAACAGGGAAAAAAAAAAAAAAAAAAAAAAAAAACACACACAACTATTTAAAAGCTAGAAAACCAACAGCAAAACAGTAACAAATCAAAAGACTCCAGGAACTCCTGGGTTTACATTTGATCAGTCTCCGTACTGGGAGAATGTTGCCATCTAGCGGACAACAAAATGGTATCTCAGCTTTAAATTGTACCATTTATACTTACTGTTTTTAATAGTCTGAGAAGTTTTCTTGAACTTGGCACATATTTTTGTAAAAATTACTTCCCTTCTCACCTTGAAAGCCTTTCAGTCTTTTTGTTCCTACTTAAACTCCATTTTCTTTTTACCATCCATTTTACTATGCATTCCCCTTAGTTGCCAAAGCATATTATGCTATTTCTTGCACCTTTTTCCCACTTTTATACCCTGAGTGGTTTGTATAAACACGGTCTTCTTATCTGGTCATCAAAATGTGTTACCTAAAGAATTGAAAATGTGGTACATCCAAAATTAACAAAAGTTGATATGCTGCTTGCATTGAGTTTTGGTATAGCTTGGGAAGAATACTAGCATTCATATTAAAACTCTTACTAACTTTATTAAAGTCAGAACCTTTTGGTCTTGTTTTGTTCTGTTTTTCCCTAGGCATCCTCCTTAGCCTTACCTTCTTACTTGAAATAAATTGTAAGCAGGAGACAAAGAAGATAAAGCCCAAAGCATACCTAATTGTTTACTTTTTCATGTTGCTTGAGAGTTGTGTGTCAAGTGGTCATTATCTTTGCCTCCTCTGTATTAAAGCAATCATCCCTAAATAAATCTTAAACTCACACCGAGAAGTAACTGCAACCTGTAGATGTTTAGCCCATAGCTTTTGCTATGGTGAAGCTCTTCTGTTTCTTCCAAGCCCATGGCAGTTGCGAGTGGGTGCTTTCTGTCTTGCCTTCTGGCTACTATCTGTAAATCTTTGCTGAAACATCGTGTTATTCATATTAATTTATGGTAGACTTTGTTTTGTGGTGTATTGTTTTTTTTCCCCCATTTCCTTATATTTTATGAGTTTTGCTTTCTCTTCGTTTTTCTGTTTCTGGTTGTTGTGTCATTGAAGAGAATTTTGTTTGTTTTTAGATTGTTTGGTTAAAACATTTTTTTCTTCTAATGTAATTGCCTAGGGTAAGTGATGAAAAAGATGCTCGAGGTTATCTTCAAGCCTTGGCCTCTAAAATGACAGAAGAACTAGAGGCCCTGAGGAACTCCAGTTTGGGTGCAAGAGCTACAGTAAGAGTCTAATTTCATATAGTGGATTTTGTTGTTGTTTGTTTTTTTTTTTTAAATAATAAAATAAAATAAAATAAAAATCAGCTGCAATGATAACCTGTCTATAGAGGCAGTATTAGTTAGAATTTAAACTTTCTTAGAGCTTCCCTTCTGAATAACTGAATACCAAATTTTATTGTTTATCATGTTTTAAAACAGTAGTATCTTCATAATGGGATTTTTATCTCTGATATTATTGAAGTAGCTACTTTATAATCTTATATTAGTCTGTTGAAGGAAATGTATACTTGACGTCATGGAAACCTTGAAGTCTTTCCCTTCTGAATGTCCTTTGAATGTTCTTTGTCCTTTGATTGTCATTTGAATTGAGGCACATCAAAAGTAGAATTCACAAAGTCTCTATGATTTTGAGACTGACAGTGTAAGACATTCTCCTTGCCTATTTGTTACTTGAGAGTAAAAATCATAAGAGTACTCTCTAGTATTTAGAGACTAAACAGACAGAGATATAATAGACTGAGAAACATAATTGTTGAAGTTAGTTACAATCCTTGTTTTCTGCCTTCTCTCCTCTTACTCTTCCTTCTCCCCTTTTTTTTATTGCTTTTTTTAACTAGGATATGCCCTGGAAGATGCGCCGCTTTGCAAAGTTAGATATGTCTGCAAGGTTGGAACTACAGTCAGCTCTTGATGCTGAAATCCGAGCCAAACAGGCTATTCAGGATGAGTTGAATAAAGTCAAAGCTTCCTGTATCTCTACAGAGTGGTAAGACTGAATTGTTGTAATGGAAATTTACTTTGATACCTTCCAGAGAGTGTCATCAAATCATGAATTTAATTACCTTGTCTGTCAACATTTGATAATGAATGATATGCCAGTTTCTTTTATCCAAATGTGAGCAAAAGACTGTATCTGTATTTATTGTGTGAGCAGTTGAATACTTCCTTTGAAGATTTGGAATCCTGAAGATTTTGGGGGGATACCTTCTCTTTAATAACGGAATCTCTCCTACTCATGATGAAAAATTCAAATGCAAACAGAATTTGTTTTTCTATCTTAGAATATATTCTTTGCCATTGTATTAGTAGCTGTAGTGGTTTATCTGACAAAATGCAATTATTGCATGTTGGTTTGCACAGCAACAAGATGTGCTTGTGGGAAGTTATGAATGCGTTTGTTCATTCCTCAGATCTCTTTTTTTTTCTTTTTTTTTAAACTTAAATTATAAAATCTGTTTTGAGGATGGTGAATAGCTGAAGAAGCTATTTAGAAGCTGTATTTGTCTAGCCGTAGCAGGACATTCCATTTCTAAGTCTTTACTTTCAAATCTACTTCAGGAGTGCCTAAGAACTAGTACTAAGGAAATCTCTTGGAATCCTGTGAACACAGATTTAGTGGCACAAGCCTTCTTCATAGGCATTCACTATTGAAGCTGGCACCTGTTGTTTCTTTGCTTGTTCAGACAGAAATCAAAGACAGAACATGAGATTTTCTGTGCCTTCAAGAGAATCCCATGTTTAAAGAGTCTTTAAGAATAAGCTTGCACTGCTGCTAACAGTTGCAGCTAAGTTCTGCTAAAAAGAAGGCTTGAATTTCTTTAGCGGTGGTTTTGATCCCTACTACAAGATATTAACTATATTAAGTAAAGACGTTTTATAGATAAAATGCAAAAATATGAAGTAAAAAATAACATACTAATTGCATAGTTTCTGTGATATGTTGTAATTTGATTTAAACTAAAGTATATGTGACTTTGCCATGAGAAGAACTGCATTGTGATGTGATGGTAGTTACAGTTACAAATTATGAATCTCACCAGGCTAGAGATGTAGTGCAAGTCGTCTGAGTTGCTGTAGGTTGAATTAGGTACTCAAGCTAAAGCAGGAATTCTGAGCCTTCTCTTAGATCCATACACATTCTGTTCCTCTCACTGTTTTCTCTACAAGAATGATTTTTATAGTAGCAATTCTGTCAACCTTGCAGTGTCTGAGCATGTAGAAGGACAACAGAAGGTATGGAAACTGCCCCAAGCAGAGAAGGGGTAGCATGCGATGTAAGAATTTCAAATACAAGCAAAATGAAGGATTTCTGTCATATTTGAGGGGCACTCACATGTTTTGGAGCTTTGGGAAATCAGTTGGGCAGAGTTGAGATTCAAGTATGTTATCTGTGAAGGGGAAATGAATGCCCTGTCCACCTCAAATGGGAAATGTTACCTTCATACCAGGTAACATTATGATAGGCAGTAGTGTAGTTCCTCTAAGAAAGGAGAACCAGTGGTTTTTTGATAGGAAAGGATGAGAAGTGCTATAGAAATGCATAGTAGTGTTACCTATCTGCTGCGAATCAAAAAGCACTGAAACAACTAACTGTAAAGTAACTGAGAGGAAAACCAGTTCTACAAAATCTGCTAGTATCACAGGTACTATGAATTAACAAATTAAAAAAATCAATTTGTAATTTAAAAATACACGTGGTCTTTTTTTTCTTGAGCATAAGATGCAGGCTCAAAAAGTTACTCATAAATTAGAGACGTGAGCCTACCTAGTGAGTAATCAAGGGTAGTTAATGCTTGTTCTTTTTTAAGATACCGTACTAAACAGGTCCAAACAGGTTTCTGAATTTATTTTTGCATTTGATAACATCATGCAGCTTTCTGGGCATTGATTTTTAACTGGGCAGTAGTCCAAATTGCATGAAAAGATGGACAAAAATAGAGTAACTTGTATCATGGGTTCTCAATATTTACATATTTTTTTTGTTTGTATTCTTTTGAAGTAAATTGCAAGAATCTGAGAAGAAGAACTTGGAACTGCTGACAGATATTGAAAGGCTGAAAAAGGAGACAGAAGAGCTTAGATCAGAAAAGGGTATGGCAAATGATATCCAAATAAATAAGAACATATTTCACGTTGGCGGGTATATCTTATCAATTAAGTGTCATCTTGCAAGTAAAATACAATACCAAGGGGTTTTGGTATATCATATGTGAGCATACCTATTGCATGATGAGATGTACCCACAGCAGTTGCATTTGCACTTCTCATATATAACCATTTTGTTAATATACTTGAAAAAGTAAGGTATTATCTGGGTTGGAACTGTATTATTTTTATTTTGCATGTGCATGGTAACTTACTGCCAGAAAACTGCTGGAAGTACGATTTTTTTTTTCTCCTTCATTTATGGGTGAAGGTACTTAAACTTCAGTGTTGTGTTCTTCAGTGTTCTCCATTTATGAATCTTTTGGACCCGTAAGAGGGAATACAACTGCAGAGGCACTCTGCAGTTCATTCATTGGTTTCTGGTCATTTATTGGCCTTTTAACCATGTCGTGAACAGTGTGGTCATGTTTGTTTTGCTGTGGTTGTAAGAGAGTTGTCTGCGATTTCTGCCTAACGTTACCTCTCTAATAACATCTGCCTTAACAGTATTTTGCACAGTTGCTCGGAGAAGAAATGTTTTACTAAATCTGAAATGAAAAAAAAAATGAGGAAAGATTAATGATTTGGCTGATTCTTTACGTGTTACATAGTATCTCTCATACTTGTATCTTGTGAGTCACATGGGAGTAAGGAATTTTTCAGGCTAAATGGAATTATCTAATTTTTTTATAGCAAATTGCTTGAACTTCAGAAAAAAATTCAAAGCTCTGACAACAATTGTTGCACAGAGATTTAAAATATTGTTCAGCCTTTGCAACCTAATGGCATGTCAGTCAATAATGTATTGCAGTTAACATTCATCTTATTTAGCTAGGCCTGCAAGTGCTGGTTGACTGGTAAAAATAATACAAGCCTATACAAAATACTCAAAAATCACCGGTGCTGACTAGCAAATAAACCTTAGGGAATTGGTATTTGTTCATCTTAATGCTTAGCACTGATAACAAGATTATACTTCTGAGTGCTCGGAGAGGAACTTTTGATAGCATCTTTCTGGAAACAATACTGCTTTGTCATGTTTAGCTTTTATTTTTAGACTCTTGAGCTGTCTTAAATAATTTTGCATGGTTCCTCTGCTTCTGAAATCTACCTTCCCGTTAAACAATCTATTAAGAATTCGTAATTAATATCTTACCTTGTATTTTTTCTAGTATTAATACATTATTATTTTTGTGGAAATAGAGATAAACATTTATTTTTTTCTTTTTTAAAAAAAAGTATTACTCAATAAAAAGTTAATAATTAAGCTTTTTCAGAAGTAAATGACTTCTACTGTAATTATTCAAATATTTCGCTATAAATATGCCTTAGTCCTTATTATCTTTGGACTTGATTCTCCCTTTTAAGAAGACACATACTGATGTCTGAATCACGAATTGTGTAGGGTCTTCAGCTGCCCTCAGCGTACTGTGATAGAGTAATTTCCCGTGTGTGCAAATCCATTTATATAAGATAATTTAGATTATCACATGCATCCCTTCTTCTGATAAGTATATTTTTAAACCTGGAAGGGGTGGGGGAAAAGATCAATAAAAATGAAAATAGCAGGTAATTTGAGATTTTTTATAGTCTTTTTGTAGGATTTCAGCGTATTTATGTAGATATAGAGTATACATGCATGTCAAGAAACCTGTATTATCTGCAAATTCAGTATGTTCTCCAAATAGTATGTTTTGTATGTTTTTTGTGGAAATTTACTATTTGCTGTTGTCTACCATCTTGTCACAGTTGACTGTAGTGTGTGGGTAGAGTAGGGATGACACCTGCTGCATTAGTATTTAAGCCTGTGTGTCATTCAGTGCATGTTGCAAATAGACATAAGCACATTAGAAACTTGTTCCTTCTGCATAATACACACATGCACTATGTTTTCTTGTTCAATTCACTCCACACACATCCTAGCTTAGAAATGGTTCATTAAACGTTTGCTTCTTGCTAAAGCAAGTGGGTGTATATCTATTTTTAAAAAATCTTACTCTGGAAAACAGACCGAAAGTGACAGCTCATTTAAAAGAAATGGAGGTGGCTTGGGTGGATACCCAAACCCCGAATTCAGCAAGGCAAAGGTCCTCCACGAAGAGGTCATTTTTCTGTAGCTTAAAAACCTGCTGCTGTTTTCTAGGTGTAAAGCACCAAGACTCACAGAATTCTTTCTTGGCATTTTTGAATGCGCCTACCTCTGCTCTGGATCAATTTGAAGTAAGTGTGCAGCTATTTTCTTTCTCAGTTAGTCAATAATACTTTTTACTGTTGCTATTTTATGCAGATTGTATGCATATTTGCTGATAGTTTGTTATTGTTTTTAATCATATTGCCCCATAGAGATCTGTGTACAACAATATGTGAATATTGCTTGTCATCTGAGGTGCTGGCTTTCTTCTTTGAACACTTGTAAGCATAGTGAATTCTCTCTAAAATCTTGAATGCAGAAATTTTCGCAATTTTGTAGCAAACATGAAGCAGAGGTGTTCAGATGGCCTTGGTTTGTGTTCAGAGGAATGCTAAGAAATGTGAATACTAGTTTGGTAAAAATGCAAGAAAATAGGTAAATAATCCATGAAAATGTTGGTGCTGTATATTTATTAGGTTGTGTTCATCTCTTGTTCATTTTCATTCGCAGGTTTGTAGAATTCAGATAATTGCTGTTTGTCTCATCTCCACAGATCCTATATACTTAAAAAAATAAATCTGTTTAATTCCTTTGTTACTTTTAGATAAAAGAGAAGTTTAGGTAGAAAACTTAGAGGAGAAAAATTGAAACAGTACTGTACATTTCATATCTTCTATTTTAATCAACAGTAAGCAATGCATCACCTTTCTTTTAAAAGAACAGCTGGGGTGAAATATTGGTCAAACTAAATTCATGAGGACAAGGTACTACCTCAGTAGTTATACATTGGTCTAAAATTTGCTCTAGTTTTTTTCTGATGCATGTACAAGGTCATCACATTTAGCTATCAAAGACATCCCACATGTTACTGATCTTCCAAAATGTACTTACTTTTCATTTTGTATTCGTTTGTCCATTGTTCTCTCATGAAGTCTTCACAATTAATACCATTTTTGATTTCCTTTTTTAACTATTTCTCTTACAAGTTACTTTTAATATAAAAATCCTGTTGGAGTATAGGAATATGGTTTTATTGTGTCATTGTGTTTTAATGCTGGAAAAAATTTCATTTTATATGGGTAGTTTATTGATTAATTGTCTATGATAGGCAATTAATGAAAATTACTTAGGTAACTGTTATTGGCACTATTTATTTCAGTTCTTTATTTTTGCACTTTTATTTGCGCTGAACAGCTTTCTTCATCTTGCTCTTTTTTCTGTCTCTCTCCCTTTTTTTTTTTCTGCTGTTTTCATTAAAATAGGATTCCTTTTCCTCCTCTTCATCCTCATTGATTGATTTTATGGATGACGTAAGTCTTTGACTTTCAAACCAGTAAATCCCTCAGTAAGAAAGATCAGTTGATTTGATTTGATTTGGAATATTCAAAATGGTAATGTAGTCGAAATAAAAGTGCTGCAAGTGCAGCAGAGAGCTATTTCTACAATACTTACACCTATCTATATAGATAGACACACAGTTTTGAAGTCAGTGTTTTTCTTTATGTGCAGGTAAAGAAGTCTTAATTTCAGAAGGTTATTTCTAATGGGGAGAAGATGCTTTGGGGCCTTACCTACTGATATGACCTGTGGAAAATGGTTCTAAAAGCACTGGCATATTTATTTTATTTAGTTCTATTGCTTCATGTTATTATTTTATCATTAGTTGTTTCCAAAACTTTTCTGGTCACTTCAGTGAAAGTGGTGGGTTTTTTTCATACAGTTAATTTCTGTCTGTTCAAATAAAATACTATTATATGCTATTAGTATTATATACTAATACTATTAATATACTTTTTAGCCTATATTTTATGAAGTAATCTTCATTATATCTGAAGTGACCTTCTTGATTTCTTTTTATTGGTACTTGAGATGCTAATTTTTGATCTCAACAGTGTTTAAATATTTGCGCTGGTTAGTTGCATGCTAAGGAAATTAAATTAAAAGCTGAAAATTGACTGCATGTATTTCTTCCAGACCAAAGCAATAAGCCCATAAGTGTAAATGCTAACAAGCTTTTTAAAATCAAAGTAAATACTGTTCATCATTTGTAGTATACCACCCATTGCAATTCTGTATATATTGTGCGTACATATGTGTGTACTTTTATGTGTATATGTTATATACACATACATGCATATTTATGCATATATAATTAAAATACTAGAATCATATTTGCATTAAAATGCAATGTTATTAATTTTATTCTAGAAATGTCTGCTGTGAATGATGTAACAAAGATGGTATAGCAGATAGGCCTATACTACCCGACTAAGTTTCCTTTCAGCAACTCTGAAAGAATGCTTTTCATCTAGAAGTTTTTATCTGCAATTCAATACATACCTTAGACAAAATGAGAATGTACATTTATGGTACCATAGTAGCATGCATTTGTCTGCATTTTTGTGTAGCATAGAAACTCTTGTCTTGCTGATATTGTAATTTTCTTACACCAAAAATAGTAGTATAGTAAAATCGAGTATAGTTTCCTGTCTTGTTAAATATATAATAAATTAATATTTCAGTTCTTCACTGAATTAAGGAAGTGTTCAGTATGTTGCCAGAGCATTAGGAACACTTAGTTTATATCAGCAGGCTGTTTCATAAAAAGGTACCTTTAAAATATCTGTTACTCTCCTAAAACAATGGTGAAGGGACTGGAGCAGATCTATCAGGAAAAGCTGGGAGTGTTCAGACTTTTTAGCCTAGAGAAGGAGAAAGCTTGGGGATATCTCAGCAATTTTCATAAATACCTGAAGAGAGGATGCAAGCAAGACAGAAACATGCTCTTTTCAGTGGTGTCTAGTGTGAGGACAAGGTGCAGTGGGCAAACACTGGAACCCAAGAGGTTCCATCTAAACATCAGGAAGCACTTTACTGTGCGTGTGACAAAGCACAGGAGCATGTTGCCCAGAGAGTTTGTGGAATCTCCCTCCTTGGACACCTGGACATGGTCCTAGGCAATCTGCTCTAGGTGTTCCTATTTGAGCAGAGGTTTGTCCCAGATAGCATCCAGAGGTTTCTTCCAACCTCAACCATTCTGTCATTCTGCAAAAACTTGTTAAAAGAGAAATAAAGTACATATGTAACAGGGTAACGGATAATCTTCTGTTTTGCAAGGTGAAGCAGAGGACAACGAAGTTTTCCTCTTTGCTCTCTAGTTAGTTTTGAAGGACACCAATAAATAGAGGATAAAGCACTATTGTTTTTTGTTGTTGTTTCTTTTGTTTCAAAGAAGGCAGCTTTTTTTTTTTCATGAGCTTTTACCTTTTTTTCTTTGCAAGTGAATAATTTTCAACTGTTGCCATACATCTTTTAGATCATTCTTCTCAGTTGATCCACCCAGATCAAATCTTTTTAACTAACACCCCAAGTATTAGCGTGTATATCATTGCATATGGATGGCTTGGCACATACAGAATCAAACTTCCTTTGGTATATTTTCAAGTGGAGACAACAGCTTTGTTTTCTCAGTACCTTTCTGAATTGGAGTAACTAGCTGCTATCTAGGGCCTCTCTAACACTGAGGCAGAATGCTTTCTGGCAAACCTTCTAGCAAAACAAGAGAGTTGGCTGTTCAAAGACAGGAAAAGTACCTTACAGACAAGTAGAACACTTGTTGAGTTATATTTCTTTATTGAAAGAGAAATGTCTGATGTCATTTTTAGTAGGTGGAAGGTAGTATAATTAAATTGTGTTTTAAAGTCAATTCTGCACCCTTCTATAGCTGGGCAATTACTTGATTAATTCACAAAGAGATTCATAATACCTAGCCTTTCAGTTACCAAGGTGAATGTTTATTTATGTTTCAACTAATGCAGCAGGTTCGATATCCACATATTTGACTTAAAAGATAGTAAAGGCCTCAAAAAAAAAAAGCAAATAAAAAAGGGGGTGGGGGTGGGGGAAACAAAACCACAAAACCCACCCTCCCCTCTGGATGTAACCTCTGCTCTCTTATCAACGTGTCTTTTTGACAGTAGTTGCTTTGTAGGACAATGTTTATTGTAGAACCTCAAGGAGAATTAATCTGTGCTCAATCAAACCTGAGAAGTGTGGGGGTTCTTTAAATTCAGACCAGTGAAGAATTAGAAATCTGCAGATTAGACTCAGGCAGTGCTGCAAGATAGCATGGGTTTCAGGAAAGCCTGTCCTGTAATCAGGAACCCAAAGTAAATATTACTGATGGCCCATTATGTTTCTACAGCCTCTGTGCTTCGTTATGAAATGACAGTGTGTAAAATAATATGCTGTTGTAGTTATGTATTGCACTCTTTGCAAAGTCTCTGCAGACTGTTTAATGTATACATGTGGAAGCAGCACCGAGTTTGACCCATTGGTTACGTTTGAAGTTTGTTAGGGTGGATAACGTCTCCTGTCTGCCATCCAAATAATGTGATCGTTTATCACGCTCAGTGAATGATTGTAGTTAATTCTAATTGTATCAATGAAGGAAAATGATAGCTTTGCATTTCTTCTGGAGAGCAGTAAAATCATTTGTCTTGCTGTCTCTGTAGCCTGCAGGTGTTGCACAAGAGAAGTAGTAGCTCAGTATTGAGATGAGCAGCAGTCACTGCTGGCTCACGCTGTTCCTCCTCGAATCCTCAAAAAGATACCTGGTAAAATCGGTGGAACTGGTGCCAAAATCCTCATAGTTGTGAAAGTCCAAATGTCCAGAAATGATCCTTTTATCTCCTGTGTGCACCAGAGGTGTGAAAAGGAGTTTTGCTGCCTGTGGTTTCTGATTGTGGTGTGGAGGGCAGCAATCCCCAATGACTCCACTATACTCATTTCTGAATCTTTTCCCTTATTTCTCCTGTGTGTTGCAGATTGTCTCTCAGTAATATCATCTAGGTCTTAAGTCTGCTGTGTTCCCTGGAAGTGTCTGATAATAGCAGTGTTGGGTGATGGTTTTTGTTTTGGTTTGGTATTGTTTTTTTATTTCTTTTCAAGATTGATCTTTGTGTATCTCTCTAGCTAACAGAAGCAATCAACTTGTTTTATTTAAAGTTGAATTTGTTACTATGTAGTAACACTAAACCAATAACAATCCATTTTCCCTTGACAATTATTTTCTTACTTGCTAGAAAATATTGTTTTTCTCTTGTTAGTAGCACATTATGAATTAAAAATAGCTTTCTTAAATCTTCCTGCAGTCTGTCCCCCCTGTGGGCCTTGGTTAAACTAAATAAATCTCCGCTTTGTAAATAACCACAGAGTAAATCATGTTCTGAGTTCTCATTTTTAAATACTCCACATCAGCGTGTGCTGGGAGCCCTGACTGTTCCTGCACATTCATAATTAAGTTTAGAATTCCTCTGGTTCTTAATGATTCTTTAAATTGGATGCAGTGAACCTCCAAAAGATTGCTTTATTTGCCTTATTGAGAATACAGGGATACTAACTACAAATCATACTTCTGTAGTGTAACATAGTCTGTAGTTTCACTGTTATTGTCTGTTGTAAAGCTACAAACTCTAAAATAACTGTTCCTTTTTTTTGACGTTTCTTTCCTCTTGTTACCCCAGAATAGTGTTTTGAAAATTGTTTTAAAAATGAATGTGTTTGTGTGTGTCTAAACAGTACATCTGGAAATATACAGCAATGAATTCAGAGCTGAAGTATATGTCACTGTTTGGTTTTGTAACATATTCTCCTCCTTTCTTTGTTAAAGCGCTCTCCTTCCTGTATTCCAGCTAACAGAGGCAGATGTGTAAGAGGCTGTCTTACTCTATGTGGCCCTTTATTTTTGCCTGTTGTGTACATGCCTTTGTTTAATGTATGGATTACGTATATATCTCTCTGCATGTCTTGTGCTGCTGCTACTGCTTGCTGCTGCCGCTGCTGCTGTGCTTTCTGTTGTTTTACAGCTGTGGGCTAAAAGCTTCTGGAGTATTTGGTTTGGTAATACTTCCCTGAGCAGAATATCGCAGTAACTAAAGAAGATGCTTTGGCTACTTTTTCATTTCACTATGAACATTCATTATGAAAGCTGATCTGGTTGATAACAGGATGGGAAGATGAGCAGATGTCAAATGAGGGCCTGTTTGTTTCCTTGACCTTTGGAGAGGACACGTAGGGTTACAAGAATTTCCTGTACAAGGTAGAAGTTTGCCATTCAGGAGGCATGTCAGCAAATGACAGAAAATATCACAGCACAAAGATAAATAAATGAGAAGTAGGAAACTGAGTAAACTGAAACATTGAAGAAGGTGGGAAAAAGTCATACAAGGAAGACATAGTTGTATGTGTTGTAGTCTATCAAGCTGGAAAGCTTTGTGGTGTTTCAGAAATTGAGGTGGATTTTAAAACATGGTTTTACCAAAACTTTGAACCTGAATTGGTACCGGGTATGCCATGTTCACTTTGAACTCACTCCACTTTGAGCTACGTCTTTTGATTCTTTCATATATATGTGATAATAAGAAATATATAATATATATAAGATAAGATAAGATATAATATATATAAGAAATATATAAGATAATAGGAAAGCATACAAAGCGTTTCTATCGAATAATCAATAAATAAACAACGATACCCACAGCTCGAATAATGACCTAATATAGTTCAAAGCACGCATCTCAGTGTTTTAGGCAAGCTTACAGTGACTGTTTTTGCCTGTTGTGGCTCCAAGTCAGATGTATTTATACAGGGGACAGCTTTGGCTCAGACCTTCATAGAATCACTGAATGGCTTGGATTGGAAGGGACCTCAAAGACCATCTAGTTCCAACCCCCCTGCCATGGGCAGGGATGCCACCCACTAGATCAGGTTGCTCAGGGTCTCATCTAGCCTGGTGTTGGCACCTTCACAGATGACATTGTGTGTACTGATAAACACAGCCTGGTGGAAGCCAACAAGGCTGTTGCAATTTGATCTCAAATGTTGTTTTCATAATCCAGTGGCTTAGTTTAAGGCTAGTTTTAATGGTGCTAATATTATGGTCCACTTAAGCTTCTGGCCGTAGCTGAGTTAGGCTTCTTTTGTACTTATTTCATCTCATTACGGTAAGGAACCTGAAGATTACAGCAGCCATATAGCTTAACACCCTGTTTCTGCAGTGAAGTTGGTGGTTAAATTCCCTTCAAATTCAGTAATGGTAGATCAGGTTCTGTATGTTTTGGGGCTTTTTATGTTTATAAGCAAAGTAAAAATAAGTTAGTAAATAGTTCAGCAGTTGTCTTCTAACCACAAAGGCTTTGTAGCACATTCCCGAAAAGTTCCATTATTTATATTATCCTTGTACTAAATTTTTTAAGAGACAGCATGAAAATTCTTTGGTATGCAGATACTACTTTGAAAGGGAAAGCCTTCTGAGTATGTGGAAATGTTTATGAAATAATAGATTAGATCTCTGAATTTAACTGAAAGAAGAGAAGTAAAGTCCGCTTCTTGCTATGAAAAAAAAAGTCCTGTGGTTACTCCTTGGGCTTGCTTTTTTAATAGCACTGTTAGAAAGCAGCGAGATTTTTTGAGGTTAAATAGTCTTTGACTGGATTCTAAGTTATCACATGTTCAGACTTGCTTTAAAAAAAAAAAAAAGTTTAATTGAAACAATACTATGTGTCTTGTCTACTTAAAGGCATCAGTGTTTGTAATACTGGATGAAGCTTCCAGTTATAATTTGCTTCTGATAAATCTGAGCACAAAATGTTTACTGCTACTTTTTGCTTCAGTACTTAAAGTACATGACTTATGTGCAGAAAATAGATGTATCTCATTATCCCATGGCACAAATTATTTTTTGTTGTTGTTGCAGGCATCTTAATTTGCCTAAGTTGATTAAGCTGATGAGCATTCTCTATGACATTTTTTTTTTGATGACTATGGTAAAGAAATCTTCAAACTTAGCTCACTACAATCTAAAATAAGAAAAAAAAATAGAACAAGAGAGCTTCAGCTGCACCTGTTCATTGCCATGATTTTCTGGGGAAGAGAACTCTATATGCATGTTTAAGATTGGCATGGCGATATATTTTGTTCCCAAAAAAGTAGCAAAGGTTATTGAATTTCTAGTATGCTGTCAGTGGCAAATTAAGAAAAAAAAAACAAAACACATTGGAATATTCAGATGCATTCTGTAAAGGTTGCTGCATATTTTATTTTGTGTGCAAGTTACCCAAATCATTAGCAATGGGTAAGTGTTGATAATGTTGCTCTAGAAAAGCCAGACATGCCATGGAGCCTTCTGTAGGCCTTCAGCCTTTAATTTTATTATTAGTGGAGAAAAGCATCCTTATCTCACTTTAATTTAAATAAAAAATAAATCCAAAACTTTGATGTGGGGATGTCATGTTTACGATGAAGAATCTTGCATTCTCTGATTTTCATTCAATTTTTATTTGATTTTCAGTCTCGATTTTCATTTGTCTGATGAAGATCAGGCAAAAGATGACTTGTTATCAGGACACCTGATCATACCCAGTGTCCTCTTGTTTAATATAATCTTGTTCTTGGCTTAGTTTTGTTGTGTATCAAAGACTAGGAAAATAGTCCCCTGAAGAAAATGTAGAAAATAAAGATGCGTTTCCCTTTTTGTAGTTTTGGTGGAGTACAAACCCCTTCAATTCTCTGTGAATATTGTTAATGCTAATTTAAGGAAATATATTATTTGCTCTGCCTTTTCTGCTAAATACATTTGCACTGATTTATGTGGTTTATATGGGAATTCACTACTAACAAATTTCTAATACTGGTGGACAAAATAAGAGTAATGTTTAGAAAATAGTCACCCTTTAAAAATGCTCAATTACAAGTCTCCTTGAGTGTTTATCAGGCTCCTGAACTAGCAGTTCTTATGCATGTGCTCACCTCTCAGCAGAAGCCTTGGCGTCTTCATATTTAATAATTTAAATTGTGTTTTTGTAGCTTGATTAAAGAGTTACTTAAAACTGATTCTTTCTTTCTCAGTTCTCTCTTAGGAATTCTGCTGCTTCCTTATCTTATTTTGGTAAGAGTCGAGAAATCCATTTTAACGATGACTTTGATTTCTTTTAATTTTTTCCCCCTCTGGAATTGTTCTTCTAGATTGATTCAGTTGAGAATTTTACATTGTCTAATACACCATCACGGGATGAAGATACCAAGTCTCACCTCCATTCAAGATCGAGGTCTCCTTCTACAGCAAGCGAAACTGAACCCATAGAGGTATTTTTTTAAATTTTTTTTTAGGAGTACCAGTTTTTGCTGTTAAAAATCTTTTTGTTTAGAAACTAAACTCGCTATACTGTAGGGACTATTTAGAACCCTGTAAATAGCCTTCTGCACTGGTGGTGAGCTGTACTTTGGGGAATATTGAGTCCTTTTATGTATGGTTAGTTGGTTAGGGATGGGGACTCTGGTAAATCAATTATTGGATATCTCTGCATAATGTATCCTTAGTTGTGAAAATTTAAGAATTATTTGCACAAAGATGATGTTACAATATAGTTTGTGAGAGCATGTTTTGGAGTCTTGCTTTGGAGTCTTGTCCATACAAAATTAGCAAGGTTCTGCAACTGTAATAACGTATCATCCCCTTCCCCTGTTTAAAAAAATCAATTCTGTGATTATTTTATGTTAGAAAATAGTCGCTAAATGGAGCTAATGCAAAACTATTTTTGCCGTTTAAGATGTCAAATATTTAAGAGCTGAATCTTGCACATCATTTTTATGACAAGTAAGATTTGTATTCCCGAGTCCTTCCTTTGTTAGTTTTTTTTTTTGTTTTTGTATGCTTGGGAATGGAGTGGGCGGCAGGTTGTAGTATTTTTACTTTATTCAAGCTGTCTTTCATAGTGCATATTTGATGTCTTACTGATCTTTTGGGGACTACATTCAGGTTATGGATCATCCTCCTCGTTCAATTCACACTCCAACCATGAAGACAGCATATATTGGATCGGGACTTCCTGCACTAAAGGTATTCAATCATGTGTTCACACTTTTTGTACAATAAGGGGAAAAGTATTGCTCCTGGGCCACAGCATCAGGAATCTTACCAGAACTCTCCAGAAGAGTTCTTTGTGTGCAGGCCGGTTGCTTTCTAAAATTTAACAGGCCCTCAATAGCTCAGGAGTCTTCTGTATATATTAAAAAACAAACAAACAAAACAACAAAAGCTTTTTTTGCAATTAATCAATGAAGTGTGTAAGTCTTTCTAATACATCTGTTCTACTATTTTGATAAACTGCAAAATAACAAAAGACTTTATGTAAAAGAATGCTAGAGATGTTTGAGCAGGCAGTTCTGTTGGCAACGTCTTAATAGATCAATCAAAAATACTAAGTGTGAAACATTGTACTGCACACTTTGTTTCATTTTTACAAATGTTTTGCCTTAACAGTAAATAATGATTATTTTTCTAAGCTTATAGACCTCAGTTACAGTGTTGCAGTTGTGTGATTCATCCCACTATGTTTCTGTGATAGCAATCAGGTCATATTTGTCTAACTGCAACAATGGTTTCCAACTCCTTCTGCTTGTTTCCCTGTTTCTGCTGTGTGTAGAGGCATGTCAGCTGGTCTATCAGTTGCAGTCAACCAATTTTAAAATCAACTTTATCTGCATTCTTGCTTTAAACCGGGTATTCTGAAATAGCCTGTGCCTGACACCATAAAACTGAACTCTGTCATAAAAATCAGAGTTTTGAAAAAGTTTGATGTTTTACTTTGAACTAATGCAACACTCCTTACAGTGAAGCACTGAATGTTTCTTGAAAGATAGGTACATCCATATGTTCAACTTGTAATGAGTGTAATTGGGTAATTTTGTCAACTTTCCTGTCTATGGTGGAAGCAAACCAATGTTCTGAGGCAAGGTTCAGTTTCTGTGGTTATGTTTGCATGGGATGGTTTAAGTTATCAATAACAAGCATTGATAAGGAATGTCTTCAGCCTGTGTGTTGGGAACTCAGGTCTCATTTCAGCAAACACTCTTGTGTCTGTGTAAGATAACTATTCTTCAGAAGTGTTACAGATACTAACATACTTGTCTGCTTGTTTCACAGCCTAAAGCACATCAGTTTGTAGTGAAATCATTTAATACCCCAACAAAATGCAATCAATGCACATCTCTGATGGTTGGTTTAATAAGACAGGGCTGCACTTGTGAAGGTAAGTATAAAAGCAGGAAATGGGAACTGAAGTTCTTACAGATGCAGATTGCATAGTAAACAATAATGCAGGTGTCTTCTGTATACGTTTTGAATAACAGAATATATTCTCATTCTGCTGTCTTTTAACAGTGGAAGCCAAACACTTTGAGTATCTCATATAAAAAATTACCTAGTTATCTGGGGAAGTACTTATTCTGGTTGGTGGCAGAAGAGCTTAGCAGAGTTTATGTAAATTAGCAATAAGGGGCAGCAGTCAGTGGTCAAGTATGCTGACAGCAACCTTGCTTTACGACCTGGAGCAGTATGTAAGAAAGTTTTGCCATTTAGTAATAATATTGCTTCTTTCCAGGACTGATTTATCCTAGATTTTTGTATACACAGAATAACACACATCATTTAGGGAAGTTTGCAGCTTTTTGTTTATAAGACAGATGGACCTAGAAAAATAATCATATAGATTTTTCAATTTGAACTTCTAATGAGTTCCATAGAACTCTGAAGCTGAACAACTCTGAATTTAGATCCAATCAAATTATGCACTGCTGTTGTGCAAAAAAAAAAAAACTTTTCTATTTTAGTGTAGCAAAGTTCAGTGCAACAATTCAATTGTTAGTAAAAAATAAATAAATACATAGAAAAAGCGTCATCATCATTATCATAGCTTTTGCATTGCATAAGAAATAACCATCAAATACTTTTGTTTCGTTTCCTCCTCACAAGTATGTGGATTCTCCTGCCACGTGACCTGTGCAGACAAGGCCCCTGCAGTATGTCCAATCCCTCCTGAACAGACTAAGGGCCCTTTGGGAATAGATCCGCAGAAAGGTATAGGAACAGCTTATGAAGGACATGTCCGAGTAAGTATCAGGTAGCAGCATTTGGGGCACTTGTGTCAGATTTGTTGCTTTCTGGAGGTGAAATTAAACTCTAATTTTAGGGGTGGATGATTTAGTAATTTCTTAAGGTAACAGTTTGGAAACTAAGACATCAATTTTCAGAGCAACTCTTGGCATTTTCAACAGTATTTCTTTCTTTATCTGTTGGCCATAGTGCTTTGAGTTGGTCTTGAATAGTCCATCTCTAGAGATCAGATCATTTTCCCAGGCCAGTGAGTTTTTGAGTCTTCCTGTTTATTAGTGTTGTTTGCTGGTAATTGCTTATAAAGAATCAATTAAAAAATTACTAGGCAGATTTCTGTTGACCAACTAGAGATAGATGTTTATATCTTTTGTCAACATATCTTTGAATAAGCTTGTTTACTATGGAGAAGCAATCTGTGGTGCTAATTTATTTTTTTTTAAACAACATGTTGTGGTATCTGTTTGATTGTGTTTGATGCTCTTACTGCATCTATGCTATTTCTTATCTTGTTTAACGTTATCACTGAACAAAAGTTTGCCAGCCTAGATGAAAGAATTGATTTTTGTACTGCCTGTTTGATTTTTGACTGCACAGAGATTTAAAGAATTGATCAGAATTTATTTTGCTAAAGGTACCAAAACCAGCTGGAGTAAAGAAAGGTTGGCAGAGAGCGCTGGCAGTGATCTGTGATTTTAAACTCTTCCTGTATGATATAGCAGAAGGAAAAGCATCCCAGCCCAGTGTGATAGTGAGTCAAGTCATAGACATGAGGTAAGCTTTCTGTTGTTCAGTGGGAGCTTTTCGTAAGAGGAAGGGGGGTGACAATGCAATTAAAACTTCATTACTACTTCCTATTCCAAAATGCGTCTGTTGTCTGTGCGTAAGTTGTGGAATTAGTAAAGAACAAAAATACATTCTTTTTGGGGTTGGATAGAGTTTTTGAAGACAGATTGACCTTTGTCATTGGATAAAATTAATAGAATTTTGTATTCAGGAGTGCTGAATATTTTGTTCTCACTGTCTTCAGTATTATTGAAATACTACTGACTTTGATGAAGGTTGAGGACATCTAACGTACCCAATTAAGATTACAACTTCTAGACAGTTTGGATTTTTATGAAAGAGTTGAAAGGGTCTTCTTGACCCAGTCTGTTCTTTCTAGTTTGATTTTTGTTTTAAGTTTTTAATTTAAACAGATGCAAAAATAAATACTCTGAATAGGTATATTTCTATCAGCATTTACCAGGAGTAATTACGTAACATTGCATTATGAGTTTCATTTGCAGATAAAGAGAAAAGTCAGGATAATTTTAAAAATTAGATCTCAGTACTGTCCTGTTGTGTACGTAACAAAACAAAGAAATTGATGCTGTGGAAATATAAGTAAAAAAACAAACATACAGATTTTGCTTTCCTTAACTCTTTTCCAATAATGTTTATGGTCTCCATAAGGGATGAAGAATTCTCAGTGAGTTCTGTCCTGGCTTCAGATGTCATCCATGCTAATCGAAAAGATATTCCCTGTATCTTTCGAGTAAGTATGTCTGTCTTGAGCCTAGTAACCCAGAAGCACTGGGTTTTACAGTGTGATGTACAGCATGCATTTACTGACTACTTGGCTAGTATTTAACTTCTGTCACAAGTTCTAGCAGTGTGTTGTTCATGACTGCAGCAGTGCATAAAGCTCTGTACATAAATCCATATATTTTTCGTCATAAAAATAGCACAAGTTCTCATCAAAAAAGATGATAGGTTTTATTTTTTTCTAACCTTCACAATAAGACTTATGTTTCTCAACTTTCTGTTAGCCATTTGAAATTCTGTTCTTCATGACTTTCTACATTTTCATTTCCCGAAATTGTCTTCAGCTTCTCAGTTGGATTTGCTGCATTATTCCTGAAGCATTTTTTTGTATGTAGTTTCTTCATATATAGGCACTGGATTTTTGAAAACTCCCATTCATCAGGTAGTTAGTATAAAAATACAGTGTAATACACTCGTCAAAATTTATCTGCTACCTGGTGTCAGGATTTTGCCATCACTGTCTTTTTCTAATATTCTTATTTTTACTGGATATTCTATTGAAGCTTTGACCTCAGTGAAAAATCTTTGGTGTCTAATTAAATCATGTATCGTTTCTTTACCTACACTATTGTATTTCACTCCTTGTTTTTCCCGCTTTCAGACTGTTCAGCACTCTGCATGCTGAGAGGAGATAAACCTACAAAAGGGGCTTTTGCTTTTATCTGTAGCAGCTGTACCAAATACATGATGATGATAGGTCATTCTTCTGTATATAGCATTCCTATTACATTAAATTAACGATGGAAACTATTGACTTTTAAAAAATACAGAATACTTTGTAAGAAATTCTTTACATTATAAAATTGCTGTGAGATGTCTAGCTGACTTAGGTGGATGTTTCCAAATTACAGAATAAATATAAATATGTTACAAAAAAAAGCTTTCAGATTTTGCTGCATCATCCACATCTATAGGTCTTTTTGCCATGAGCTCTTGATTGTGATATTTTTTTCTATTAACTAAAGCTAAATTTTTGCATTCTTGGATCAGATAGCTGATTAAAAGAGCACTTTACATGCATCTGATACCATGTATAAATTATCAAGGCGAAATCTTTTATTGCTTATGACTTAAGATATGTATTTAAATATTTTCCAGGTCACAGCTTCCCAGCTCTCTGCATCCAGTAATAAGTGTTCAATCCTGATTCTAGCAGATGGTGAGAATGAAAAAAGCAAATGGGTAGGAGTGCTCAATGAATTGCATAGGATCTTGAAGAAGAACAAACTCAAAGACCGCTCGGTCTATGTTCCCAAAGAAGCTTATGATAGCACCTTACCCCTCATCAAAACAACACAGTCAGCAGCAATCATAGGTACGAAATGAATAAGAAAAAATCTCAGAAAAATTTCTTCTCTTAGATTCTAATGTTGCCAGAAAAAAGCAGAGTAATGTAGATGATTCATGATGGCCTCTATGATGGGTATGCTTACAGCATGCTTTTTAAAGAAAAATATGTTAAATTACGTTGTTTACTGAAAAGAGAACAATATGTAGTGTTTTTACCCCATACGGAAATACATATGGGAGTACAAGAGAAGTGCAAAGTATGACCCAGAACTTTTGTCACATCTTTAAAAATATACAGACACATAGTTATAAGCCATTTTGGCTAAGCATTAAACATTACTCTTTTGCTATTCTGTAAACATAATTCCTAACTGGACAGATTTATAACTACAGAATAGGTGTAAATCACTGATTTTACAAAAATCTGCCCATTAAAAAAGAGAAAGAAAAACTGAGAGCTGAGAATAAAGTCTTTTAAAATGCTACTGCGCAAAGTATGTTGAGCTCAGATTATTTAAATGTGATTTTTTTATTTATTGCAAAGTTAGTGGTATACCTAACTACTCTGAATGATTTCTTAAAAGTAATATTTCCTGTGTTGTTTCTACTAACAGGAGAAATGGAAAAAGACTTATTTTTTCAGAAATTTGAAAGACCATTGTTTTTTTCTTTTTTTTTTTTTTTTAGATGAATGCATTTATTTTGGCTTTATATTTGTTTATTTCAAGATATTAAAAGAAATCTCTGTTAATCAGAATTATCACATTTGTTGAAAAAAAACATTTTAAAAGAAAACTAACCTTTTTTTTCCCCTTTGTTAACATCATAGACCATGAAAGAATAGCACTGGGGAACGAAGAAGGGTTATTTGTTGTGCATGTCACCAAGGACGGTAAGAGATTCAGAACTGGTAATAATTTCCCTTATATTAAATAACCAGAAAGTGACTTTGTAAGCCTTGTTCTCTTAAGATATCCTCTAGTTTCATTTTTCTCAATTTACTGTATTACAAGTTGGAGAGCCCCATGTGAGAGCAGATAATCAAGAAGCTGTTCTCTGTGCTTTCAGTTTTGGGTATCAGTTCCAGTAGCAAAGATCCATCATCTGGAATGCAGCTGAAGGTTTTATTTCCTTGTTTGAAGCAGACTCAAAATTGAATTCAGGCCAGGTCGGGTCTTTGTCCAGTCAGGTCTTGAAAAATACCTAAGGTCAGAGATTTCACAACCTCTCTGGGCAGCTTGTTGCAATGTGTATTTCACAATGAAACATCTCATATCTAGCTGGAACATCCCCAGTTCCAATCTGTGACTTTTTACCTCTTCTTCTGCTGTGCATCTCAGTAAGGTGCTTGGGTTGGACTTCTGTGTAACCTCCTCCTTGGTATTGGAAATGAAGCCTTATGTTCAGTTATGTAGAGACATAACAGCAGATGCCACAGCTAATTCAACAAGCAACGTGTTTAATTGTACAGCTTAGTTCTTTGAGGGTTTTCCTTTATTCAGTTGTTCAGTGGCTATAAATTGTTTCTTAAATTAATTCTAAAATGATATTGCAGTTGTTATTACATAGGATCTGTTCCTCCCTTTTTCTGATGAGAAGTCAAAGGATTATCCAGCACTGGCATATCTGGTATAATTAAAATATAAATTACAATTCAGTATTTTTAAATATATATTAAGGGAGCAATAAAGGGGATTTCTTGTATTTGCCTCATAGTTTTTCCACTACAAATACATACTTTTAAATCAAGTCATGCTTCACTGTTATCATTTTTGTTGTGTTTTTTTTTTTTTTAGAGATTATCCGTGTTGGTGATAATAAGAAGGTTCATCAGATTGAGCTTATCCCAAGTGAACAGCTCATTGCAGTAATCTCAGGACGAAACCGTCATGTGCGGCTTTTCCCCATGGCAGCGCTGGATGGAAGAGAGACTGAGTTTTATAAATTGGCAGAAACAAAAGGCTGCCAGTCAATAGTTTCTGGACACGTACGCCATGGAGCCTTTACATGCTTGTGTGTAGCTATGAAAAGGCAGGTCCTCTGTTATGAACTAAATCAGAGTAAGACACGCCACAAAAAGATCAAGGAGATCCAAGTTCAGGGGAATGTCCAGTGGATGTCAGTCTTCAGTGACCGTCTTTGTGTAGGCTACCAGTCAGGTTTCTTAAAATATCCCCTTCATGGAGAAGGCAGCCCATACAGTCTGCTCCATCCAGATGACCACACACTATCATTTATCTCACAGCAGCCAACTGATGCCATCTGTGCAGTCGAAATCTCAAATAAAGAATACCTGCTGTGTTTTAGCAGCGTAGGGGTTTATGTTGATTGCCAGGGCCGAAGGTCTAGACAACAAGAATTGATGTGGCCTGCGACTCCATCATCTTGCTGTAAGTTGCTCTGTGTGTCAGTCTATTTGTTATTATACATAGAAGTGATCACTGCTTGTATTAATGTCACCAGGATGTGAAATTCAAGGAAAATTACGCAACAGGTAAATGAACACTCAGCTTCTGTGTCAGCGGTTTTAAATCTAGTCAAGAGGATTTAATCCTGATTTAATTTATACTAGTTTTGACAGCTCTGTAACAGACTTGTGCTGCTGTAGCTAGCGCAAAGAGAAACCAAGGGCCAGGATTTCTAGGTCAGTCACCCGATGTCCTATTTCTAAACACCCAGCCTGATCTCTAAAACAGCCTTAGGCCCTAGAGAGGCTAGTGGGATCTCTTTGCATTTGCTACAGCTGAAACTAGACTGTTGCTGTCTAAAGCCTAAAAATTTGATTATACTTTGGCTCAGCATTGTGATTTGAATTGCTCAAAGGTAACAAGATCTGGTAGTTAGACTTGTCTTTCTCTTAATGGTACTTATTCTTGCTTACTGTTTTTTTTTTCTCCGTATTCTTTTGTTGCTCCGTCATTCTCAACTCTTTTCTCATTCATCTTCTCTTTTTCTTTTTAATTTTATTTTATTCTTTTTTTCCCATATTTTCCAAACTACAGCATAATAGTAGAAAATGTATTTCAACAGTGTAGAAAATGTATTTCCTAACCTCATTGGGGAAAAAAACAGAAAATTTTCAAGATTTCCTTTTCTAGTAAGAACTGTGTCAATCATTTATTGCATGTTTTTTCAAAGCTGGGACTTCATAATTGTGACAGAGGAAAAAGAAAGCTGCAGTGCTTGTCTTCCTCTTTTTAATATCTTTCTGAATGCAGATAAAGATTATCCAAATTTGTCCTCAGATTATATGAGCACAGTCGTATGCTGATTTTTAAGATAGTCTGCCTTTTTACCTCACTGTGATGGCACTAGTCACATTGCAGAGGAGAGTAATGTTTCCTCTGGTCTGAATGAAGCCCCATCTCAATGCGGAAGAATAAGTTTTTACAGCCTGTATGTCACTTCTGTTTTTCAAGCAGGAGCATGATTATTACGATGTTAGAACTCGCAAAATGACTGAGTCAGAATACAAGATGAAGTAAATGAATAAAAAACAGTTATTTTTCACATTTTATACTGGCCATTGACATTTGTGCAAGTTTTTTCATTGCCTTAAATGAAGTGACTTGATGGCATTCCAATTCAGAACAGAGGTATAGTTTATAGCAAATAGTGTTACATATAAACACAAGTTTGATGCTCTTGTTAGTCTTGGCAGACTATGGCAGCTTTCTTGCCAACGTGGAAGTACTGAATTCTCCTTTAGATGTCCCAGTGGAACAAACTTAATGCTTGGAAAATGTGCCAGATGAGTAGCACAGAATTCCCTTTACAATGTGGAAAAGTAGAAAAGAGAATTAAAACTAACAGGAAATATGAAGACTCTCCTGGCTGTATCATGGTGCTTAATTTTAACTGATGTTCATTTAGTACATGGTCCAAACACTAAGTACATTCATTCGAAGGATGGGTATTAAATAACAAGAATACCTACCACATCATGTACCAAATACAAACTCTTAAAAATTGGGTTTTTAGAGGAGAAAAATATTTAACAACATCAGTGCTTGGCAGAGTAAGGTGTAATTCCTTGTAGTCTATGAAGTAGTTTGGTTCTGCAAAGTTAAAAGAAAAATCTTGCAAAGGTTTTAGAATTTTTTTTGGTGGTGGCTTGCCTTTGCAATAAATTTAATGGCCATTTTTTTAGTTAAAGTTTATTTTGCAAACTAAGGTTGTTTTTAGATCGTGTTTTTTTTTATTGTTGGTGGTGCTGGTGGTGGTATAGTTTTGCTTTTTCTTATAAATACTGTTAAACCATAAGAAATTGTATATTGTGAACCCTTTGTAAAAGCACGTGACTATATACTGAATCATTCCATCTCAGGTTACAATGCACCATACCTCTCTGTGTATAGTGAAAATGCAATTGATATCTTTGACGTGAATTCCATGGAGTGGATTCAGACTATTCCTCTCAAAAAGGTAACTTGCTCTTCCGATACCAGTTAAAGACTATGACTAGACTTCAGTATTGCTTTGCTACATTCATACTTTTTTTCTTTTTAAGGACATTAGAGTTCATCATTTAAACTGCTTGTTTAAACATAATTGAACTAAAAGAAAACAAACAAACAAACAAAAACCATTGTAAGTAGAATTTTGTTAGGTTTGGTTCACTTACCAAAAGGAAGAAGTGTTTGAAAATTGACACTACCTTGGTATTCAGGAGGTGTTTGCTCAGCTGGAACAGGCTTCCTAGCAAGGTGTTTGACGACCCATGCCTGTCTGTGTTCAAGAGGCAGTTGGATAATGCCTTTAATAATATGCTTTAACTTTTTGTTAGCCCTGAAGTGGGCAGGCAGCTGGAGTTGATGATCTTTGTAGGTCCCTTCCAACTGAAGTATTCTAATTCCAACTCTAAAGCTGTATTGGGAAAGGGAAGGGGAAAGGAAAGGGAAACAGGTTATCCTGCATGCAAAACAAAAGCAAAGTAACAGCTTATCCTGGATGTCATCTCTAAGCATGTGGAAGAAAAGAAGGTGATCAGGAGTAGTCAGCATGGCTTCACCAAGGGGAAATCATGCTTAACCAATCTGATAGCCTTCTACGATGGAATGACTGGCTGGGTAAAGGAGGGGAGAGCAGTGGATGTTGTCTACCCTGACGTCAAGAAAGCTTTTAACACTGAAGGGGGAAAAGGATTTGTTTCCAACAATTTATAGACTATTTGGAGAAAGATTTTTTTTTTCCTTCACGTTACATCACAAATATCATTAGGTTTTAGCAACCAGTATATACCCTTACGTCACAAAGTGTAATTGTGGCATGTTGCTAACACAAAATAAAATCATAGTGCTTTGTGCATCTGATAGACCAAAACTGTATTATTACATGAAGTATCTTATGGAACAATTTATTTAAATGCTGGTAGGAATGTTGTTATGCCTATGGCTTTAAGTGGAATTTTAGGCAACTCCTTGTGTACCGGATCTCCAAACAGAAATCAAAGATCTAAGGTTGTCCTTTCCTCCGTTTTGTGGCTATACCAACCCTCACTTGTCACTTCTGAGAGCAGGCATGTGTCATTGGATACATGATTCCTCCGGATTGTAGTTATTCTGTGGAGTAGGCTTTGCTCTGGCCAGTTACACTGCTCTGCTCCCTGGCTGGCTTTATAACAGTGCTCCTTTCATAAAGGTTAGAATGCTCCTTGGAACTTTCAGAATAAGATGCACTATTTAAATATGAGTTATTGTTAAAAGATTGGTTTTCCTTGTTTCAGGTACGACCCTTGAATACAGAAGGATCGCTCAACCTTTTAGGATTGGAAACAATTAGGTTAATATATTTCAAAAACAAAATGGCAGGTAAGTAAAAAGGAGCCACTTTTCATCATGCAAATTATTGTGTAGAAAAAGCATTTTTATCTTGGCCTGAATCTGTGCATTGTAAAAAGTTACATACATACATACATACATACATCTCTCAAATGTAAGTATACTTGTTAGTTTGGGAGAAAGCCGTGTTTATCACACAGTGATTGTAATGATACAGATATCTGGTAGGCAGGTAGCCTGATTTTTTTTTCTTTTTGAATATTCAATAAAAAATATAAAAAAGACTTAGAAAATAGAATGACTAGTTGCTCCCCCACATCTGAGATAGCCTGCCAAAACACCATCTAAAAACACCTGCACAATTTAGGGCTTTAATAATGATCTTGGCAGTGCTGAATTGAAATTAATCTTATACTTGACCTAAAGAAACCATTTCCAAAGGTCAGAAAACAAATGTTTTATACTGTGACTTTTTTTTTTTAAGTATGTTCTCCTTGAAAATGGAAAATAAAGGTTTTGTTTGAAAGAATTAATCAACGTTTATTTTGAGAAATACAGTTGTGGCAGAAGGGTGAAGAGAAGGGTTAGGTGTGCTTTTGTTTAACAGAGTAGACAATGACCAAAAAGACCCCTAAATGAAGGAGCGTTTTTTCAAACTTGATGGAAAATGAGTGGTGAGCTACACTAGCAAAAGTAGAAAGAGGAAATGTCTTTGAATCCAAATTCCGTGAATGCCTAATGAAGCTTCTGGATTGTTTTCGTATTGATTCCAGAGGGCGATGAGCTGGTAGTTCCTGAGACATCAGATAACAGCCGGAAGCAAATGGTTCGAAATATCAACAACAAGCGCCGCTATTCATTCAGAGTACCAGAGGAGGAGAGGATGCAGCAAAGAAGGTCAGTATGCAACCTGTACTTGTCTTCCACACGTGCCTTGGGTCCTGAAGGACAGTGGATGATGCCAATGTAGCGCTACTTCACTTGCTGCTTTCTGAAATGCCCATTCAGATGGTTCTGTGTCTTCACTAGTGTGTTAATCCTCTGTATAATTTCTGTTAATACCAGTTTGGAAATGGATATATGCTGGATACACGAGTAATTTCATTAATACATACTGTCTGAAACACCTCTAATTTGGAATACAAGTTTCCACATGCTGTATATAGGGACAGAGGTGTGCACATACATTGTATATGTAAAGATCTGTAATAAACACTTTGCAAAAGGAGATTGCATTGATAATTATGCATATATATTAATTATTTTCAGACTCCTGTTCTGCTTTTCCTTCTAGAAAGGCAGTTCTACTCTCAGCAGTATTCCAAAGCACATGCTTTCCAGATTTATTTAACTACATTAACATTCTGTAAATTTCAGTAAACTCATCTTCAGGGGACGTAGGACTGCATGACGTATTTCTAAATAGAAGTCTTTAACAGGTCACAAATACTTTCCTAAATGGCAGTAGAAATAGGTTTGCACTATTCATTCACAGAGCACAAAGCACGTTACTGTGTTTACTATCACCCACTAAGGATGGCTTACTACTGTGCTAAACTACTCTCCAAATATTTCAGGTTTCTTACTTTCAACTTTTGTGAATGGCTGGCTCTCAGCTTTCTTTTCTTTTTGGCTCTGAGAAAAGTAATGTGTGTGTGATGTGGAGATAAAATTCCAGTTCTTGTTCTTGACTTTTTTGAGCTGATTGTGGTTTGGTCTTTTAAAATTATATTTATCGTGAGCTCTGAAATGCATACTTTTGGAGAACTTGTAATGCCATTCTGACTGCAGACTGAGAAAGGTACCACAGTATTACTTTAATTCTTTTCTCTTATTTTCTACTTCATTTTCGTCTGTGCTTTGTAATACAGCATCACGAGTGAGTTCTGCTTTTGCTCATCTTACAGAGTTTTTTATCAGCTCATAGTGGTTGTATATTTTCTGACGTTTAGTAACTATTGGGTGTGGGCTGTTAGCCTGCAAAATGTCATTCATTTGTTCTGGCCCTTAGCTCTCTCTTCAAGCTGGAAGTTTCCCAGCTTGCTTGTCCATGCCAGTGCTGATAGCAAGAGTTTATTATTGCTAACGTGGTTAAATAGTTAATTTCCCCTTTAAAATAGCTGACAATCCAAGCTATAATTATTTTTTTAAATGGCTATCTTCACCTTGAACAAAGTATCTAACCAGTATTTTTTCTTCCAGGGAGATGCTACGTGACCCAGAAATGAGAAATAAATTAATTTCTAATCCAACTAATTTTAACCACATAGCACATATGGGTCCAGGTGATGGTATACAAATTCTCAAAGACCTTCCAATGGTAAGTGCAAAAGTACATGTGAGAATGACTGACTGCAACAGAGGCTGCAAATAAGAGAAAGATAGACAACTACAATTTTAAATATGTGTTCAGAGTGTTTGATTAATTTCATATCGGGAACAGTGTAACTAGGGAATGGATGCTGCTTGTGATAAAATTTACATGAAGAGGATGACACTTAAGCGTTGATGGCTGGGGAAGGATTAACTAATGCCTCTTGGGTTTTAAGGCAGGTTGGCTTCTCAGTGTTGGTTTTAGCTTTTATAGCATTTATAAAGGTAAAAAGAGGATTTGAGCCTGGATACTTTGTGGAAATGGAAAGAGAAATTCTTTTCTCCATGAACTACGTTACTGTAAGTTCAATTCCTTTCTTTTCTTCCCATCCTTAACTGCAACTTAGCCTCTCTCTCTCTACAGCCTCTTCTCCTCAGATAGTGAAACCGTGGCAGTTTAAAAGCATGTAGTGTCCAAATTTCTTTCCATGAGTAAGATGCAATTTTTCATTTTCTCTCCAAATTAAATACATTCAGTGAAACAGAATTTCTTAAATGAAAACTGCCCTTTAAGTAAAAATGAAGAAAACAAAACTTGTCATAGCACACACATTTGTCTCCACAAAGCCTTTTTGAGGAAATACTCAGAAGGAAGTTAGTGAAGTTTTTGCTGAGCTACAAATTAGTATTTAGTTCAAAGGAGATAATCATACTGCTTACTTCAGGCTATGTTGAGCATCTATCTTATTTATGTGTTCTGTATTGCTTTCTAAACAATGGCTTTTCATCCACAATAGATGTGATTCAGGATATGATAATTACCTCTGTAAGAAAGGTTTTATGATATTATTAAACAGACGATACAAGTACTTCCATAAGACATAGGCGTATATAATTAGTACAGGAGCGCTGTCTAAAATCATCATCAATATTACTTGGAGTTTATGCAGAAAGTAGGAGGACTGCTCAGTATCTGAAAAACTAAAAGGAAACCACAATAAGACTGGAAAAGAAAATGTGCCGTGTAGTTGCACTGGCTTTGGAGCTTAAGAGCTTAACTTCTGGTCTCCAGATACTCATTTCTGCAAAAAATGGTACTTCTATGTTGTATTTTACATACCAATCTTTACATCTTTGAAGTCTGCATCTTGAACAGGAGCCCTTTGACACTGTCTTTTACTTGTATGAGGATAGGCAAGGAAAGGAGGTTTCCTTTAATCTCATACTAGAGACACTTAGAAAAGGCTCTCTGTAACAAGTCGGTGCAGCTGAGCAACAGACAGTAGTGTGTGTGTATTTATAACAAACTAAACATGAAAAGAAGCAGGCTGGTTCTAAAAAATGCAAGACAAATCCAAGGGAAGTTGGCCGAAGGCCAACTCACATCCCACCTGGATGTTTATGTTTATATATATAGATGTTTGTGTGTGTGTGTGCCTGCTGTTTAATGATAATTTGCTTCAGGGCAGGATGCAGATCAGAACTTCTTTTCAACTCTTCCCTTACTACTGTGTTCTTTCAAATATTTCTGGTTCTAGTCAAGCAGAGAAAATAATTACTAATGATAAAGGTAGGGCAAAAGATATCTTATTTCATGAGTGTTGAAAGTTCTTGAGAATGAAAGGCTGAGAGGATTCTTAATCAAGCCCCAAATCTGGAAAGTGTAAAATGAGGAGATACTTCACCTATAGATGGGGATTTTTGAGACTCTTACCTGGATTAATATTTCTTGAGCTATATCAGCCTTATATTAGCTAAAAGGTCACATTTGGAAGTAGGATTGGTAATTTGTTTCTTACCAATCAGTACAATGTTTTGAAAGAAATTTAAGAATCACTTTCTCTGCTTAATATTGATGTGAAGACATTAGAAAACGTTTACACTGTAAAACTGATATCTGCACTTGTTCCACTGCTGCATCTTTTTTTTTAAAAAAAAAAAAAAGTTCCTATTAAAACCTCTTTTTTTGCAAGTAGTCTTAATGCTGGGAGAAGTCATTGCAGATAAAGCAAATTTGTTATTTATTTTTATATTTTCAGTAACAAGGTAAAGAATACTCTTCCAGTCCTTTGTATGGCTTAGCTTACTATGCTTCAGAAGAAAATATATTTAATTTTAAAGAAATACGGGAAAGATTGCTGCCTTTTACTTTGCAAATGCTCATTTCTGTTTACCAAAAGGGCTAATAAAATACATTTTTGCATGTAGAGTGCTACCACTAGGGGGAACACGTCGTATACAGCTAATAGTTTTCTCAAATTGTCTTCATCCAACTACGTTATGAGATGTTGCTTATGAAATATTGGAATACAGAAAGTGAATGAAAATAATGGACTGAGCCTTTTTACTTGCTGTTTCTTCTGACTTCCTTGGGCAATTTCAAATGTGGACGGATCTAGTGATAAGAAGTTGTTCTTCCAGCATGGGTTTTCGCTGAAGTCAGTATGGTGTTATGTAAGCAGAAGGGTCCTTATTGATAGGGTTTAGTAGAGAACAGATATTTTAATCTCTGCATTGGATGAGATTGTCACATTTTAATAGCCAGCTTGGCCTAGATTTATCTTACATCCATGGATGAACTTTATAAAACTAACGACAATTTTTATTTACATGTATGTGTTTATATATGTGTATTTATTATATACACTATATATACATCTATATGTATGTATACATTAAGTGAATCCAATCAAAACCCATTTCTGCAGTCCCGTTAACCTCCCTCTGCTGCCCTTTTCAGGTGAAGTGCCTCTAATTGAGCAAAGCACAGAATTAGAAGTAGGAGCAGTGTCCATTGCGTGGCCAGGTTGCAATATGCTGGGAGGACAGGTGGGGACACACACGTGGGCTGCCCTCACCCACAGCGTAACTGCCTACTGGATGCAGTGCCCAAGGGAGCTTCCTTGCTCCCAGCCTGCTGCTTTCCTTAATGATGTCTTTTGGAAGACCAACTTCAGAGCGTTTAATTTGTATTGTAAAAGTCCAAAATGAAAATCAGATAAATGGAGAGTTCAAAATTATTCCTGGCTATTTGATATGTTGTGTACAAAACAGATGCCTACATATGCACAGCATGGTTGTCTGCATGTGAGAATGTGCATGTATGTGCTGACACGGCCACACAAGGGAAAAAGACACTTTATGTGCATTCTTTCCAAAGTCTTGGTATGCAACAGGCACATGGTATGAGCAGTGAGATAAATGTATGACAAATGGCAGTCTTTTTGCCTAGTCCCGTGTTCTCACCATAATGGGTGCCCTTGACTTCAGTATAGCCCTGTGTTTGCGCAGAAGTGAATATGCCCAAGACTGAGTGAGGTCAGATTTAAAAGAGAATATGTTAGATGTAATCAGACAACTATGAGCTTGCATCCTTCTTTCCTTCATCGCCGTCAGGTACTTAAGGGTCTGGCTTTGACAAACAAGTTTGTGGGCTCAGCCGTAACAGAAACCAGAACTTCTTATGTGCTGTTAGCAGAGTTGTAATCAGTACGTGTTTGTATTTTATTGATGTGGATACTAGATTGGGGTCACTGTACTGCTCTGTACGATTTAGAATTGTTCCTGTTAGTATATCCCCAAACTCATTTATGTACGTGTTTTTCTTCCCTAGCAGCCTGTCACCAATTAACTGGCCGTACAGTCTGGCCTCCCTTCTGCCCTCTTGTCCCTTGAAGCCACTTTATCGTGGATGCTCCTTAGTAGTGAAGATCTGAAATCTGGAACTGCACTTACTGCAGCACAGACTACCGCTCTGTGTCCATCAGATTTACAGGATTGATTTTGCTTTCATATTCTGCATGCCGGAGTATTTTACATACAAAAGCTAGTCTTGACTGCCATGGTATTTGATCATTAATACTTCAGTTTGACCTCATTACACATGAGCCATTATACTTCCATTACAGATTATGTGTGAAGCTTTGCTTGTTTGAAGTGAGAACCTATCAGAGGAAATGAATACTTAAACATATTTGATATTCTTTAAAGACAGCGGTAACCACATGCATGTATCTAATGGCAGAGTCCATGGAGAGAGTTCCATGAAGGATTGCTTTTAAAATGTTGCCATATCGTGGCTTTTTCACGCTCATGAATGGCTAAATATTTTTATTGCCTGCAGTTGGCCTGCCCTTGGCTTTTTAGCTTTTTAGACACTCCCTTTTCTCCCTCATTGGCTTTTAAGAATGTAGCTGGTTTGCTGCCAGTTCTAGTGGTAGCAGGTATCTCAGTGAAGTCTACGTTCGCGGACCATTACTGGAATGGTGGCTTCTTGTACTCATATTCAGATGCTGCTAAACTTACTAGAAACAATTTAATATATATTATATATTACATGCCATAATGTGTTCATTGATGTTTCAGTTAACATGCAAAGCCTCATAATACCTATGCATTCAAAAAGTAATAATAATTTGGATTTTAGCAGCTGAGAGAAATGAAGAGAACAGTTCCAACAATGTTTGATGATATATATTGGGATGTGATTTAATGTTCATCCAAACTTTACTATATTCCACATACAAAAAGTAGTGCCTTAGGTTTAGTAGAGGGGTAAGCTGAATTTTTACCATATTTTATTTCAGTAAGTCCTAACATTTCTAATGTTATCCGGACCTGTTTCTTTTAAGGTGATGAAATCAGTTGGATAAGGGGAAGAGAAAAATTAGGAATGGTGTTCCGATTTGCTGGTGGCCTTTGGTTAAACCATCCATTCAGCAGGCTGAGCTGCTGAAAACGTACAGATGGCACAGGGAGTGAGATCAAGCCTTAAAATGCTTTTCTGTTAAATCTGGACTTAGATGAGTTTGAATAACGAGCGCTTGTGTCAGCATGTTCTGAAGAGATCAATTGGAATTTTTTCCTGCTTAATTTGCAGGATTACTTTTCTCTCCTTTTTCTTTATGTCACACTTTGGGGGCACGTTGCTCAGTTGACCTGTTAAAAACATTTGAATTTCCCAATATTTCTGCTCCTTATCTGATAAGGGCCCACTCTTCTGGAGCGCAGAGACATCAGTGCAAAGTCTGATCCCCACGAAGGCGCTGTCAGGCTTAGTGAGCAGACAGGAGGAAACAGGCCTTGTGCTCTCTGTACGACAGGGTAAATTGTCCCGGTTGTCTGACACTAACCAGCTCACCTTCCCACCCCGTCTGTGTCCCTATCCCGTTGAAACACTGTTCACACCTGTTAGAAATACTCTGTGTTTGTTGTATGGGTGATACTTAATTTTAATGGAATCGCTAAAATGCATGACTAATCGAAGGAAATCTCTTACGATCTCTAACTGTTGTGTATTCTCATCTTTTTTTCTTCCCACACCATCTCACCTGTGTTCACCTTCCTTTGTGTTATGTCTATTTTAGATTGTAAGCTCCTCAAGGCAGGGAACTGATGCTTCTTCACTGTCTGTAAAGCACCTTTTATAACTGTGGTGCTCTTTGAAATATCAAATTCTAATAAATATTAGAATTTATTGCCAATGAGTTAAAAGTTTTTTTTTTTAATGTTTTAGCAACAGCAAGGGCAACAGGCCCGTGTGACTCCATCTAGGGAAGGTACTCAGAGGACGGGGGGTAACTGTAAGAACCTGTGCATTGACAAGCGAGCAGGGCTGCTGTTTGGCTGTCCTTTGGTGTTTGACTGCTTTTGCAAACTGCTGTTGCTGGTGTAACCTGCGCAACCATCCTTCATCGCTTTCTCTTCCTGTTGTCTTTGATAGCAGCACTCCCCTTGTCAGTTCCCTCATCATCAGTCCCGTACGATGTCCTCTCTGAGCAGCTTTGAGCACCTCTGCCACGTGACTGTTAATTCAGCTGAAAAATTCCTCTCCTACGATTCCATAAGCACTGCGTTTCCCCCACCTCCTCACTCTGTCCTGGGTACTCCAAACTTATGACTCTGTGGGTATGGGCAGCTGAGTTCGCTGTACTAACACTCTGTGATTTTCCTTTCACCTGGCTATTAACATGGGAGAAAAACCCTTGTAAATACAGTGGTTTCCTTCAGCCCCTAACTTTCTGCTGTCCCAGCTGATTTGTTTTCTGCTGTCAACTTTGGGCTTCCCCCAGCTCTGACATGCCAAGAAACAGACACTTCATAGCTTTAAAAAGAAAAGAGGTGTATAACAACTGGGCTGAACCTTTTGCTGTGAGAATTGCTTTTTAATCACCCGGAGGATCTGGGAATTTATTATCTTTTTTTTGTTGTTTTATGGTGTACATCCTCCAGCAGTCAGTGGCAGGGATGAGATGCTGTGTATCAGGTTGCATTAGGAAAAGGTTCTGGGTCTGTCTCTGTTGCACCAAGCTTCCAAATGGTTTGTTTGTGATGAAATCATGTGGAGTGCAAGAATTTACACAGTTGGAGAGACATGGATTGTGCCTAGACACAATCTCGGTTCAATTACATGAATGAAGTTGAAACGTGTACAAGCAGGAAGATCAAAAATTAAAGATAACACCATCTTGTTTACACAGCTCCTCTTAATCCTAGTGGTTTTGATCAGTGACCAAGGTAAAATAATGTGCTGTAGATCTCCTTCCAGCTGGAATGTAAAATCTGGGGGACGGAATTGATACTTTCTTTTTTTCATACATTGTGCATCCTGGTCTGAATACGTGAGGTTGGTATGTCCTGTGGTGCTTCAAGCCATACTAAAACAATTACACAAGTACTTGCTAGCCTATTGTATAATTACATGCTGTGCTGTGGCCTCTAGTTCTGCTTAGGACAGATCTGCAGGTAAATCAGAAATGGCCTGTGAGGTAGATTGGTGGTGGGTGGTTGCTCAGGGCTTGTGTGTGTCTGAGTTGGGCCCCCCCATAATGGGAACACCACTGATGGGTTCTGCGACCTCCAGACTCTCTTCAGACACGTGCAGTAAACCTTCGCTGCCAGGCTGCCTCGCTCGACCCCTACTGCTGGGAAGGGTTTCAGATACACACCTACAAACCACGCTGGAGAGAATTTAAAAATGCAGATGAAATAATAATGTATTTTCCATAAAGTTTCCATAAGGTTTTCCAGCATGTATTTAGTTCATTTTTAGATCAATGAACAATAAATTTGCTCTGTGGAGAAACTTTCTACAAGGAATTACATGGACGTTGCAAACTGAGGTCATGAAAAATAATCGTCACTAGCAACACTAACAAAATAAATTAGTCTTTTTAACATACTCATTCCTCCCTTCCCCTGCTGCCTGTAGGTCTATTCAGTCCCTGTTGAGGAGGTAGATTGCCTTGTCATTAAATGTAACTGCTCTCCTTGCAAAATGAAATGTTGTAGGTTTATACAAGTATGAAGCACCTTCCATGCAACTTCAGTGTGCTAATTGCAGTGCACACGTTTCCTGGTGCTGCTCTTGGCTTTCTTTTTTATTTCTCAAAACACGATGATAACCTCTTCCCCTGACTATTTGTAGCATTGGAGGAGCCCCTCTCTGTTCTTTATGCACAGCCAGGTTGCTCATGCTCTACGCTGTAACTCAGGTTATTCATTGCATGGTGAAGGACAGGTACAGAAATTTAGTGTTTGGTGCTACAAAGTAGGTTGTTCGTTCTCATTTGGAGGAAAAAAAAAAAAAAAAGGTAAGCAAGAGGCAGCTGTGTGATCCTGCAGGTGATTTAAAATAAATCCTTATAAGCCTCTGGGTATAAATCCTCACTGACAACACTGCAGAAGTGGTTACGGGGAGAATTAAACAGGGCTTCTCCCTTGGTAAGGTCTCTTTTTGGTGTTTGAGAGAGATTTTAAATTCTTCTTTGTTTTTTGAGTGTTAAAAATGAGTCGTTTCTAGTCCACTGAGATGAAAAGCAAAGATTTGAGTGTAGTAGCAAAGAGGTCTGTAATAGCAGTGACTCTTAAAGTCTCTGCAAAGTTGGACTGACAGCAGATTGGCAACAATTGTCTGATAAAGTCTGCACTATATAATCCCTATTCGTTGCAAAGCCTTTATCTAAATATCCACTTTAAAATATATCCGGAGAAATAGTTGGTAGCTGAAAGTCGCTGAGAATACCCGAGGGGTGGTGGGTGGGGGAATCTTTGTTCTGGTCTGAAATTTGCATGACTTTGCTGCAAACAGCTGTAAATAGGCATTGCAATAGAAAATGTTGTTTTATTGTGTTTTATTTACCTTATCTGAGAGAGTGGATGGGAAAATAACTCAATATGGCTAGGAAGAAATTAACAGTTACTGCTGGAAGTGTTTTGTGACGTGGAAATAAACTGATGCTCAGAGCTACCTGCAGTTCTTTCCACATGCTGCATCTGTAAAGGTTCCCTAAACTTAACTCTAGTTAATGCTCATGACTTAATAGTGGAAATCATGTTAGTCTGGTGTTTAGGCAGAGATAAAATGATAAGAAAGGATATCAGAAATCCTGGGTTAAAAAGCCAGCTCATCTTTAGGCTAACTAAGCTGAGAATCCTTTTTCCCCACAGTTAGCTATAAGTTAACAGAAGCAGAAATAACATCTCCAATTAGTTACTTGAAAGTATTGTTTTCCCTTCACGTAATGACAAAACCTATTTTTAAGGAACTGCTGTATCCAAGCAGAGGCATTGTGTTTTATCTCTCCCCTCAGTAAAGGACCACTTCAGTCCAGTAATAATTTAGAAAATCTCGCTGGAACTCAGGTAGTGACAATGGAAATACATAGAAAAACTGATGGTGGGTGCCCTGGTCATCCTGTTTGAGCAGGCTGGAAACACGAGGTGGATTGTTACTTTGGTTCAATTGATGGAGGTCTGGAGAAACACTGTTAGTCCCTGCAGAATCACCCGAGTAATGGAAGACTGATCCAGCAGGTGGTGTTACAACTCTGCAGGCATTAGGGATTAACGTGGTTACCATAGGAAGTTGTGTAGAACTGCAGAGTTGGTTTGCAAACTTTGCTGACATGCTGCTCAGACAATTCATACCTGGTAAGGTTGGGTTGTTAATGGGTATTGGGGCCTTCCTTCCTAACATCCAAGGTTGAGCTAGCAGTCGATAAAAAACTTGTTGTTGTGTGTCTGCATTGCAGAATCTTCGGCCTCAGGAAAGTCGGACTGTGTTCAGTGGCTCCGTCAGCATCCCATCGATCACCAAGTCCCGCACAGAACCAGGACGATCAATGAGCGCAAGCAGCGGGTTAGCAGCAAGTAAGCAAACAGACCTGTTGGGTTGGGGCTATGCACAAGTGTTTTAGGGAAGTTAGAATTAAAACAGCATTCTTACCCTCGGGACTACTTTGCTGCTGCTTAAGTGTTTTAAATCATTGCCAAGTTGTTCTCAAGTTCCATGGTTACTCTGTTTGTTGCTGACTTGCCTCTCTTGCTGCTGGTGCAGAGGAAGCAGTGGGAAACTGACTGCTGGTATGGAAGTGTTGTGCTGCACTGAATTGGAAACCCTTTTCCTAGTGCTGCCATGCTACCTCATGTGCCAGTCAGCACAGGTCACTGCCACCAGACAAGTGATGAAATAATAGAGCATGTGAAAACAGCCAGCTGCTTGCAGAAAGCACATATGTCTGCTGTAAGCTGTATGTGCTGGCGTGACCCTATGCACTCCCTGGGGAGATGCAACTGTAACGAGGCTGCCAGCACAGCAGTTTCTTCAACTGCTGTCTCTTTAGGGACACAGTGACTCTGTCCGTGCTGTGTAAAGCATGCTAACCCTGACACGCCAAGGGAAGAACCAGAGAATCCCTAGGAAAAACTGTGTCTGGCATCAGACGAGATAAAAGCCCACATCAGCTGCAAGCCATGAGCTGAGCATCTTGGGACGTGCTGAAGGAAAGCAGAAACAGCTAGAGGAACAGCTAACAAAATTTCTGGTACCTTGACCAGGCATCTGTAACACAGCTTAATTCCTCTGCGTGTTTTAGGATCATCTGCACAGAATGGCAGCGCGTTGCGGAGGGAATTCTCAGGAGGTAGCTATGGAGCAAAGCGACAGCCGATGGCATCGCCCTCAGACGGCTCCTTGTCCTCTGGTGGCCTGGACCAGGGCAGTGACGCACCGACAAGGGACTATGAGCGAGAGGTGAGTGACAGGATAAAGAGGAGAAAATCAAAGCATGTTGATAAGGATGAGGAAGTTAATTATGTCAGGGGTTTGGGTGGTGTAAGAATTTCTTCACAGAGAAGGCCGATCAAGCATCAGAATAGGCTTCCCAGTGAAGTGAGAGAGCCCCCACCCCTGGAGGTATATAAAGGGCATGTGGACGTGGCACATGGGTATGTGGTTTAGTGATGGGACTTGGGAGGTCAGGCTGACAGTTGGACTTGATAACCTTGAAGGTCTTTTCCAAGCCAGATGATTATACAATTGTGTTCTAACTCTGTTCCTAGTATATAATGTGTAGAAAATTCTCTTTGCACTCCTCACCTGTAGATACAGGGACAGTGAGGTTCCCAAAACTACTGGCCCAGTAGACTAACAGCTTGGTAGCAACATCTCACAGCTTGAAGTGGTGATACTACTTCTGCCCTTTATTTGCAGACTCATAAGCTATATTAGCAAATATTTAACAGCAGGCATTTTGTCATAGTCATCAGAATGCCTGAAGTTAATGAGGTAATTTAAGAATTACCATATAATAATTTCCTTTAGAGCAGAAACTGGATTTGATCATTTACATTTTGTGCAAAATGAGACTGTAATTATGACTGGATGACAATCCTGCCCAGTGCTAAACTCAGTCCCTCCAGCCAGGAATGTTTTATGTAGGAGGGTTCAATCTGCAGCTGGCCAGCCAAACTTCACCAGCCTATTTTCAAACCAAGGAATGAGAAAACCAGAGATCACACAGGCTTTTCGTGGTACAGAAGGGCAAGTGTCAACCCAAACTCAGGTCAGACATATTTGCATTCTGCTGTACTCAGGAAGATCTAATTAGAGTATCTTGACCAGAATCATTTCAATTAATATTCTGGGAGCGTCATAGAAGAAACTGTGATAAAGCGTGCACCATGAAGATTCCACCAGTTAGCGAAGAGCATCCCGGGTTCTAAGTTGCAAAAAGGCAGGAGCTGTTGTAGCTCACAAGCAACTTGGAGTTGCACGCTCAGGCTCATGAAGAGGCCCTCAGTAATGTGCAAGCTGCGAGAATCCCACAGGTGTTGTACCCTTGTACCAGCATCAGTTATGCCTACTGTAAGCAGCAGATTTGACAGCTTACTCTTAATTCCCACCCCCTTGCCAAGAAATTCTGAGCAAAGAAAATTCCTCCATATTTTTGGACACAAGCAAAATATGTGTAGGCCTTTGAATCCAGTCACCTGTTGCTCAGACACCCAGAGTCACTCAGGCTTCGTGTTGTTACTTACTGGTGTTCTTCCTGTCTCTTGGCTGCAGGACTCTGACTCTCCAAGACACTCTACTGCGTCGAACAGCTCCAACCTCAGCAGCCCTCCCAGTCCAGTTTCTCCTCACAAGACCAAGAGCCTCTCCCTGGAGAGCTCTGACCATGTGAGTTGGGACTCATGAACTGCTTCAGCTTTCAGATTCGACACCACAGCAGCTTGCTGTCCCCTTCACCTCTTCCAGTTCCCACCTTCATCATCTTAACCCTCCCCGTTGCCCATCTCAGTGATCTGGGAGTGGGCTAGAGAGGCTGGTCGTCTTCAGCACTGTTCAGCACTGCCTCACCCTCTCTTCCCCAGATTTGACAGCAGCAATTGAGCAAAGCTAGGGTGTTGGTAAATACCAGATGCTGTTAGATTTGTATTAGTCTTGGTTTCATTTTTGTGGTTACAGCTGCTTTAAAGACATATTTATCCCACCCCCCAATTCCCTCAAAAGTAGCTTAAATAGACCAGACCAGTGTCAACAGGAGAAAATTTAGAGGGATTTTTTTTTTTTTATGCAATAGCTTGTTGTACTGTACAAAAGTAGCACAGAGACCCCTTCCCCTGCATGGGGAACGATCAGTATGTCAGAGGCACATAAAAGCTTTCAGCCACCACATTTGAATGTCAATCTGATTGTTGCCAGCAAATCCTTATTGATTAAGATGATGCATATTTTACTACCGTACAGAGTTTAAATAAATACACAGATGTTAGAGTAAAATATGTATGTATATATTTAAAAAAAGAAAAAAAAAATCAAAAAAAAAATTGTGTATGCAGCAGAAGATGGATGCTTATTTAAGAGAGCCTTTAATTTAAGATTTGTGTTGTCCCTGTTTTCATGCTTGGTGATATACAGACTTGCAGGCCTGGCCTAAAACCTTTTGCAGGACAGACAGTCATTTACTCATGTTGCACACCATTTGCTGCACTGCCAGGAGTCCCCGCAGTACTTTCACATTTCTTTACTTCTGGCAGTGGTTTAGCTGAGGCTGTAATTCCCGCTTTCATGTTACTCCTCCTCCTTTGCAAAAATGACAATGATTGGAAAGCAACCCCTGCCCTGAGAACCAAGGGCCCCGGTCAGCCAGGCGGCTGCCCTGGGTTATTCTGTGCTAGCTGTGCAGCTGAGATACCTTACGGCATGCTATGGTAGAGGTCCTTACAGCAGCAAGGGAGCTCAGTGCCGCAGCATTCAGCAGGAAAACTGCTTCCCTGGGTCAGCCTTTGGCCAGGTTTAAGGAAGGGAGCAGCCTTCCACATCCCTTTCATCATCCCCGAACAGCAAACTGTTACCGTTGTTACCAAATACTAGTTTGTAATACACCAACCAAACGAGTGCTCTTATCCTGAAGCCAGCCGTCACTGGCTGTGCTGTCACTGTAGCAATGAAGAACCTTGAAGACTGACCTCATACTGTTCACACTGTGGTCATCGAAGATGCCTAGCCACCCACAACTGCCGTGCTGGCAAGGTTGGTTTTCCTCTCCCATGCTGTGGGTTTGTGCAATTTGCAGTTGTTTCTGTGTGCTCACCTGCTGTTTGGTTCCAGTAGCAGTTCAGGAGGCCAGAAAGTATTGCAGTGAATGACAGAGCCTGCTGCGGCTGCAGAAATAAGTAAAAAGCTGGAGCTGGTCATGCAGTCAACAGAATAACGTGAGAGGCCGATGTACAGATGTGTGGTAAGAGCAGATGTCTCATCTCTTCATTTAGCAAGGCAGATGTGTTTTTTATTTGGGAGTGTTCAAACAAGCCTCTTTTCTCAGTAGTATTGTTGCTGGTGTTTATACTATTACCATAGCCAAACATGTGAGGGTTTTCTGCATTTAGAATACTGTTTCTTGGTGGGTTTCAGAAACTTGCTATGGCTCTTAAACCATTACATATTCTTGCGGTCAGCAGTGATAGAGTGTTTCACCCACATAGAGATGTTTGGAGTTTTCCAGTTTGTGTCTTCTGTAATGGAAGTTATAGGTAAGTTCAAACCGTGTACAGTAATTTCCAGGTATGATCCCAATGTGAAACAGGGAATGAGACACAGATCGTTGCCTGTACCATTTTATCATGCTGGGTCTCCTAAGTAAGATTTCTCTTTCACTCTGAATCAAAAGGCTTGTCAAAGTTTGAGCTCATTAAATACTATTTTGGGACAGGAATTCAGTATTATTTTTGAAACCATCATATCAAAAACCTGTCTCTTTCCCCGATTTGGGTTTTTCAGAGTAGCAAGACAGTAGCGTGTGGTTTTTCTTTTTTTGTTTTGTTTTCACTTCAAAGCTACTATTTTTGCAAGCCTGGCATTTAATATTAAAAGCTTTAGCAAACAGTTAAGCACTTGAAATTAATTCCTTCCAGAAGAGGTTTTAATCGTTCTGAGGAACAGATAGGCAGGGCATTATTGGCATTACTGAACTCCACATCGGCTTCTTTTTAAAGGCTGCATATTGCTTCAAGTATAGCCACTCCTTTTTTCCCCCAATTTCGTCCTGTTGGTGAAGCATGGCCACACACTCTTCAAAGACTTTGCAGACTAGTTTTGTATTTACTGTATGTTGTATTTAAATATTAATGTTATTTTGCTATTCAGAGAAGGCATTTAAACGGCGGTCATTTAAGACAGAGCAGCCTGTGTGACAGGTCCCCAGGAGAGGGTCACAGCATCTTTTTTTAATGCATTTATTTTTTTTAGTTGAGCTGATGTTGGTACATGAAAATGGAACCCAAAGAGCCACTACACAGAACACAATGAGAATAACTAAACGTGCATGTTTACTATGTTACAGCACCTGAAAGGTATTGCTAGCCCAAACTGACATTTTCAGGCAGAGCAGAGGTCAGCTGTGTTAGAACACTAAGATCCACAGGACAAGAGCTCCACAGGCCTATGCTGTTTGCACACCACAATTTTTAAGCTTTGGCAGTCTCCTTTAGGATCACTATATTTAATCATTTGTTTGGTACTGTGTATTTTTATATGCATCTGTTAAAAAGAGAAACAGAAACTGTTCTCTCAGTTGAAATACAAATGACCACATCACTTACCTGAAAGGAGAAAGGGTGTCCTAGGACTTGAATAGTTTTTATATATTTAGGGGCCATTTGGTTATACACAATTTTAAACCACACTCATCTTTTTTTGTTGTTATGAACACTGAAAACAAACGCATACTGTAGCTGAGCTTTTTGAATACTTATTGGCTAGGAGAAGTAACTTGGTCATTTGAACTGTTAAAGACTTTTGCCTGGTATCTTAAAGACAGTTGTCTCTTAAGGCTTGATGTCTCTTAAGGCTACTTTGCACTGTAGCATTGTTTCAACTCCACAAGTAGAGGGCTGCAATTTGTCCAGGGAGCTTAAAAATCTCCACCCCCCCCCTTTTTTTTTTTAAACTGTAGCATATGTTCTGTGTACACAATATGTATCTAGCTGTTTATTTCTTTTTGGCTGAGACTGAAGGTAGCTTGCATTTATGACACTACTTAAACATATGGGTTGTTGGTTTTTTGTTGTTGTTGTTTTTTCCTCTTTTATTTTGGTGGCAACAGAAGATCTGAAGAGTCAGGCAGCTACTAAGGACTCCAGGTTACAGAATGAAAAAGGTTTGGTCAGTAGCTTTCCCCTGCACGTGCATGGCCAGAGGCGTGTGGCTTTCCACATTTCATGAACCCCAAAACAGGGTTATAGTGCTTTCTTCTATGTTGTACCTGACCTGCAGAAAACAGCCGATGGTGTCAAAAAACATTCCTGTTTCTGATGAAGTAGCTTCTTTTCCTCTTGGTTAGTTGCTGCAGCTTGTTATGATGTGCATTTTTGTCCATTTTAACAAGTTTCAAAACTAAGTCAAAAATTTTGTCTTTAACTCTTATAAAATTAACGGCCAAGCATGTTTTCCTCATATATGCAGCAGAGGGGAGTAAAGGGGTTTCTCATACCAAAAAACAAAGTCCACAAAGCATTCCTATAGAAATAGAGGTTAACCACACCAACTGGCTCACAGAATATTAGCCTTCCAAAACACTTTAACAGGAAAAGATACTAGCCTCAGCCAGACCCTAAATGACAGGACAAACATACTCTGGGGTAGTAGTTTCTTGTTCAATTTTGTGTATGCTGTTTGGCTTAAATGAATACATGAAGGGCAAAGCCTGCTGCGGTGCAATGACCCTGTACCTCCTTAGCCTGAGAACCAGCGGCACATTCAGCTTCTGTGGTGTTTTTTTTCTTTGTTTCCACATAGGCGTCAGTTCCTTGGAGGAAATGAGACATTTTTTCTGTACTAACACAAACTGCACCCATCTGCATGTTCTGTGTTCATGCTGTATTTGATCAATGCCCTCAGAAACACATCTGCTACAGACTTTCCATTCTAAATTCAAACTCTACCTTGTCTTTCTTAAACGCAGAGGAAAAAATAGGTTATACTAAGCTATGGCTGGAGAGTCTCGTCCACAAGGAAGAAATCCACAAGCAAATCAGTGTTGGTATTTCAGAGCAATTATATCTGCCTTTTTATGTATGACAGTTTCATTTATTTAAAAAAAAATGTTTAGTTTTTTTTTTTCATTGTAATATCATTGTACAGTTTTGCATGGCCTAGATGTAATCACTTTTGTGTTTTAGAGTATAAAAGCTGACAAGTGTGCGTGCAGGGGAAAGATTCTGCTTTTTTTTTTTTTTTTGCCTCTTCTCACTATTTTGTTTAATGCCCTCAGTGTTGTAGGGGACATTGTAAGAGATTCTTTGCTACAGAACAATGATGTAGATTCTTTTGCACAGAAATATTTAAGGTGGAGAAGTCAACAATGTAAAAATGACTTACCACCACTATTTTATGTCGGTAACACACTTAATATTAACCTACTTTGATGTACCGCAATAAAACAGGGAACTGTTAGAAATGCAGATGGTTTGTCTTTTTTTCCTCCCCCCCCATACCTCTCCCTGTTAAGGTTTGAGGAGGAAATGGAAAGGGGAATAATCGCCTTCTAGAAGATAAGACCAGCACAAGCACACACTTGGAAGAAAAGCAGTGGGTACATAGTGCTATATAGTTTTAGCAGCTTTCAGACAAATTTAACAGAACCTTTTGTAAAAATTAAGCCAAGCCACTTTATACTTCGGTATATACTACAGTATTTGTGACCACCTTCTCAGGTCATTTGTTCTGTGTTGGTATTTGTAGTCATTGTTTCTGAGGTTCCTCCTTGATTTAGTTCTGTATCAAGTGTTTCAGCTGCCCTAACGTTGGAGGCTGGATTCTTACTTAGGTGGCTGAGCTGCCTCCTCCAAACTGAGTCTCACGCATCTTGAAATGCATCTCAGAATACCTGCAAAGTTATTTGGAGTGTGTCCTGACCTGGTCTCACCTTCCACCAGTTCCTCCACAAGCCATGATACTTCCTCCACAGCAGAGACTGTTTGTTGGGACATCTTCCTCCTTGTTTGTTGTTGTGCTGGCAATATGCTTGGCTTTGATAGCAAACATCAATCCAGCAATTTCTCCCTCCCCGCCCTTGTGCAGCAGGAACACTGTGCTGCTGTTGGTCCTGTGTTGCGAGCAGTGCCCCCAGCATCTTATACAAAAGATCTGTGGTCATGTAAGCAAGTACATAATGAATCTCCTCTGCCTGTGCTTACTGGCACTGTAATGCTCTTCAGTTATTTTGTTTTCCTTACAACCATTCCGGACATACTGGCTGTCCATCAGCAGAAACTTTGCTAGTTTCCTTGGCAGCTTTTTGTCCTTGCTTTTGAACATGAACATTTACCATCTCAACCCATTCCACCATTTTTACAGCTGTGACATCTAGAGCCAAAGGAAAAGTAAACAATATCTATCAGAACGCAAAGCACTAAGAAAAGTTAGTGAATAAAGCTAAGCAGCTTTATGCAAAACTATTACTCTGTTACTATTACTGAATAGCAGTGTTCACACGTCTCAAAGTATCAGAACTAACCTGATGAGTGGTTTTAGTTGAATCAAGTACTGCTGGATCGTCCTAAAACAAGCCTGAAATCAAGCAAGTTATATGTTTATGATCCTGGAGGAAAGGCAACACAATAACCTGTTCTCCTATTTCTGATAGATCCCTACTGAGAGAAACCATTTATTCACCTGCTCTTTATCTCTGGCAGTGCCAGCAATCAGGCTTTCTTACCTAATGAAGTTTAAGCTCATACAGCCCTCTGCGTGCCTGGGCTGTGCTAACCAAGTAGGCTCAGCTGCTGCTAAATGTCTTGCCCTTGACAGACAAGGATGCCTGCCTCACTGGCACCAGACAAGCATCAACTCCAACAGCCACTCTTTCTTCACAGGTGGAGAAAGGGCAAAAAGAGCAGTGCCCAGGAACTCTTAATAGAGAGAGTAAAAAGAGAAAACAAGCAAAAGAAAAAGTTAATTACCAGGGATTTTAGCAGCCAGACCGATTGATGTTCAAGCTGACATCCCTCTGGCTCCTGGTAAACTTGCCATCACTGTCACCATATGACACAGCTGCAATGGAAAAGTGAAGGAATGAACAGGCCACAGTTGGCTTTGCGAGGGTAGCAGCAATTCTTTAAGCAAACAACTACAAAAGGGACGTGGAAGGGTCCCCTTTCCTGTGTTGCTGTCTATCTCAGAGAATAGGACACGGTTTACCTTTGTAGTCACTACACCACCAGAAGATGGAAAGACTGCAGGCCCACAGCACAAGCACTTTTTTTATTGAAATCAGAACTCGTACAGGTACAGGCTTTGTACAAAAAAACTAAGAAAGTATATTTGCTAGCTTGACTCCAATAGTTTAAAATTGTGCGTCTGGTTTTAAACATGTGACAGTTGAAGCTTGAAATGCTCATGAGAGACACGACGTGTTTGTCTGCCTTGCCATACGTTCTACATTACTGGAAAACAGCCAAAACCCCAGACTAACTTTCAAGTTAGGAGTCCAGCAAACAATTGGTGTCAGAGATGTAGCTTATCTAACTCACCAAAGTCAATACCTACCCAGCAGTGAAGAATCCCACTCTTTGTGCTCAGATGTAGTTCTGTTGAACATTTGCCTCCCAGAACCGAGAAGAGTTGTGTGAGTATGTGTGTATTTAAAAGATATTGGCACTCAATTCACAGGTTTATAAAATGTTTCCTATGTTTGCCTTGCAAGCCAAAGAGAAGCAGAAAACATAAAACTTCATGTTATGTGTACACGCATCCTTTGCATTACATCAGCATCACTAAAATCCAGGAAGGTTCTTGGACTGCTGCCACTTGACTTACAAAAACAGGAGAAAGGGGGGCTGAGTGTGTCTGTGGTAGGGTACACCTTCTTATTTCATTCTGTAAGTCACAGTATGAAAACTACTTGAATTCCACCTTAGCAGGAAGGTTTTAAAAAAAAAAAAAAAAAAAAAAACAACAAGAATTCCAAACATTTCAATACTAAATTCCACTCTTGTCCTCCTTCCCCTACCCGCTATATGTTAAAAAAAAAAAAAAACAGCAAAAAAAAAAAACAATATGCAGGTATCATCACAATGTTAAAAATGTATTCAGGGTAGTTGGCTGGTATCCTGAAACAGTAATGCAAGCACTCACGACAGTTTCCAGCAAGCTGCAGACGGTCCTGGCAGTCGTTGTGTCGGACAGACAGAGCAAAGAACAGCTTTGTCTCCATGAAACTCAGGCTTGGCTTCCAGGGCACAGGCTGCTGCTTCTCAAGAGGATGGAGAGTTAGGTGCAACACATGGGAGGCGAGAACATTCCTGGCAAGGCTCAGACCAACCGTGCCCTCAGAACAAGGTACGTTAGTTCATTATTACTCCTCTGGCTTCTTGCCCCGAGTGCTCCAGTATTTGCTGTATGCCTCCTGGAACATGTTTTTGCAGGGAATTTTGGCCTTCAGTTTGGTGCAGATAAGGAACGATCCCCCCATCTTCCGATGAAGAGAGTAGGTCTCTTCTGGTGGAGGGACAAGCCGATGCTTCAGCATGACTGGAATTAAACCGTGGATCTTTTCCGTGGTGCTTTGGTTGCCGAAATCAAAAGGTTCCTCAGACGCAAAAGCCTCTCCCAGGATGAGGACAGCATTTAAGTGTGCATCTTCCATTTCCTGCCCAAAAGGAAAGGGGCCCAAATTGTATCACTAACCATTTGGAACACCAGGGAGAAAAAGGAGATATACTACTCCTAACAGCAGCCAATTAGGAGAAATACCTACCTCTACCCACAATGAATGTGACCCCCAGACCCTGACAGACTGATAACCGGTTAATTCCAAGCACCTAAGCCTCCCAGAAGACTGACTGCCCAGTCATGAAGGTTCAGCAGCGTCACTACCTGTCTTGCTGAGGGAGTGAAGGGAGATGGAGGGCGTATAAAAGAAAAAGTAGTTTGGGGGTTAGCAGATGATTATTTTAAATGATAACTACATTATCATTTTGTTCTGGCTCCTGCTGCCCGAACAAAAAGAGAAAACAAAATCATGAACATTTTTGCCCTTCTCCCTCAGCTTGGCAACTGGGCTTTCAGACTGCCATCAAGAAATCTCTAAGTTAAGATCCACGTTCTTCAGCAAACCTTTCACTGGCCACTACTAGAAGGAGATGCTTCTGCTCCGTACCTTGACTTCATAACCAGTGAGGAATTTCATTTCAATGGACTTCTTCAGTACTCTGTCTCTGTCCATGTCAGCAGCTGCCTTGATTACCTGAATAGGAAGAACACTTTCAGGAGAGCTGGATGATGACTGAAAAAAGCTTTCACACAAAAAAGCGCGCACACGCACACACACACACACATATATACACGAGTGCATGAATTCACAAGTCTGTAAGCAGGCCACAGGAGAAGCCAGGCAATGAACAGTAGAAGCAATTCCCCCACACCCTCATATAAAAATCACTGAATTGTGAGTGGGTGAGAAGAGGGGATCGCCTTTGAGATAAGCTCTGCCTGAGTCTCCCAGTAAGCAATGTTACAGTTCTCCACAGCTGTCACGTCATTTAACCATCAGGACACAAGCACCAAAGGCTAGCAGCAGACATGCATAGAGCTATCGTCAGGGATAAAACCGGAACCAAGATCTCATCTCCAATCCTGCTTCCCTCTACAGCCAGAAGTGGATTCAATACAGACACAAAACAGCACAGCTACGAGAAGAATTGTGCAAATACTCTTAAGAACCCCAGCGCAGCATGCTAGGACACACCGCAAGTCCTCACCTCAATGTAAACGTCTGTGAACTTCTCGTCAAACCCTCGTGTTGCTCCGAAGTCCAGCAGGGCCACCTGGAAATGAACACACCCTTCAGCACTGCAGTACCAACCTCTTCAGGTAGAAGGCCCAACCTGAGAAGACTCCCAGTGCCTTCAGGAAGCTCAACTTTTCCACTGTCTCAGCTTCCCCTTAATTCCTGTATTCCCTAGCAATAGGGCAAGCATTTGTTCTGGTACATGACACAGGAGGTGTGGCCTGTGCTGACACTGTCACACCTGCCCTGTAACCCCACCCAGGCTTTCTGCTTGGGGACAGAGCAATGCAGAGCCTTTTCCCAACAATTCTCAACACATCTCAGGGCTGAACAAGCAATTCCATCCGGCCTGCAGGGTACAAGCAGGCAGCCAAGCCAACCAGCAGGACATCTACAAGTGCTTCCCCAAGCACTGTTAACTTCAGCATAGCACAAGACCAGAGCATTCAACTAAAAACCATTTGTTCAGATGTGCCCTGGTAGGACACTGCCAAATACAACTTCCCAGTGACACATTTCAAAGAAAGAAAAAAAGACCCTGAGGTTCAGGAGTTACCTGTGACTGGATCCAGGGCCAAAGACAGGCAGCCCAACAGTTCCACAAGCCCTGTTCTCCCTCCCACCCAGACCAAGCAAGTAAAAGCAGCAAAGGGCCAGGTTTCACTGTCCTGC